ATGATTTGCCAGGTTTTGACCTAATAAGATGTGCACTGACTTTTAGCATTTGCCTGAAAAACAATCAAAGCCTTTTGCTCAGGGGCTAAAAATGTCTGGATTTTGAAATGTAGTTCATTTTGCACATTGGCTTTAAAGCAGTAGTCACAGTATGTAGACAACAGCTGCTTGACTATGCTTGACAAAGACAAAGTTAGATCATTTTAAAGTGTAATTGGGTTCACTTTCATCCTTACAGCTTCAGTATGAAACAGATCTGGGATGAATATTGGAATGGTCACAGTGTCAGATGCTCTGACCTAAGCTCATTTTCAACACTAAGTCAGGAGCTACTCCAAGTGTGATATATAGTATGACAGAGAAGGAGAAGTAAAAATGTGCCTTGTGGTTGAAAAGGAAGTCTGAACAGGTATTCTGGTAGAAATCTGTTCTTTCATTACAGGAATGTGCTTCATGTACATTTACCAAACTACATTGGTCCTAAAATCTGGTTGGAAACAGGGGACACATTTTGCTGTAATTTCACTTTAAATCTTTTCCCAGTAATATTATCCTCTAGTTAGCCATCATTAGGGGGTAGTGTAAGACTGCCTGTTATTGGTTTCCATTACAGCTACATTTAAGCTGAAAGGGATCTCAGCTCATAACTGAAAGACTGTGATTGTTACACCGTCTCTCACTCTCAGACCAAACACTAGAAGTATTTAACAACAATTGCAGTGAGGGCTGGATATTCCACATTCCTCATTCCTTGCTTTTTGGGTTGTGGTGTTAAGGCAAGGCTGCAGGTACAGAGAGCTCCTACCACAACACATACTTTAGCTAATCGTGGCGTGTATCCATAGATGCTTATAAAGATTTTATTTAGCGTGATGGAAAGGCTAAAGTTGTGTAAGATTGAATGAAGAACTGTAATCAATAGATATTGAAAATGTAAACTAAAGATGGATAAAGAAACAACTGAAAATCAAGGCAGTCTTATTCCGATCAAGACTCTACATGCTGATGTTTGATGCAAGTCTTTGCTGAAATGAGGACGGTATTAAATGCATCCACAGCACAAAGACTTGGCACTTATTTTCAAAAGTACATTGTTTCATACAGTATGCCCATTACTGTTCTCCAATGTCAGCACATTCTGTTCTCTGATATTAAGAACAGAACGCAGAAAGAAATCTATACCAGAGGCTGTGAAACTGTGTAGTTCTTATAATAAAGGTGATAAAGCAGCTTTTTCTTGCTGGATGTACAGTGAGGAGATATACCCTTTCTTGAAAATCCTGCTATACTGTTCATGAATACATATTAAAGGGAACTGTTCTTGAAAGGAATATACCAAACATAAACTTTGAAAGGGATGTGACCAAGGAGACTTTCAGAATGGATAAGAAGGAAAAAAATGTGACTTATCCGGACTCATTATAAAGACTCGGAGCACTCTCCACGTCCTTTAAAACATTTTGGTTGCCAAATGAACTCAACTAAACTCTAAAGTTTTTGCTTGTGCTAAATACTGCAATAACTCCTGCCAGTTACAATCCCCCTCTATGAATTGGCTTCATTACTCTGCTCTCCTCGCCACTGATAGCTGATGTGTGGTGTGTGGTGTGTGGTGAGCTAGTAGTTCTGGTGCACTATGGCTGCCGTCATATCATCCAGGTGGATGCTGCACATTGGTGGTGGTGGAGGGGAGTCCCCATTACCTGTAAAGCGCTTTGAGTGGAGTGTCCAGAAAAAGCGCTATATAAGTGTAATTATCTGTAGACTGTTGTAGGATATTCCTTTGAGCCAGGGACTGATACAAGTTTAGCATAACATTACTAGATTCCTAGATCCCTAGATCCACAGTGTGTACTATTAACTCTTATATAGCTGTATCCTAATATTTTTATACTTACAATTTCTCTAAATTGTGTTGGACATAGAACTGATGTCTCCATAAATACTGCAGTCATTTTCACAAGTAAATCTTTCATTAGAGTTTTCTATCTTATGCTTAAATGGTGCACAGAGTAAAAATACACTGTTTTTCTGCTACTCCTCCCCTTTTGAATTTGGCAAATTGCACTAGTTTACAACCTACTGTATACCACAATCTGAATCATTGGTGTACTGTATATTAGGATGAGCAATATGAATCCCTGTAGTACTGTGCTACTTACACTCCTTATTTGTACTCTCAGAGTGGAATAAACATTTACCTGCTCCTTTTCACCCTACACATGATGACGCAGCTACCTACTCAAACGTCTTTGTCTATAATTACTTGGTTCAGTTTTGCCACCTTTTTAAATAAAATTTCCATTTTGAAACATGAAAAGAAAAAAATCTTTAGCCACTATCGGAAGTATTTTGTTAATTGCCAAGTATTTTTGTTAAACACCATTAATTTCTAGAGATTTATTTTAAATTCATCCAGTACCTGTAACACGACTTGTCTCGTCTTTGTTTTGAAAGACGATGCTCTCTGCAGTCATGTTGCCAACATTTCCAATGACCAACTCTTTTTACACATACAGTAGATACACAAAATAGCGGCCAACTGTCCGTGACGGTTTATGGAGTTTATTTAATGAAAGTTCGGGAGGGATGACAACAACCTCGCTCAATCATTCCCAGCTGTCAGTGATTAGCAATCACTCCCTTCGTCCTTCCTCCACCAAACGCTGTAAATACAGTACCAAATGCGATATCTCCCTCCCTCGCATGCAACTTTTGCATCCCACCTCCACCCCAACTCCACCTCTGCAGCGACCCCTTGGTCACCCTGCGTGGGGGTCCTGGCCTCCTCGGCCTATGGCCAGGGGGTCGGCCCTCAGCCAAGTGTGTTAAGCCAAACACTCGCTCCACAATAGTTAATTACGCTTTGATTTGGGGCGCTTTTTCATTCCTCGTGAACCAGTCATTGTATTCTTCTGTTCCAGGTGCAGGTGGATCTAGAGGACTCAATCCCCCAAAGTGAAATATTATTTCAGTTTGGTTAGATTTCAGAATATGATAGAGGAACGAAATATGTTGACCATATTTTGAGTGAAATATTATTTCAGTTAGGTTAGATTGCAGAATATGATAGAGGAACGAAATATGTTGACCATATTTTGAGTGACTCGTCTAGCTGAGGGTGTGCCAGCCCAGCCATGAGATTAAGGCTTGCCTAAACTTCCCTTGACTATTGTGAGAACTACGCTTAAGAGTTGCTGCAAGGATGTAGGTAGGGTGGTGGGAGGGGTGTGAGTGAGATTTGAGATGTGACATTTGGGATGCGCGATTTATATACACACTGCAGGCAAGTGGAAATGTGCGAAATTAGGATTTAACCTGCAGGACTTCATTTAATATAAATCTTTGTTTTTGTTTTTTTCATTTTGCTGTCAGTTTTTGAGTTAAATATTCATCTAATAAATTCACCATGCCCTTGCATCATCTAAGCATTTTCTATTCCTATCCCTCAGACACTTCATTTACTTTTCCTTTCCTGCTGTAATACTTAAAAAGTTTGTTTTAGCTCCCATTGTATTATATTCCTGCTTTTTCCTGTATTCTGGAGAATTTAAATTTTATAAATGGCTTTCTTCTTATATCTTTCTTATTTATATATTAAAGAAGCTGGACTACAGCTTTATTAGCTTTGGATTTACTCATTTATCTTGTCCAGTCCGCTTGAAAACCACAATAATTCAAAGTTTTGATGTAGGCCAAGATTGGGATTTAGTACAGTTTCCAAATATATTTGAAAACACCATATGATGATCATAGTTTTCTAATGAGTCTGTCACCTGTGTGGTACTTATTTTTATCTAGAAAAGACCAGATCAATGCTGATATTTCCCCTAATAGGTGCTCTTTCATGGCTATTAACCATGTGTATTTTCAGTTTCTGACTCAAATTAAATCCCCCATGATAACAGCTTTTACTTACAAACATGCTAATGATTTAATTATATGGGTTTAATTATAATTGATATCTGAAATATGCACAAAAGTAGCTTACCCTATTAAACATTAGATCTTTGCAACATTACAATTAAACAATATTTTATGTAACTTCCAAAGCTTTTACAGGCACAGTACCCAGACTGGTTGATTCTATCGGAATTGAATTCTATTGAAATTGGAATGAAACAGTATAGGTACTGTAAATATTTACATATTGAGCAAATACACGAGTGCAATACTGCAATCATATGTGACAGCTTAGTCACGCTCTGCATATAACTAGTTGCTTGCTTTTCAAACCTTGCAATTGCTAAAACAATGATATCTTCACACTGTGGTAATTCAACAGTAAACATCTACAGTCTGGATGCTGACATCTCCTTCCCAAGACTTATTGCAAATAGAGGCAACACAAGAAAGGTACTGTACACCAGAATTTTTTTTACTGTACTGATATATATTAAAACCATCGGATGCCTATGTAAGACAATAGTAGATCATGATAAGTTATTCTGCTCAGTGCTTTCAGACTCATCTAATAGTCTCATAAATAATGGCAGAAGTTATTCTGTTCTTTATAATAACAATTCATGGCTCACACTGCAAGAAACCTTTTGACCATGCTTTTGTTTTTATTAAACATACATAAAAATTAAAAAAGTAAATAACATTTTTATTCTCAAGAAGATGCCTTCTTTGTTTTAGAATTCTTCATTAATGAAACAACATGAATCCGTTTCAACACTAGTTCTAATTTGTCATTCCCCTTCAAGCATATACGAGAGTAACTACATCACTAATAAAATATGGGTTGTTTTGATATCAGTTCCAGTGAGAATACAGTAAGTCTGCAGAAAACAACCACAAACAAAAAGAACCTTAATCTGCTGTCCGACCAGCAATATGAATAAGCACATTGAATGGGTATTGTATTTAAAGAATGTAGGGAGGGGAGAATAGTTCACATTTTTTTTTATTTGACTAAGACTGGCTTGGAAGAGCATTAGTCATTGAAGACCGAACAAAATAGTTGTAGGGTCTCATTTCATAATCTAGGTGAAGTTTTGCAGACCTTTCAGTTTTATGGAACAGAGAAGAAGCATAAAGCTTCCTCTGAGCCAATCACATGAGAGTGAGGAAGAAAGGGAGAGAGAATACTTGTTGGAGATTAGATATACAGAAGTATAAGATTCGGTAAAGGGACAAAAACGGTCTCAGAAGGACCCAGAATTCCATCCTAAATTCATTGGAGGGCACCTTTCTTCATCACATTTGGTCTTCTTTTGCCCCAAAACCTTCATATCAATGGCTTTACTACAGGTGGTTTTCCCATTTTTTCTGTGGTTTCTTGTTTCTTTGGACATGTACAGTGGTGAGCAGTCCTCTAGAAAAGAGGTTTTTGTGAAGGTGGTGGACCTGTTGTCAACCGGAGAAGCCTACTTGAACGAGAATGCTGTTCACTCCTTTTTAAATATCTTGAAGAAACGTGTGCAATGCTCTGATGTGTCGTGTGAAAAGGTAAACTATTTTTACTCACTTCAGCTCCTTCTAGTCGGTTGCAGAGAGGTCGAGGTCCAAATCGCCAGCCAGCTTCTTTGCCTCGAAGGGTAGATAGTGCACACTTCAGAACAGATTTTTAAAGACTTCTGCTTACAATAACCTGACATTTTTATAGAAAATCCCTTGCAACCAGTCATTCCAAACAGTGAGACTTTAAGCCATCTCTTAACAGTCAGATCCTATAGCAACATCTTGAAATGTTGTGAGAAAAAAAACTGTGCTAAGCCCAAAACATGGTATATTTTTTAAATAAAACTACCGTACTTTTTTAAATATTGCCGAAGAAGCCTGAGTTTCCATTGTATTCTATAAAGAAAAGAAAACATTTTAAAAAATGAAGAAAGACTGCATATTGAAGGCTGTTGAATTTGTGAAAATGATAAAAATGGACAAAATATTCCTAATTTTTTATTAAACACTCTTCTATTACTGCTTTGGATTGATGTTGCTAAGTACTGTATGTATCCTCTGCATTGAAACATAAATGTATTTTAATTATGTATTAAACCTAAAAATGTAATTGGGGGAAAAAATCCCTCCATTTTATAGAACTTTGTATATTTTTGTTTTCCTAATTTTAAACAGGAGTATGTTATATATTATTGTGTTATACGTATTGAGACTGATGTTACATTATAAATACAGTTAGGTGAAAATTTGTGAGGACAAACTATTAGTTAAAATGTTTTCAATGTTAAAATTAACACTTAAACCACAGTCTTAATTTTCCATGAAAGGTGTGCTAGATATCTTAGATATCTACAGTAGTATCTTGTTGCAAAATGAAAAATGTGAACGTCAGAGGTTGATACCCATGATGAACTGGCATACTGCACTGGTGTACTTTCTCATACCTAATACTTCACTTTATACAAAAATGGATTACTAACCTCTTAAAACAAGATCCACTACTGTGACTTCATGTCTGACATCTTAAATGATCATGAATAATAATCAATATCATACACTCTTTCACTCATGCTCAGTTTTGCTCTCAGTGTGGTATTCATCTCCAGTTGCTCTGATCAAACACATGATCATTTTAGTTAACACACAATTTCACAATAAGATGGCTAAAGTTTTTTTTTAACCTGACTTTAAAGGCATCCACAAAGAATAGCTGTAGGAAATATGTAGGAAAGAGATGATGTTTACAAACATTGAAACATGATTCAGAAAGTATGGAGACAGTAAGATTCATTGGATCAAACATCCAGATATATCCAGACTGTTCTATTTTCCTCATATTTTGTTCCCCCTGCTATTTGGGTCATTGTAGAGTTAACCAAAATCCTTTTTGGGTTTGAATAATATATAATATTGGCAGAATAATATTTAACTAAAGAATTGACTTTATAATTCCTTCCCAGCCGGACTACAAAACATTAGCTAAAAATTACCCTAGACTGGCCATGAACTCCAATGCAGGTATGAAGTATGTATTGATTTTACGTAATCAGAAAAGCATTGTTTGGACAGTCCAGGATATAGCAATTTGTCAATACTCCCACATCCAGGCAACTAATGAACATTTTATTTCTCATACTACTGAATGGCTTGACTGCTCAGTGAATGGAATACTGACAAATATGGAGGCACTTCACTTACTGTGGAGCTCAAATCATGAATATTATTACAAAAAAAACGTTTTTCATATTTAAAAATACAAAAAAATAGAAATAAGCAATTATCTTTCTTAAACATGCCTATTGGGGGTTACAATTGGAGAGCTGATATTGAATTTCATCTACTGTATAGTGATAGTAAATAACCATATGAAATGTAGTAAAGTGCTTAATGGTTTGTCCAAGGTAGGAGAATAGCAACCTGAAAATAGTGATTTAATGCTATTTTTTTCCCCAATTGTTTTATTTCTGTTTGCCTCCAGTGTCTTTCTCCTGCTGATCTGGCTCAGCTTTATCCTGGCTTTTCAACAGCCAGTAGATTGGACAGTGAAGGGTTTTTCAAGGTCGCGCCTGGGTTGTGCTTCTACATGAGCGATCCAGCTGAAGCGTGTGCTGCTGTGAAGGAAAACCAGTGGCAGAGGGAAACCGAGGCGTTCGTGCAGGGCATTAAAGCTAAAGGCAACCAAGGAGATGGTTTTGACCTCAGTCCTGTTGAGTTAGATCACATGCTCCATAAAATTGAAAGGCATTGCCTTGCAATGGGCAAAGATCAGGTAAGTACAGTGCTGATTCAGTGCATTACACAGAAAACTTCCAGCTAAAGGCCTTGAACTGCCTGCAGCATTCCGCTGAGAACTACTGTATGCACGTTCTCTAGATTTGTGCGTTACCTGTACTGTATGTGTGATTTGATTTGCTTATATTGCAACAACAGGCTTATCCATACCCTGAATATTTTTAATCTGTCCTCCCTAACTACTCAGCTGTGGTTTCTCCCTCAAGCCATGTTCTGCTTATATATTTGGTTGTATAAAACATGAACGTAACAAATGAAGTAGGCATGTTGGCGGCAGGATTGAGCTCTCAAGGTACTCTCCAGATACAACAATGTGCACACAGGGGAAAAGGTTTGAAAATGTCTTTACTGAAGACCGAATGTATTTCTTTGCTGGAACCTGTATTATTTAAACACCTTGTCTAAGGTAACACATCTGAATGGCTTGTCTTTTTAATATGGATCTCGTCCAAGAGAAGGAGAAAGCCTTCTCAGAAGTATTGTTTTCACATAAATGTGACGATGAGTCCAAATTACAAACTGGGAGAATTAAAGGTCACTCCTTCTTCATTCCCAGGTATGAATATGTCAGTCATAGTAGATCAAAATATTGAAGTCATGGCCAGGAGGGTTCATGTTGGTGGAAAAGTACATGATACAGCTTGGAAATATATATTTTTTATTTGACTATTGACCCACTAGCAGTACAGTTATTAACCTACTGAATAACATAAAATCCCAGTGGTGTAAAATATTTCCACAGTTTCATTGTAGGAAAAAAAATGCTTTCTCCATAGCAAATCAAAAAGAACTGTGATTCGATCATGTTTTACCAATGATGAAAACTAGGCCTTCACTTTCTTGGTAGTAGCAGTCTAGATTTGCATCACAATCCACTTTCTGTACCCAGATTAAAGAAATGACAGGCTGGAGCACACTGAAGTGGACACATTTCCTTTTTCTAAATTTCACTTTTTCAGATATACAGGTATGTTCAATTGAATGTGCCCCACACACTGAATATATTAGTCTTCACCAGCTGTCATTTACACAGATGAAAGCAAGCAAGTGAGCAAAATACACATCCATTGAGAATAGCTGACTTTGTTTGGTTTGTTGATAATAGACTTAACTGAAATTGAAAGGAGACAGGGTGGAATCTTTTGTAATTTGAGCTCAAACTAATCTACTGCTAATGTCTGTAGGACTGTTTCACGGGACGTCTTATTCTCAAGGAAAGCAATGTGTCTTCGACTGACAAATTCCTACATGGAATTGAGACAGTCTTTGGAAGCATTGTTTACCACAAACTCAGAGGGGATTGCATGAGCGTCCGTGTGTTGCCAGAAGCTCAATATTTCCTGGATTACATTTTCCATCACTTTCAGAATGGATCTGACATCATGACACTGGAAGGTAAAACATCTCAGAAAAGTGCTGTTCTCTGTGTACCACTGCTGGAATTAAGTTTACAAAGTTACAAACTTACAGGTACTGTATTATGCTGCCTGAATAAATTAGGATAAAGTTTGTTTCTTGGTATGATAATCCTGGTAGTTTCATGGCAGCATAAAAACTGATTTGTAAAGCTTTAGATGTGACATAAGGTTAAATATACATGGAATATTAAAATACTGGGGAGCTTTGCATGTAGGATGTGACGGAGTTCATTTTCATAGCACTAATGGTTGTTGCACATGCTGTAATGTCTCCCTATAGATTTGACACATCTCATGCTTGAGCTCGATCTGGGAATCTCCAGAAACGGCAACGGAGACCATGAACATCAGCTGAAGCAGAGTCGCTCTGAAGTTCATCAAGGAAATGGCAGCTTTGACTCGGTACTTACTGTAACAGGGTGTCATGTGTTGTTAGACATTGGTCGACCTGCTGCACTGAATGTGCCCCTGAACACTTAACTGTTCAGATATAATGATTTTGCTTAAGCCTGGATTGAATCCATGCTACCACTGGGTCTTAAGGTAACATGCATGTGTAAAGCTTCATTTATTACTGGCCCTTCTGATTTTCAGTATTGGTCAGTATTTAGTGTGGCTTTTCCTCCAAAATGACAGCTTTTCTTTCTTTCTTAATAGAACCTTCTTAAAAGCAATATCTGTTTCAGACCCTTAAAGTAAATGGCATGTCAGTGTTACTGTAAATGATTAAATGATACTCGATGTGACATGCATCCATAGTCTTCTCTCTGGTTTTATTATAAAAAGATAATGATGTGTTTTTCTCAATTGTTGTGCCATTTTTAAATGTTCTAGCCTAGCCTAGAGTCTAGCCTCTTCTTTTTTGGCTTTGTCGTCCACATCACTCAAACTGTCACTAGAACTGAAGGCTAAGGAGCAATCGTCTCTGATGTCCTTCCGGCTTTGCATTACGTGATCAGGAGAGGCCTCAGAATGCTTTTGACATTCATTTCACTTCATTTTGTATGTTTAGTCCTTGATTGGACAATTACTGGTTTTAGGTTTTAACCTACAAACTCATTGTGAGGCTGTCAATCAAATCGCTTCTGGCCGACTAAATGTGAGTTACGTATTTCCAGACATCTCTTAATGCTCTGAGAGCAAGAATGAAATAGCTGTGTGTGGACATTATTATGGGTTTTGAATTTTGGTGTTTTCCTCTAGCCTTTCTACTCCCCTGTATTTATTTCGAATGATCCCACTGTAACTTTTACATAGGTATTAATAGCACAGTTGATGTATTTTAAAGATTTGTATTGTCAAAGGTCTTTACATCTTTTAACAAAGTTCAGGGAATATTTAGTTTCTCATTTTATTGACCCTTGAAAGGCTTTTCTTCTGCTTGTTCCATTATCTTCAGGCTTATCCTTGGAAAATCGCACACAATGTTAAAGATGCAAATGGTTTTGCAGTGACGTATTCGTGAAATTGTCATTTTGCTTCACTTTGGAATGGGGGCATATCTGACGTTATTCTTAAGTGGTCTCTTAACTGACCTGTGAGAAGTTAGAACTCTGGCAGCTAAAGTTGTGGTTTGGTGTCATTTTTTCAGATGTGTTTCTCAGCCAAAGAGATATTGGAAATTTATCATGTTAATAGCAGCTCTGAAATCTCAGCCGCCCAATTTACACAGCTAAGCCCAGCTCTCATCCAGCAGTTGCTCAGCCAAGCATGTACCCAGATACCTGACCATTCGAACGCCAATGGAGACCTTAGCGTTATTGAAAGTAAGTGCATGTCTTTTCTCTTGGAGTGTTGTTGAAAATGTCTTGGTATAATGTAATTTATACCAAAAGATTGAGGCTCTGCAGGCAGGTTAAAATCTTGTATTCATTGGTTATGGTACATTTACTGTATGGATGGCCCATAAAAACAATACCTTTTATTTAAAGCAACAATGACTGGTTCATTAAACCAATTCTATGCTTACCTTTCAGGGTACATTTATGCATCTATTGCAACTTTGGTGATTTGTCTGTTTGCGCTTTTTGGGATTGTGGTTCTGCTGTGCAGCTCCTGCAGTCAGGCCTACCAACACATCATCCAGTTCTGCATCAGCCTGGCTGTAGGCTCTCTCACTGGGGACGCTATACTGCATCTCATGCCTCAGGTAGAGAACCCAATCGGTTACCTTGTACTGCAGAACTTTGTTACAATGTTACATATAGTACAGACAGAAATTTCAAAGTTTCTTTCATAGTATGGGCTAATAGAAAAATGTATTTTTTATATTGTTTCAAGTGGCTATCTCGGCTTTAAAGTGCACAGGAAGAGAGAAGCACACACCTTAGGCACAGTAATGCCTTGTGAAATTGTGATTAAAGTTGTACTCACCAGCTTTTCAGTTTGTAAGAGGGTCAATGATGCTATCCAAATAAAACAGAAAAACAAGGAATTAACATAACATACGGGCTAGTAAAAGGACATACACAAACACTAAGGCACAAATTAACAGTGATCGTACAATAGTGCTATTGCTCGACACTATAACAAATAGTGCTGAGCCTATAACAAAAAGTAAAATAAGTAACTCATCAGCAGAATACACATAATAAATGCAGTGTAAACGTTTATAAGCACTATAAAATGCTGAAATGATCTTTAGGCAGATTTTAGTAATGTCAATAGGCTTTAGCTTATAATGGCTGGATGCTAACCCTTCTTATTTGGAGACTTACAGTTCAAAGCCTTTGAATGCAATAGAGTAAAGGTAAGGTAGTTTAGTAGCACATCAGACGTTCTGCTGCTGTTCAGATCATTGCAGAAGTGAGTTCCACACCACAGATATTAGGTAAATATCAAGTTTCAGTTTTATAGTAAACCAGTTTTGTAGTTTCATAATGTTGTAGGATAGTCATCTTTTCCTCTAATTTTTGCATTGTGATACACCAATAGCCAGCAATTGGAGTGAATATTCAATTGGAGTGACTTGACTGGTAGACTGATGCTTCTAACTGAACATTCAAGAGATTGACATTCAAATATTTCTGCGACTTTTGGAGCATCTACTTTCACCCCAAAAGATGAATGTGTTAGTGAGGCTCCCTTTGCTAAGTCCTTTGGGATAGCCATCCTCTGGTAAATACAGCGATGATGTTAATATGACACCATTCAACTGACGATTTTGTACAAGCTAATAGATCCACAGATGACAGGACATTGAGTTTCTGTATTCTTCTGTTTGGCTGTGCAGATTCTTGGTCTTCATGTACACTCAGATGGGGAGCACCATGATTCTGGAGACAGCACAAATTACATCTGGAAACTGGTTCTGCTCCTCGGGGGAATCTACTTTTTCTTCCTGATGGAAACTCTTTTCTCCATCATGATCCAAGAAGATACACAGCAGTCCGTATGTGTTGTGCACCACTAATCTAAATCTATCCACCCATAACTACAGTATCTGACCGTCTTCTTATCATCTCTGTTAAACTACAATGCCATTGGTGGAACCAAGATAATGTGATAACATGGTTTCTTTCTACGAATAATTATTATGCTGTACTGTATAACCCCCTGTGTTCTGTAAGGAGTAATCATTAACACCAAAGTTGGCAAGACTGCCGATGTATTAAATGGTTGTGAATGATAAATGCTGTGTGTTGTGTTTCTGTTTGCAGGAGGGATTGGATACCCACCACTGTGATCATGGAACAGTTTTGCAAGTCTACCATAATGAAAGAAAGAGCCATCAGTCCTCTTCACAAGCTGACTTGGTAAGAGGTGGTTTCCCTTCAGGTTATGTACTGTACAGTACATTCTGTGGCAACAGACGGCTTCTAATACAGTTCTATCTCTGCCGCACCGCAAAACCAAAAGATATTTTGGACTCTGATTTTAAAAAGTAAAAAAAAAATATGATTAATGGAAATATTAAATAAGAATCTAAGTTCAATTTCTGTCAGAGTGCTTTTTCTCTGAAAAACTAATAGCGCAGGTCAGTTGTTTTCAGCCAACGCACAGCTCAATGGTGTGCAGACAGTACATGATTCATCTGGTATTAACAATTCATGTGCCCATGGTTCTTTCGTCGAATGCAAAAGTGGGAAATTTTGTATCAAGTTTCAGTGTGGGCGGAAAATAGAGTCAGAATAAAATATTCAGGGAAAAACATAAATCAATAAAACTGGAATTAACATTACTATTTCTCCTGAACTAGGTTAAACAAGAAAAGACAGAAAAATCCATTCTAGCCACAGAGTACAGCAGCAGAGGTAAGATTAGTGGTGCTTGAGCAAGGTCTTACTACTTGTTCCGAGGGTGGTAACTATGGTTTAATTTTTAGTGGATATTTTGCTCATTTACAATTATGTCATTTGAACAACATCATAGTAAGGAACTGTGCCTTACAACAATATTGCCATTTCTCATATATTATTCTAATGTAATAACAAGAAAAATATTGGCAGCCGCGTGAGTGGTTTTCAGTACATCTGGTTTGTTGTTCATTATATTTCCTCACCCAGAGAATCGCTTACTCCCCTACATGATCACAATTGGTGATGGGATCCACAACTTCGCTGATGGCCTTGCAATTGGAGCCGCTTTCTCTGTTTCGTGGAAATCAGGGCTTGCCACCTCCCTGGCTGTGCTCTGCCATGAAATCCCTCATGAGCTGGGTGAGTCTGTGGTCAGGGCTTCCTTGAGCTGGGTGTTTACAGCTCTACATCAGGTATATGAAAACCAATGTATTTAATTCCACTGTATTAGCATCAATGCCTTGCAGTGCTGAGGCCCTGGTTTCAATTCCCTGACTTGGGGTGCTATCTGTGAGGTGTTTTTATGTTCTCGTGGTTCTCCCCCAGGTGTACCACTTTCCTCCCACAGTCCAAAGACATGTTGATAAGTTAAATGGCCTCTGGAAAAACAGGTTCCGGTGTGAGTGTGTGTGTTCGTCTTTACCTGCCGTGTGGTGGACTGGTGTGCCATCTAGGACATACCCTGCTTTGTGCCTGTTGTTTGGCGGTAATAGGCTATAGTTTCCCTGTGACCCTGTCTTGGATAAAACGGTTCAAAAATGGATGGAGTTCCACTTAAATATTTAAAGATGTTTTTTTTGGGGGGGGAAAAAGCTATAAAATGCATCAGAGCCTCAAATCTTCATCTGTGTTTTTGAATAAATGCCCCTTGAAAGCAAAACTACTTTACAATTTAAATCATATACAACACTGTGAGTGTTTCTATTTGTATTTTGTTGGCCCTGCTCACCTTGAGAGTGCTTAGGTTTGAGCACAAAGCTGAAACATATTTCAGCTCGGATATTTGTTTTTTCTTAGGTGACTTTGCTGTTCTCCTCCATTGCGGAGTGTCTGTAAAGAGAGCTCTCCTGCTGAACTTGGGCAGTGCCCTGACATCCTTCATTGGACTCTACATCGCCCTGTCAGTCGCCACCAACCCATCAGCCAAGGACTGGATTTCTGCATTCACTGCTGGTCTCTTTCTTTATGTGGCTCTTGCAGATATGGTAAGTCTAAGGATTTCATTTTGTATTCCTACTGCAACGTTGTACACTATACTGCATGGGAAGTATTTTAGAAGATTAGTGAAGTCGTGAGACTGGAGATGAAACTGTGTAGGACAGTTACCAGTTATCATACCAGTAGTTCAGGTGGGTAGCTGCGTCAGCATGCGTAGGCTGCAAAGGAACAAGTAATAGGTTTATTCCATGCTGGAAAAAAAAGAAAAAAGAAAACGCAGCGTTTCAGCCGTGGAGCCTTCATCAAGTGTGAGAAAGACAAGGCAGTAGGCAAAGGTAATGAAGCAGGAGAACAAAGGATGGGAGGGAGGAGGAGTGAGAGGCGGGAGCAGGGGACAGAAAGAGAGGCCAATCAAGATGTGTGAAGTCAGAATAGGTGTAGAGAGGTGTGAAATGAAACTTCCAATGGGGAACATTTAGAAGGAAAGTAGTCTGTCGTTAAGAGAAGGGGGAAGGTGTGATCCTAGCTGCAGGATAATTTGGGTTTCTGTAGTCTTTCTGACGTATGAGTTCGGAAAACCCTCTTTGAGAACACAGACGGAGAGATTAGAGTGGTCATGGCCATAAGTGGCCATCATACCAGTAGTACCACTTATTCACGGATTTCTGTGCTCAGTGCTTCAGAGTAACATGCTTCCCCATTCCGTATTTTGTTTCTCCCCAGCTGCCTACCATGATGCACGTGAAGAGTAGGAGCCCCTTGTTTGTTTTTTTCCTTCATAATCTGGGACTGATGGTCGGATGGGGAATCTTGCTACTCCTCTCTTTCTATGAGGATAACATTGGCTTTTAAAGACTCCAGCAAAACAGGGGACTTCTGGCACATGTGACAGGCAAAGGGTAAACTGCATAAAGGTTTAAATGCATTCTACAAAATGTAGCGTCTACACCCACTTTTTATATTTTCAAAACAGCCCAGCAATGTTGATACCACCAATGACCACATTTAAATGCACTTGTTTTTGCCTCCAAATGATACCTGTTTACATGTAGCATGAATTATTTTTACAGAGTCTTTCACTTACAATCACGGAGCATCACCCCCCATGTGTTTTGTGCATTCCCTTTAATATTTTCCGGTGATGCGCTTCACTTTTTAACACCTTTCTCAACATAGAAACAAAGAAAATATATTTACTTGGAGTAAGTCAAATAGGCTAAAGCTTCTTGGAGTTACTGATCACGTCTTGGTCTTGCAGAAACCAGAAACATTATCTGTAAATGTTAGGAAAAGGAAACTTCAAAATAAAAAATAAAATAAAATTAACAGCTGCAATGTACATGTAACGATATGTACTTTATACAGAGTTTGAGAAATGTTATACAGTGTAAGTATTGTTTTACAAGATAAAACACTTTGGGGAAAAAATGAGCAAAATTACATTTTTAATGTTCCCTTTAAACCCCCTCAAGGAATAATGTGGCATTATTATGCACACCAAATGCTTGCCTGAAAGTTTTCTTTAGTATCTTTAGTCCAAAGAACTGCATAATAATCTTATCGTGTCTCCCAGCTTTACCTGTATTGCCATGTTGTAGTGTATTGGTTTATATGGGGGCATCAGGAGATATGAGCTTAAAGTTCATGTCAAAGACATCTTTGTAAAGATAAAATCAATGCAATCAAAGGCAAAGGAAGAAAGCTAAGACAACAACATTATCACAGCAATGCTAAGATGAAACAAGACTCTCTCACAAAACCCTTTAGGGCAGGCTGGCTAGGAGTCCAGTTCTCAAGCTATTAAAAAACTGAATTGCTTCTTCTAGAGGAAGGGTCACACTTAGAGCTGTGACATTTTAAATCAAACAAGACCTGCACAAAAAGAAGGAGGTGAAAGCCGACAACACCCTTTAATAATCCAAAGTTCAATGTTTGTTTCGGGATTTCTTTTCAACGTCATGCCACATTAAAATTAAAATATCAGTAATTAAATATTTAAATATTTATATGCACTTAGTCTTGGTACATCTCTCAGTATATTTGCTCTGTACAGTAGATGGTTTGACTTGCAGGAAAAATTCCTACTTAGACAATTTATGATTTAGAGATTGTCTAGTAGTAGCATATACTTGTATAGTACGTTTTCTTCATCATTAAACCTTCTGTTCTTATTGATCATTTATTAGTTTCTCAGACTAAAATGTGCATTAAGTCCAAGAATTACCATTCTGAACTATGTTAGACTATGTGATAACACTGCTAGATGGTCGTGACTTTTCACATTCATTTGAGTTTATTTTGATGTCAAGAAATGTATTTTTCCTGTTTCATAGAAAAATGAACTTGTTTGACTTTCTTTCCCAACAAATCCAGAGACCTGAGTGTTGGATTCTGTTTCTTCCCTTCTGTTTGTTTTTGAATTATGTGGCATTTAAGAATGGTAGACTATAGACAATTTCTATTTTACATTATTTATCCTTGTTCTCCAAGTGTCTGAGTTCTTATGGGTTGATCATGCTTTGTTTACCATAGAATAGTTCTTACTCCTGGTCCTGAAGTTAGCAAGTTCAGGTGACAGGGTACCGTATAAAGTTCTATGGGCTGAAGTTGTTTGAAATAATGCACTTTAACTACGATATTTTTTTAACCAAGTGAAGAAAAGACTAAACCAGCACACAGATCAGTTAGAGGCACTAATTTGCACTTTTGATTAAAAGAAAACAGCAGACACTGGTCCAGGATTGAGCATTACTATTTTGGACCATGCTGAAATGGTTGTTTACAGCTATGAGTAAAATGTTTATATTTGAAACTTAAATTTTGGACAGAACTATAGCGCTAAATGTTTTGTTGTTCTAAAACGGAAAGTGAAAATATTTTAATACAATTTGACAGAACAAGTGGAAATTTAAAAAAAAAATCACCCAAACTTGCACAATACTGTATGTTTATACACAAAAAAGCAAATGCTTCTGATCCAAATGCCAAAAAATAAAGGAATTACTTCTTGCAAGTTCAACACTGTGCCAATGGATTTTCTTTTCTTTCTTAAGTCATAATTAATTGATAGTAATGTGGGACTATCTACGTCAGTGCTCTTCTGCTAAAGTAGAACAAATCTGAAAAATACTGGTTTACGTAGTGTCCAGTTACAATCGTAGTTTCTACATATTTATTTACAATTGTACTCAGTTTCACTCTCTTCAAGCACAATGGTGTGTTGACTCCATAATTGAGGTATAACAAACATACAGTTTGAAAATTGTGGACCTATCACTTCTCACACCTGAAATGAATTCCTTGAGGTTAAACCTTTTCAGAATGCACAAGAATGAAAACACTAGTAAGCAGGTCTTAGTGTTAAATTTACCTATATAGCCTGACATAAATTACACAGACGAATGCTGAGGAGGCAAAACTTTCCTCCTGTGCCACAACACCAGAACAAAAATTAAACAAAAGCAAACACTGAAGAATGTTATAAAAGGCGTTTGTGGAATGATTTTTAATGAGTGGGGATCTTAAAGTTACAGAATCACTGTAGTGTGTATATATTCATAAAGTGTGAAATATACAATACTTCTTCACAATGTAACACGTGCACAGGACATTGCAGTAATCTAGACTTCCTCTGATTTTGAAAGTTGTCGTTTCCTGCTGATGTCAGTGGAAAAACAGCTGTTTATGAAGTAGTTTCTTTTGCATAGTTAACACACTTATACAGTACATTGCCACCATATGTATTACTATGCCCCTATTAGAGGGAGCTTAGTAATAGGTATGGAGGCAATGAGGACATACAGATTTTGAAATAATCAATGGAAAATGACTGCAGACTACACCCAAGTTAACTGTATGCATTTAATAGTTTTGAACAAAATTTGTATCGTATGCAGTTCTGAGGCATTCAGTACAATTCTTAAATCACACATACAGACACTCAAGTGCACCGTGTAGCACATACAAGCAACACAATGATAAAATATTGCACATTTCTTTGAAGTGATATCTTTGTATGACAACCCAATCAACCAGGTCTACAATGCACTTAAGAAGAAAACCTTGTAGATGTTTTAAGGGGTAAAATCATAATCTTAAGATTAACTGAACTTTCGACACTTTTCAGAAGTTATTTCAGAAACTGTGGTAATGGTGTTAAATATGTTCAAGTTAGATAATGCTAACCCAACAAAGCATATAACGCATTTCATGTGCTAATAATGTTTTAGCCATAACTGTACCTGATGACCTGATGTACCAGTTGATTCCTTTATATCTGGTTTTATAAAACCCTCCCCGCTTTATTTCATGGTAAAATAAAACTAAAAAAGCACGTCTACGCTATAAAGCAAGCCCATCATAGCCATACTGGACCAGTTTTGGAATGCCAGCAATTCTGACCATGTTTGAACAGTCTCTGGCTCGTGGGGACCAACCTATGGTTTGGCTGCAACACTCAGGAATGCAAAGATATGACATTTTAAGGGCTCTTCTGGAACAGAATAAATGGCAGTTGTTCTTCATCTTAAAACCAATAGCTGCAACCTTCCAGCATAAATACAATTAAAGCTTAGTACAGATGTATCTAAATGGGTTGTCATTCCACTGAGATTCTACTCATGGATGAAATGTGTGTTTTGTAACATTTATTATGAATTTAACCACCTTGTAAAGGTTATTATGCAAAGAGATTGATTTTTCGCACAGTAGGCTACTATTTAGTGGAAATAAAAGACTTTGAGTCTCCGTCATCATCACTTCCACAGTGAAATCAAAACTGACACCAATCTCACCTGAACTTGGAGCAAAGAGTTCAGTTCCGTTTCAGACGGAACCAGCACACCAAACACAGGGAAAAGAAACAAGTTTAAGGCGGTCAAAATGCAGCAATGGAATTCAACGGAAAAAAGAAAATTAAAATCAAACAAATTGACAAAAAAAGTGCCATTTTCATACTGTTGCTGCATTGTATATCCAAGATCAAATCAACATCTAAAGGTTCCCATGACTAAACCCTTTTGGTCATGTCGATTATTTAAAATGGTCTCTAGACTAGCACACCTCTGACAAAAAAGTTAAAAGGTCACAGATTCTCTCCTCTTGAAACAAGCAGACATGAGATACCAAAATACTTTGATTTGTACAAAAGCCAGATCATTCCCCACCGTGAAACATAAAGGATTGATAATTAACACAATGCACAGCCGTGAACATTTAGAATACATACTTCTGATTAGAGATTGGTCTGCAGCAGGACAAGAACACTACTTTTTAATTGCACCGACAGTGATGTCAGGGTTAGAGAAGCCCTGTTTCCTCTTCATTGAGCAAGAGCAAGGAGGCCTGCATGTGAGGCCGAAGACAAAGTACTGGTATTGACCAGAATACTGAACAATATGTATAATCACAACTACAGCCTTGTGGAGAGTGGAGCTACTGTACATATAGAAAACGAGACTACCGCTGAATAATGAACACCAGGACGGCCATTATGAGGACCAAATCTCCTCCACTACGGCTCTCCCTCTCTTAGTATGGCACTTTCTCAGCTGGCAATAGACTACAATTTGCTACCCCATGCACACGGAAGCTTGAGAAAGTCACCACAAATGAAATGTGAATGCTGTCACGGTGCTGTCACCAATTCTCACAGTGCTTGGAAAGGCTTCTAAATGAAGAAGTCCAAAAAAAGGCATCTGGCTTTATGTTTTCCAATACCATCTTCTTACAGTTATGAAGCTCGCTTCCATACTTCTGTTTTGTCAGTCACACAATGCCCCATCCTCTTTTACTACTACTGGTTTTGACAACCTAAGCAGTTCTCCGGCTATTTTTAAGACTCAGTAGATGATGCATGATCCCATTCACTATCACAACACTCGTATTAGGTACTGCAGGTTTCTCTGTGGTGCTGAGATTAATAGCTCAGTCTGCAGTTCAGCCCATCACCAGTTCAAAGGAATACAATTATATTTTCTGTCACCACAACCAGCCTAAAGCTCTGGGATAAAAAAAAAAAACAGTCACAGTATGACAAAATTATTTTCAAGGGGCAGGAATGATAATGTCCTTCCTATTTTGTTTGTAAAGACAGTCTTTGGTCACTATACTGAATGAGGGGCGATTTAAGTACGACGCGAACTTCTATCACTTTTTTTGTGAAGCAATGTTGCTCTTGAATCGGTGATCCTGTGGGTTTTAAAACTGATGGAAATGTCCCATGGCTTCTGCAGCTTTCGCACGAACCAAAGGCTCAGGGTCTTGAAGTAACTGAACCAGACCTGAAAGGAGAAGAAAGTAAAGTCAAGACCAATGCACTGTACTTATCTTCCTGGTAACCATGCAGAGTAACTGACAGACTCGGATCGAACGTTTCATCTTTGAAGGAGATCACAAATAGAATATGCATTCCCATTACAACAGTTTTTGATATTTTAATCGTTTAATTATGCATTTAAAACACTGCAGTTTTAAAATGTCCATAGTTTTAGTCCATCTAATTTCCAGCTGTGTAACATCATGTGATTTATTTGATCGTGCAGAATGAAAATACACCGTGAGTCATTAAGGAAACAGGCTCCTGTATGTCTTAAACAGTGAAGGCTTTCATACAGGCCTTGAGCACTGCTGTAATCATACAGCTGATTGGAATCTAAGCTATTTCACTGTCCAGGAGGTCCAAAACCACAGCACACACATGGCTAAGGTTTAGATGGCTTGAGTCAGCCAGGATGTCCTTTTCTTGTTTCTCATCCCCAGTGACTCACTCGGTGCACATGTGAGCGAACACTGAGCTATTCCTCCACCGGATGCAAAGTGTGTAGTGTAAAACTTCACACCTGCAAGATGTGCTGTCAGAAAATGGCGGAACGGTGTGCGAACTGCACTTTTTGGAAGAGAGACTGCACTCTCCTCATCTCCCCTGGTCTAACACCAAGGTTGAAGTGCTAAGGTCAACCTGGTCGCCAAAAGGCAGTCCTGAAGACCAGGGCATAAAATGATGGATGGGGATTCCACATTTAAAATTAAAAAGAACACTACAAAACCCAGCAATCAGCTCATTTAGCACAATATGCTCCTTTCTAAGTTTTAGTTAATTCAAATAAGATAAGATCACTTTATTAACCATATACAATTTCATTAGGAATTTGTCTTTCCGCATTCCCCAGCTTGCTCTCCATGAGACACACAGGCACACAGACGGGGAGAGAGAAGCTTGGGGTCAGAGAGCAGGGTCAGCCATTTATACATATGCAAAACCATATCTCCAGTTAACTCCAGTCCAACACTTTGGACCTGTCTACAGCACTGTTTACATGAAATCACTGGCTCTTGGCCAATGACAAGTAAATGACTGATGTTCTCGGAACCGGTCTTTGAAGGAGAGCAATATTTGCAATAGCTACATGACGCAAAAAGCAAACTTCGGAACTACTGTAAGAACAAAAACACAACAGTGTGGAAGCGTCAGTATTATCTGATATGTCAGTAAAGATTTCTTGGAGATGTAGCAAGTAAGCTCTCTGTGAAACAATGTGTTATTACTTAAACAACAGGTAAGTCATCACTTTTCAAACATGCTGTAAGTGACTAAGCATATTGAACAAACAATAAAAATTGGATTAGCTAAGCAGCTAGGAATGCCAGAAGAAATGTCAAAAACAGCTACTCTACAAATAAAAAGAAAAACCTACCCTTGGTAACATTCCCCATGTTCATGTGTGAGAAATATTCTTCTGGAAGATTTGCCAGCAGAAATCCTAGGATTTGCAATAAGAGAAGAAACAAGTTTCTCAATGATTTTTATTACAAGTTTTTATACTCACAGAACAAATGTGCAGTACTGTAACAATGTAAGTGATACAAGATGTTCTGAAGCCCATTACAAAACCATACAATTACTTGTCAGTATCACTGATAGTTGAAACTGGAAAAGATCAGCATAAATCTGCACTGTGTTAAGGTCTTCCTTAACAAAGTCCACTTTACATTTGCTAACGGAGTATGTCTGATCTATCCATTATGCCATAAAAGTTGTATACTAGTTGTTTAAAGGAAAAGATCTGGTCTGATTCAGTTATGAGTTCAACAGTACAGCTTTGGCGTTTTTATTCATACACGCTACAAGGTTTCCCCAACCTAATGTGGATCTCTTCCTGAAAGGACAGCTAGAAAAAAAGAAACATGTAATCATGAGAAAATCAGATTTTTCTTAATCATTCTTCTCACCTATGAACATCGCGGCACCGGCTCGCACTTCAGCCCAGTTGCTTTTGAAGAACTGAATAACTGTGATATGGTAGAAGTTCAGCATACCAGGGAAGTCCTGAATCTACAGATAGATAGACATAAAAAGAAAATGTTCTATTTTTAAAACACCGCTAGGAGAATCAAACAAAAAAAAAGGTTCATTGTCATAGAAAAATGTCTCCAAGAAAAAAATACATTACTATGTATTTAGTCAGGTCATTAATGAACTCCCCGTAGTGCAATCCTTTGTCTTCATGGAGGTGGTTTTGAAACATGGCTGTGATCTGCTCAGACCCCACAACTGGAGCGCACACACGCATAGCAAACTTACAGGCCTGGTAAAGAAAAAGAAATGGCAATATGAACGCTCACACTGGTCAGCCCTTTCTTTAGCGTCCAGAAGTCGCAACATTTTTATACAATGGTTTGTAAGTTGGGGGAAAAAATGGGAACATCTAAAATTCTGTGAAATGACAGATGGTAACGAGATGTCTCCACAATACAGTGCAAAAATAAGTACAATGGCAATTTGCGCTAAGCTATCCAACTGTACCCTGTAGATCACAAAGTTCAAATCTGATACAACAACTAGTTACAACAAATAATTCATAAAGATCACTAAGACATTTTAGCATTTGGACTTAATTTCAGTGAGGAGGTTGGGCTACTTAGTTTAGAAATTGCTTGTTTGAATCTTTTTCATAGGACAAGAGATCACAACTCATGGATTCCAGTTACATGGATGAAAACATGCATATCTGAGGCCACACACGTAGAACATCTCCCCTTCACGTTTACATTTCACCAACTATGTTTATTTCAAAACAAACCTGTTTGTCCTGTTATGGACAAACCTCTGTTTTATTTAACATAATGAAAAAGGGGAAATGTGCCTTTGGTGTAAAACAAGGTGCTGTGAATAACACACTTATATGCTTTTAGGTGTTCTCACCTTGACCACCTCCGGGCTGGGGTCGTTGAGGTGCAGGAGGAGGCTGACCAGTACATTGTGGAGCTGGTCTTTAAAGACAGGCTCTCCTGCTCCAAACTTAGAGAGGTTGCCCAACAGTGTTATGGAGGCACATCGGATTTCATCATTGTCCTGTGAATTCACAGCAGTATTAGGTTTCTTTTGGTTTTAACAGCCCTTATCTTTTACAAAGGCTAACAGCTGGAGCAGTGTTCTTAAAAGAAGGACCAAAGCCAAAGCACAAAATGTTGTAACAAGGCACAACTTGCAGTGTCTTTAAAACACACATTACGATATTTGCAACAGGACACCAAAACGGAAAAAGTGGTATTGTGTAAACCTTTCTGGGATGCTTTAAGATGTTTAAAAAGGAAATCCATTTCTGTAGGTTTTTTTTCTTAATTTACCAGTTATTGTATAATGGGAACAGAACTTACATTTTCTAAGAAAGGTTTAATCTTCATGAAGATGTACACCACTAGGAGCTGGACGTTTTTCTTGTCCAGGTATACCAGGACTTTGGAGAGGCCAGACATGGCCTCAAGGGTGATCTGTTTATCGGGATCATCTTTCTCCTCCATTCCTGAGCTCATTGCCGCCAGCAGCTCTTTGGCGTACTTGTTCACCTGTTAGTTTGGAACAAAGAGCCGTGTCAGTTTCCCCCCATGGCTCGTGTACTAATGGAGCACATTAAAAAAAAACAAAACAATAAAAGGAAGATTATGGATATAATACTTACGTCACCGCAGTTCATGTGAGACAGATATTTCATTACAGTGAATATGAAAGACATGCACAGTGCTGAGAAAAAGTGTGTAAACCCCCAAAAGAATTAGAGGAATTACACATCTGTACAATGATTCCCTTTGTTTAACAGAAACCAGTTAAACTGCTTTTTTCTTAAATAAGCAACAGTTTATATCTACCCAACGTTTTGAGACACAATGTATAAAGCAGAAACAACTAATCACTTAGAAAAAGAATATGTGAACTAACAAGCACACCCTTAGCAGAATTAAGGCCGTAATTAGAATCAGGGCAATAAATAATTGGATGACAAGTAAAAGAATGAGGCTGGCCATCTCCGTTCCATACAAACTTGGTATGTGGACATGTCATGCACAATCAAAGCTCATAGCAGAGGGCAGAAAAAGAGTTGCTGACACTCAGTCTGGTCAGAGTTAAAAAAACATGTCATCCTTCAAGTGACAGATAGACTGTCTACGAGTGGAATATTAAAGACTATGATGTCTACCTAGGACTCCCCAAACAGCCCAGAAAACCATCAGAGTAACATCAGTTACTCAGAGTAACATGGATTTTCAGGTCTTTCTCACAGCAGTTTATGACAGTGTTTATGTGTTAGCTAACAGAAAACTGAAAAAATGAATTAATTTTGTTCTTGGGAAAATAGCCAGGAAGAAACCATTGCTCTTTAACAAAAGAATCTTACCACACATCTCTCACCAAAGAGATGCTCGCCAAAGAGCACCCAGACAATCCACAAGACTACTGGAAACAAAATGTATTTTGGATTGGACAAGTCCAGCCTTAAGCCCCATTCAAATGTTATGGTAGATTCTTACATAGTCTGTGCAAGGAAACCACCAAATGTCTTGAAACATTCTGTAAGGAAGAATTGGCCATAATTTAAAAATGCAAGATCCAGGAGACTAATACACAGTTAAAGCAAAAGTCTAGTTGAAGGCATTGCTGTTCAAGGGAGATTCACTAGTTACTGAAACTAAGGGCTTACACATTTATTAACACAATATTTAATGATGGATCATTTTGATGATTAAACCTGTCTTGTACATGTTTAAGCGGGTTATATTCATCTATTTAGACTTTTGTGATGATCTTATTCCATTTTAAGTGAGGACCAATCTAAGGAGTTCATACACTTTTTCTCTGCACTGTTCATGTATTACTCCCTTTCTTGTCTTACAGAGGAGGCAGCTGAAGACCAAGAGGATGGTACTGTACCTTTTCCGGAGATCCTACAGCAATGTTCCCCAAGCCTCGCACAGCCAGCATGCGGACTACACCACAAGGATCAGAAATCCTTTCCATCATGTTGTTCATGAGCATGTCCATCATCATCAGCTCTGTCACAACGTGGTGGTTCAAAAGCTTAGGAACGAGAACATTGAAGGAGTGAGAAAACAGCTCGTTTATACAGTACCTGCCAGTTTAGGTACTGTCTCAATGCAATCTTGTACTAGACTACACATTAACTGAAAAATAATGGATGGATTTTTCACACCACTTCTCTACGTAAAAAAAAAAGCACTTCAAAAGAACACAGAATGCCAATAAATAAAAGAGAGACTACCACTTCTAACACAAAAGAAGTCATGTTGGCTACCAATCTACAAACAAGGACCTTTTTAAACAGGAAAAAAAATCAGGACCATGTCCTTAAGTTAAAAGTAAATAGGTGTGTTAGTATTTTATTGTGATATCTTGCTCTGTTTTCATCTGTGATTGTTTCTAATCAATTCCATTCATATTCATGTAACTTCCATTTTCAAATGAGGCACTGCGATGGATATATACTGTATGGCACAGATCCCTCCCTCTATCCCCACCCCCAATCACTAAGCAAAATTTGTAGGGAATTAAACATTAAATAAGAAATACATTTAGGCATATAAGCATTTTACTTTTGAAAGTATAATTCGGTAGGACTTTCTCGATACTTGGAAGATGCTAAACTAAACTGAAGTGAAAACCTGACTGTGACAAAAAAATAACCTTATTAAATAACTACGGTTCACTGCTCTCTCATTCCCAACTTCCTCACTAACCTCTGAGAAGAAAGCTGTGATGGTCACCCTCTGGCACTCATAAATGTTGCTAAGGCTTGGGCACAGGTTTTCCACAATGCCAGGCAGACGTGGGCCAGCATGTTTTGCCATAGCCCTGTTGATAAATAATCACTCAAACTCACTTTGCTGCACCACTGAAACAAACTGTTAAAAAAACCCTTTACAAAACTGTTAGGAAACTGTAGGCCTTCATCAAAGAGGCCCTGTTGAGCATTAGATTTCTGTAATTACAACTGGTACAAAATCTTAAAATGTCTGCACACCATGGTGCCTAAAAATCAAGATTTAAACTGTAAACAACATGATTCACCTGTGGAAATTGCAGAAGGCTTTTCAGCATGACAAAAACCAATTATATTCTCTTCGAAAATGATGGAAAATGGACTTTCTTTAGAATTACTGCACATGAACTCGCACGCTAAGAAGAAAAGCAAACACGCTGGGAAAAGGTTGTTGAAGTGGACATTGCAAAACAAAGTGAAATAAGTAATGCTCATGCTTCCAATATTGTATGTGAACAAACAGTATGGAAACAAAGAAGGCAAATATCTGTACTATGATAAATACTTGAATTTTGTTTAATGTTCTCTTTAAGTCAACTGAAACAATAAATTGAGTTACTGGAAAAGAGAGACACATTCCCACATTTGAAATCCTTTCCTCTGGAAACCTACCTGGTGAGTTTTCGACATTCCATGCGGCAGTGTCTTCCTGCTTCGGGGGTGGTTTCCCCACAGAAAGCGAGTTTACCCTTGCACGTTTCTATCGCACGAGTCGCTCGTACCTGGCCAGAAGAGTAATGCCAGCCGTGTGCTGCGGAGGATCCTTCATCTTCTCCCAGGCTCCCTCCAGGTCCAGGGGCTTCACCACCTCCTCCAGCTGAGCACGGGCCAACAAGATACGCAGGGCCTCCACTGCCACGCTGCAGCAAGGACAAGCACGGCCCAAAAATGTTGACTTTGGGGTGACTGTTACACTCTTACCTTACCAGAGGCTCAAAAATGAGAAAAACACTCCACAGCTCTATAGTGTATACTTCCCAGGCAGGGTAAGGCAAACATAGACCAGCACTGTTCAATCCAGGCTCTGGAGCTCATTGTGTCTTTAAAGCAGAAGCTCCTGAAGAAGCTGTTTAACTTGTCCGATTAATAATAATAATAATAATAATAATAAACTTTATTTCATATAGTGCCTTTGAAGGTGGCATCTCAAACAGAATGACAACAATAAAAAAAATACACAAGATATGCACAATGTAAATACACAATGAGAGGACATGGTAGATGGTGATACTTAACACAGTAGGAGCAGAGGGATAAATAAAAGAACCGGATAAGTAAAGGCCCTTCTAAAGAAGAAGGTTTGAGTCTGGATTTGAAGGAGTTTAGGAAAGGCAACTCTCTGATACCCTTGGGGATAGAGTTCCAGAGCTTTGGGGCATAACAGGACAAGGCCCTGTCACCCACAGAGTGTAGAAGGGCTTGGGGGACAGTTAGGAGATGAGAATTAGAAGAGTGAAGGTTGTGAAGTGGGGAGTAGGATGACAGTAGGTCAGAGGTGCAAAGCCATGCAGAGCCTTATAGGCGACCATGAAGATTTTGAAGTCAACATGAAACCTGACAGGAAGCCAGTGCAAGGACTCCAGGACAGGAGTGATGTGATCATTCCTTATCACTCATTAAGCCAGTAACCAGCTGGTTTAGTGCATTAAAAGCATCAGGTTAAGGATCGGCCAATCCTGATGTGGACCATTGAAGGGCCACGTGGATACCATGTGGTGAGATTGTGTGTTCTAAAAGCAGTCAGTCCATAGGAAGTAAAGAAATCAAAATGCAGTCTTTGCTATTTAATTTGAAAATGGGAGAAAATCCTTTTTGCTAGGACCGCTTGAAAGATCGCAGTCCAGGTGGAGGGATCATAGATTTGAGTAGCACTCACCCACACACATCAAAGGTAGCTGGGGGCTTGCCAGACGACCTCCGGTCTTGGCTAATGCAGTTGCTGTTGATGTCCTTGGGGAGCTGAACCCCAACGCTTGAGCCTAGGCGCACGAGCAGAGCGCTGAAGAGCTGAGGAAACATGGCCAGGACAGCCTCCTGGGTTTGGCCGTTCAGCATCATCTCACGCAAGGCACACGTCATCTGTCAAAGGCACAGAGATTGAATTGGGCACAAATGCAGTCTTGACTGAAAAACTCAAGAGTCTGAGACATTTCCACGATTACTTACAGCTAAGGGATGACTGGTTGCTAGTTTTGCTACAGTGGATCTCAGCATGGATTCCTTCTTGTCCACAAATGGCACCATCACATTTAACTTCTCAATTATTAGCTCCATGATCTGAGATGCCAAAGTGCTATCAGCACCCAGAGCTATCCACATTTCACAGCACCAACTTAAGAAAAAATAAAAGAAATAAATGAGTATATGCCCCACTTCAAACTAATCATGTAATATATGTCATTTCTTTTCAGAAGAGGCACAACAAGAGTACTTTGATGCATTTAATTAAAATGATGAACCAAAATTCACATTTGGAGGTGTAGATGATCCTGGGCAGAATTTACCCAGTGGGTAAAAATGCTTCTAGCTCCACCAAACTAGCTCATTAATATTAGAGTAATAAAAAACCTTAAAAGAACGTAACCGCGCATGGATTGTACAGAGTACTTCTAAGCACAATGACATTGCCATATTTAAGAGAAAAACAGAAGAGAAGATCACTTTATTAGCCATATATAATTTCTTTGTCTTTTTCGCATACCCCAACTTGCTCTCCATGAGACACACAGACACACACAAACAGACAGAAGCTTGGGGTTAGAGCGCAGGGTCAGCCATTGTACAGCGCCCCTGGAGCAGTTGGGGTTAAGGGCCTTGCTCAGGGGCCCAATGGATTAGGATTCCTCTGCTGGGTGAGGGATTTGAACCGGCAACCTTCCAGCCACAGGCGCAGATCCTTAACCACAGAGCCACCGTTCCGCCCATTTGTTTTTTAAGAGAAGGAAGATAATATAAATTGTGCAAGTTAAATAAGGCTTTTTTCAAGGAAGCTACAAAATGAATACTAAAAAAATCGTACTTGGCTTTGGAATATTCAGTTCTTACTTGTCAAAAGGCAGAGGGTAGGAGATAAGGGTGTTCACGACAGTCTGCAAGTGCTGGGTGGCCAGAATGAGAATGGACTGGGCCACAGCTACTTTCACTTGCTCCTCTGCAATCGACTGGAGTCGAATGTGAAGAACCTCAAGGATTTCAGGAACCTGTAATAGATCAGAAGAGATCGACTTTCCCGGTTACTGAGGGCTGATTATACGGCATTGCCGAAGCCCGAATTGGTTACAACTTGGGTTTATTGTTAAAACAGTCTAAATATAAATCCAGTAACAGCAATTCTGAAACACAGGGTAAAAATCAAGGACAATCTCTGTGAAATCAATTAAAATTTAGCAGTTTTGATACTTATATCTATATGTTAAAATCAAAGCTGAAAGTTCTAGGTGAAGCCGACAGAATGAATCACCTGTCGATATCCCATAATAATCCTGTCAATGTGTTCTCAATGACGGCACAAAGTCTAGTTTTCAGAGAGGGCAAGCTGACCTTTTACAATATGTGGCAAATACATTTGATGTGCAGTTTTGTCTTCCAGCAGAAACCTGGAAAAACACAGAGTCAAGCTAATCTAAAGCAACACAGCTCTCCCTTATCTTCAACATACAATCAAAATCACCGAATGCCAGGGATATCCCAATGTAAACAATGTGATTTTCTGTACAGAAGCTGCTTACTTCCCATAGACATTGCAAAATGCAGTGTAATGTCTGGTGTGTGTTACTGCGTGCGAATTCTGCAAATCAAGTGTATTTAATTTTCTTTTTCATAAATATACAGTGCTTTAAACCATTCAAGTGAACTACAGGAAGATCCGCATTAACCTGTGTTGTACAATGCATTTTGTCAAACATGGACAACAAAAGCTATAAAATTACAGTATATATTTTCACAATGTTTTCTGAAATTGTATTAATGAAACATAAAACAAAACAATAACTAAACCATTTCAATATGTCAAGAAAAAACACAGACGTGACACAAACATGAAAACATCATTAAACTGTTTATAAATGCTAGAAGTGTTTAAAAAAAGTATTAAAATGTGTAATAACTTAATTTTAGTAGCAAATTGCGTGAATTTCTATCCTATGTAGTAAGTTATGTTCAATGCTTATTCTCTACTACAAACAAAAGACAATGGCGCCCCCTGTGAAACCTAGAATGTATTTCAAATGCCATTTTTTCTAGAAGCAAAAGAAATTGTACTCACTAGTGACTGTGAAATAATACATACAGTAACTTGCAAAAGTAGATCTTTGCACATTTTTCACATTTTGTTTTTTCAAAGCAAAAACAAAAAAATAAATAATTCATATGAAAGAAAAATGGAAAAGTCGTGATTGTATAACCCTTTGCTGTGGCCAACGTGACTTCTGGTGAAAAATTACCTCAACAAGACAGACACTTTTAGTTGAGTGGTCTCCGTCTGAGCAACAATAGTAGTTCACACAATTTCAGAATAAATACTGTACAAATGTCTTTGTAAGGTCCTTCAGCCAGTGAATTTCAAGCAAAAATCAAGGCACTTTCAAAATAACTTAGGGATAAAATGGACTATCGCTTCACTTTGATAATGAGCTTTAAGAAGCCATCTTAAAGGAGCTATATAAAATTAAATTTTACAGAATCCCAACAACAACAACAAAAAAAAGACAAGATATGCACAATGAAAAAACACAATAAGAGGAGACAGTAGATGGGGGTACTGAAAACACTAGGACCAGAGGGGTAAATAACAGAACCAAATAAGTAAGGGCCCTTCTAAAGAAGAAGGTTTTGAGGCTAGAGAACGTCTTTGAGAATGGTGAATTCAATTATTATGAAGTGGAAGGCACCCAGACACTATCCGAGTCTATCAAAGGCACCACGAGGCCAATGGCAACTCTGAAGGAGTCCAGTGGCTAACAAGGGAGAAAATATCCAGGGGTCAACATCTCTCAATGAATCCAAAAACATTTAACATAACTTTCCACATAGTTTGTATGAAACTGAAAAAGAAACCCCTCAAAATCTCAAATCCCACACGAGGTTTGCAACAAAGCATTACTGCAAACGTGGCAAATCTTTTGGTTGAACTAAACTGGAACCGTTTTGGTCTAAATGCAAAGTGTTGCATCTGACACACAACCCAACCCCAGTGCATCACTCAGTCAACACCAGCCCTACTGTCAAGCATGGAAGTTGTAACATTTTATTTTAGATCTGCTTCTCATCAGCAGGGACTGGGAAGCTTGTCAAGACTGATGGGGAAAAAGATGAAGCAAAGTACTGGCAAAGCTTAGAGGAAAATCTGTTTCAGACCTTAATCTGGGACAAAAAAAAAATCACCTTTCAGCAGGACATTGATCCAAAGCTACCCTGGAGCGACTTAAGAATAAGAAAGTGAATATCCTTGAGTGAAGCAGGCAAAGTCCTGACTTGAATTCTACTGGGAATCTGTTGAAAGACGTGAATATTGCCATCTATAAGTGACCCCCAAGTAAACTGAGTTTAAGCAAATCTGCAAAAAAGAATGGGCAAAAAATTGCACCAAGCTCATGTTTAAAATTCGTTAAGACTAGCCCAAAAACACTTGTGGTTGTAAATGCTGCCAGAGGTGCTTCCATCTAATATTGAGGTCATGGATCTGAGTCATTTTGCAACCAACATAATTAACTTTTTTCTTAAGATATTACTGACAATCGGTGTAACTGTATCTTACCCTTCTGATCAGTCCTCAGTTTGAGCCTTCAGGTTTGGAGTAAAATATTAAGATGAAAAAAATCTGTATGCATCAATTGAGGACTTCACAAAATGGGAGAACACAGGAATTGTCCGAGAGCTTTTTCGAGACACTGTATATATTAAAATTAACGAAAATCTCTCCTTTACTCTTCTCATTGATACACATTATAATCCATGGTTGAAGTTATTGTCCACTGACAATATTTTGATGACACATTTTAATTCAAAATAGACCATTTAAGCCTGATAAGCCTTTTGGTATTTACACCCATAATTTTTACATATACAAATAAATGCTACAAAAAAAAGGTCATGCTTACCATGCATTTACAGCACCAAGTTCTTAAAGCTGCTGAACACAACAGGGGAACAAATTACGGGAGACAGAAAATAATTCGCTCACCAGGTCTTGCAGTCCAGCACCACGGGTTTTGAGAATAGTGTTTAAAACCACACTCGAAGCTCGAGAGCAGTTGGGCTGCAAATCAACCAGGCCTTCAAAGAGCATGAAAATGAGCGTGTTCAGCTGCTGTTGGGGCAGGCGCTTGCTGATGATCTGAAGGTGAAGAAAACACGTTACCGACAGGAAAACGATTAAACTCCAACGCAGCGCAAAAATTCTCCCACGAGATGCGATTGTGTCGACACGGTTTTGGCACCGTGCTTAGGAAATTCGGAACTGGCAGGTCACAGGCTCAGATCCCTGACTGGGATAGGGCCGCTGTACCCTTAAGGAAGTCGCTTCACTTAAATCGCTTCAATAAAATATCCACCTGTATGAAGGGGTACAGATGTTAAGTCCATATTACTTAATGTGTCAGTCAAGTAAATTAATAATACACACACGCAGCGGAGAAGAAAAAACTGAAACACCAATGTAAAGTCACTCAAGATGGCACTGGGCCATTGCATGCAGCCATTACAGTCTGTATAGAGTCCATCAGTAACTGGAATTCAGAAATAGGGTTGTGACACCATCAAGTCAATCAACTCACACCTGGTTGATAGAGGTAAGAAATGGTGTCTTAGGCATTTCACCAGAATATTCTAGAAATGCTCAAATGGCCATGGATGAATAAGATCAATGTTATTCAAGCCACTGGGAGACCACATATCTCTGCGGATCTTAGCATTGTGATTCTGGAGATCAGCCCTCCCAACACAAAAGAACATGAGGTAAAGATGACCACTCAGTACATTATGTAATGATAAGCATTGACCAGGCCTCCTAAGGGAATGATTGCTCCTAAACCATGCCAGGAAAATGCGAGTCATATCATTAGGAAGGTTGGTGCCACATGTGCACTCATCTGCAACATGGTGAGGAGTCTGATATCACATTCCTCCCATGCTTGATAGCGCATTGCACTCAACGAGCAAATATGCTCTGAGGAGTAGTCAGATGAGTAGTTTTGATCAAACTAGCTGCTCTTGCCCCAGGTCGAAATTTGTAGTCAACGGATCTGCAGTTGCTCACCCATTTTGACTTGCAGTTCCAAAAAAAAACACAAGGACATCCTGATCCTGAAGTATGTGTTTCAACCGACTGCTGCCCTTTATTGCTGATGTCTATCCCTTGATTTCCAAGCTGACAATGCCTTAGACACTATCGCTTCTGAATCATCATGCTGGGCTGTCTTGGTCACTGAAGCTCCACACCAATGCACCCCAGCATTGAAACCCTCTTACAAAGTCACTGATATCTCCGCTCTTGCAGCCAGACTAAGTATAATTATAGGCAATGAGGCCTGTTCGGCATTTTTATACCTGACTTTGAGCATGCTGGGATGTTATCTGTTTAATTAGCGCATGAGCCAGGGCTTTGAGGAAGCCCTTGCTTTCAATATACTTGATGTCTCTGCATCCATTTCCATTTTTTTTTAACCCACTGCCTATATAAACACATATCCACACTCTTAACAGTACTGCACTCTTTACCTTTGTGAGCTCAGAACATGTTTTGTACAGGACAGAAGGGTCAGGATTGTCCAGTTTATCTCTCAGGATAATCAGGCTTTCAACTGATTCATCTTTGTGGTCTAGGGCAAACCCTGAACAAAATAAAATCTCAGTTAGTGGTCCACAAGGTGAAATTCCTAATATTAAGGAAAATATCACAACTGTTCTTTGTTTCATAACTGGGAGCAGGCTCCTTTGTTAGAAATGTATTTCTACATTGTTACACACAACCTCCAAAAGTGAAAAACAAATGCTGAAAAAAGTTATGACAAATGAAATCCTAGGCTGTGAGGCTGCAAAATGTGTTTCTTGGTTAGCGGTATGCAGACTTCCTATAGTCACTGTATCCTGGAATACAATTTTGAGATACATTTCAGTATTTTAACCTACAATAATTATGCGTTTGATCCCCATACCTTCGTAACGAAGCTGAATGTTGAGAAGAGTGTAGATGCAGTCCATAGCGGCCTTGCGGACTACCGGATGTGGATCGGTACATCTTGGAGCCAAACGGCCCAGCAGGGCACCCAGGTTATGAAAAGATACCATGTTCTACCGACAGAAACAAACAAGCTGTTAAACTACTGATTTATAATACACTAGTGAGTCCGGATATTTGCAACACTTACCACAAAAAAAAAGCAAAGTGAGTACTACTTTATTCATCACTGCATAAAAAGACTACAACTGCTCTTCATAGTAGTTCACCCTTTATAAAACCATTAAATGAAATCTGGTATGTAAAAAAAAAAACAAGAAATTAAAAAATGTAATAATTCTGACTGGAGTCGACATCACATAAATGGGCACTGGTGTTCTAGATTCAGTTTAAAGAAAAGCATTAAGGTTACCTTAATGGACAATACTTTTTGGAAAATCAATCTGTATAAACCTATGCACATTTTGCACATATTCTATTGTTTATGATCATCATATTTTGCACACACCTATGTATTTATTTTATATTTATTTTGTATAATTTTTCGTCTATTCTGATGTCTGTTTTTGCTTGTTTTGGGCTGGACTGCTGTAACACATCAATTTTCCTTCGGGATCAATAAAGCCTTATCTATCTATCTTGCTGCCTGGACTTAAAACATTCCATGTCGATTTGTCCGAAACTCTTTTGTATTGAATAGCGGAAACTATGTGGAGATGTGAGAATTCTGAAAGACGGTTCACAAAGTCAACCCACAGGACTACTATAGGACTTCAGGAGAAACGAGAACCCACGCATACATGTGGACATTAAGAGGATGTGCAGTGAAGAACAAAAGGGAGGTTACAAACGAGAAAGGGCGTTTGGATCATCTAGCTTGTTTGGTTTCAAGGTTTAAATCCAGTCAGTTCTTGAAAGAAACCAAGGGTACCAGCTTTAACAACATGTCTGCCTACAAGCTTTGTTTCTCTCACAGCCTCTTAAATAAACGTCCTCGTATTTCCCAGCTGTGCCTGGTTCATGCTTAACTGCTGCTCCTCAAGATTCCCATTGGGTTGACTTTATCAATGTCTTTGTGCCTACTTGAACGAACGTCACTCATAGCCATACCTATTTAAAGTTTAAAAAGTGTTATACTTTCACAGAAGGACATTTCTTTAAACCTAGATGTATGTGGTTGCTCTTCTCTGGACTGATTCCGGAAGCAGTGATGTTATTTTTAACAGCACATTAATCAAAAATGTACTCAAACGTCTTAATTTATCTTACAAGCACATTGAACAATAACATTGTAATATCCCTATTCTAACTTTAAATTATATATACGAACATTTTGGTTGCTTTTTTTAATTGCTTCCATACAGTCTACAAGATGAAAATGAGGCGCCAACATAAACCTTAACTCCCAGACAGCTTCTTCAAGTTCAATGTTTAGCATCTTTTCTTCAGTCTGTATTAAAAGTGTGTTGTAGATGCAACAATGGAATTCTAATTCTTCAAAAAACTACAAGTTGAACACCATTATTATAATTGAAATGAGCAAAATGGGTGAAAAATCTACTTTCTAATGTTTTTCTTCCTTCTGAATATGAAAGTCCAAAAAATATTACATACAAGGTTTAAGGTATACAAGGTGAAATGTATAATCTACATGCTTATTAACTAAATACACACCTGCATTTATCAACAAATGGGTTTAATAATGAGCTGCTCCTACCTTGACACTGAGATTCTCCAGATAGAAATCCAGCATCTCTGCTGTCATCTTCACAGCCCTTTCACGCTCAAAATCCTGCGCCGAGCTCAACCACCCCTCAATGTGCTTAAGGAGCAACACCAAAGTGGACTTTAAAGTAGTGCGATCATGGAACATATACTGTGCAAGATCAGGATTTGAGTGTACAGGCATCTCTTAATTTCCAAACGTAATTTGTTCAATGAAAAGTATTTGTAATAATAAAATAAAATAATAAAATAATTAATCAACATTTAATTCCCATTAGATTATAGGAAATTCTCTGCTACAATTTTCAGACTACTTTTGTGTAGTACTTGAAATAAATTAAAATTAATTACATAAATTGAAGTAAAGAACGTTAAAATACGGTACAGTTTTCATTATTACAGATGCAGCCATTCAAAGTGTTAAAATTACATTTAAGGTTTTACTAAGGATATAGTAAACTGAACACTTTCTAGAAAGCTGACCTTGATAAGCAGGAGTTAAGAAGGAAGTACTCTCGTTGTGGCAAAACCAAGTTTGTATTTCACAAAATATGTACAGTCTACATCTGGACACTTTGTAACACATAGTGCACAATTAGGATGCTTTGACCTACACTACTGCACCGAAGTAAATTCCTACAGTGGGATGCTCAATAGCAAAGTGATTTTGTTCGCTAGATCCAAAACATGCTCATTTGTTTAAAAAAATCCATATTAATTTGCACACTGATGTAGTAAAAATTTGTTAATCAGATGGTCGGAAATCAAGAGATACCAGTTATTTATTAGCTGTATTAAAACACATTCCAACTGTTATTTTGGTGTAAGTAGAAAACAATGTTACATTCAAGAAATAATTAGAATAAACCATATAGCACTTTATAGACATATATATTTCCTCAGCGTTCTTACCTTAAATATGTTCTGGAGACCGTCAGGACTCAAATCGTGAGCCAGAATGTTCTTTAATAAATCCTGTAGAGCACTGAATGTGTCTGCGTACAAGGCCTGTTAACAAATCCATGCAGACAGACAAAGCTAAGTAATTACAACAGATCTAAAATAACATGTTTCATCTTCAGGTTAAAACTATAAGATGATGGAAGGAATTTTTTTGCAGAACTGCTAGTTAAGTATGTGGTTATCTATAAAGTTACCGATTTAAACTGTGAAATGTCCACATCTAAACTGCAAGGTTATGATTTTATAGCCTGCGGTCTCTTTCAGGAGCTCTCGGGAGCTTGGTAGTGTCAGGATAAAGAGCCACTGCATCAGGCCCTTCCGAAAATATCACTACAAGGATCATGCTGAAACCTCACCTCTCTCTGCTGAAGGTCGTCGGCTTCCTCATCCTTCCCCCTGTCTGCATCCACAGGGGGGAGCCCAAACACACTGTTTAGACAGGTGCGTAACATGTCAAAGTTTTCATTTTCTGTCAGCGCAGGCTCTAAATTGCTGCTCCATGAGTCAAAGACAAACAGCTGTTTTTGTCATAGATAAAAATGAAGGCTGACTATATATATATAATTTAAGAAACCGTTATTAAAACTGCATCCTCCATATGGCTTTGATAGGTACAGTAGATCATTTTTAGTACCAATGATCCATTGGTCTAAGAGTAGTTTAAATTACATCCTCCCTCAAAGACCAGTCACCAGACAATTAAAACAAACTTAGGATTAATATTTTTTTCAGCATGGCATTAACCTGTGATTAATTAAAACCAAAACGGATCTTCCATCCATCCATTTCTAACTGCTTTATCCAATACTAGGTTGCAGGAGAGCCGGAGCCTATCCCAGCAAGCAATGGGCACAAGGTAGGAGGTACCACAGATGGGAACGATCCATCATGGGACACATAGAGACAAACATGCACACACTCACACTAGGTCCAATTTTCCCAGAAGCCAACCTACAAGTACGGTGTGTTTTGTGTAAATATAACCCAAAAAAGTATTGCTTTCTTCAACGGAACAATAGGTTTATTCCATGCTGAAAAAAAGAAGAAAGAGAACACAACGTTTCGGCCGTAGAGCCTTCTTCAGGTGTGAGAGAGACAGGGCTTTCTTCAACTGAATTCTGAAGTGAACAGATGCAAATTTTCCTTAAAAGAACACCTTCGATGTATAATTTGCATAAACTTCCAGTATTTGGTATTAGTAAATCCTGTATGTGATTTATCGAAGGGAGAGACAAGGTAACTGCTGGGGTTCAATTCCAGACCTGGAGTGCTATCTAGGTGGGGTTTTCCTCTGGGTTCTCCAGTTTCTGCTCACTATCTAAAAACATGCCAATTAATCTACCGGCTTCAAGCTGTGAGTGTTTGTGTCTGCACTGCGATGGACTGACGTCCCATCCAAGGTGTATCCCACCTTATACTCATTGCTTGCTGGGATAGGATCTTAAACTGGATTTAGCAGTTAGGAAATGGATAGATTTCAAACATCTCTTGGTGCAAAAAGCAACAAAGATGGCCAGGTAACGATTGAACATGGAACCTTTTTTTGACATGATGCTCGTTTCATTCATGAAAATTATTAGCTATTTTATGGTTCACATTAAACAGACCCTTTCAGACATCTAGCTATATAGGCAGTGCAAAATGTGACCTTTGTTTCACCACAGATGTAGAGTACAAAGTGCTTCTTTTACTTTGACCGCACAAGACTAAGAAAAGCCATTTAAAGCCACACAACTACTGAAATAAATTTGTTTTACAAGACAGGCTTCCATTTTGACATATACAAACATGACATTTTTTGCCAGCAGCACTGAAAGTTTGAAAGGTTTGAAAGTTCCTATTGAGGTTTAAGTACTATTTGGTCACCATGTAAGGATACATCAGGTTGGCGCAGGTGGTCATGGCCTGGTGGCGAATGGGAGTCTTCAGCACTTCTACTGGTTCACTTTTAATGAAATCCTTTGAACAGGGGGAAAAAAAATCAGGAATAATGATCAACACACAACAGTCACTCTTCTTTTAAAATAACAAAAGGCAATGCACGCTGTCTGTCCTCTTTTGTGAATGTGTATATATAGGGGGAAGAAGCAAATTACATGAAAGTAAGGAAAACCGGTTTTCCTAAGGATGGAATTCATACTGGTTACATTTTTCTACTCACACATTGATATTTGTTCATTTGTTCTCGGTTTAATGCTGAAGAACTGAAAATGAACTGTTTACGTCTTTGTATTTCATCACTTTTAATATAAATTCCAATACACACAAGATTTGTGAGTCACGTTAACATGTTATTCGGAAAACATGTACTAGAGCAACGTATGTCTGACAGCTCTTATTGATACATCATTTAAAATACTTAGGAGCTGTTTTTCATGCTTCATTGATTCTAAACCAATATTGGTTTCTGCGAAACTGGGTGAATAGGACCATCATACATGGAATGGATTAATAAAGCAGTGTTACAGATTAAATAAGAAAACACAGCTAATTGCTTGAAGAGGAAAAGTGATTAATTTAAATGCGTATAGGGCCCATTAGAGGCTGACCTGAATGGCACCAGGCACACAAACATATTGCAAAAAAGACTGAGAGAATTTGAAAAAAAAAGAGAAAACAAAGTTGTTCTCCTAAGATTGGAAGTAGTGGACGAAAAAAAAAAGATAAGAACTCCCATCTGCTGATCTATATGGTCTTGAAATCAGGGATGAAACTACATTCCCGTGAAATATACTGACCATCATGAGACCCATCAGCTCCTGCTTTCGGGAAAACATGTAGCTCTGTCTCCGCACACAAGCGCTGATGGCCCTGGCGATCAGCCCCACACTCTTGATCAGGCTCAGCTTCATGGTCAGATCCTGCACAGCGTCAAACAGAGACACATACCGCCTCAGCCTGATATTTCAAGGTAAGCGACCGCAGAGGCTTAAAAACAAGACTGTGGTCCTCGCAACATTGCAATCTATTGGCAGGAGGAGATTCATTCAGCAAAAGGCTCTGGAAATGTATTTAATATTACAGACTCGATGCAATTAAAGTACAAAACCTTTAGTCCAGGTTCTCAGTTAATTTGTGGGATCAAAACCTGATGTTCAAGTGCACAGGAAGGAAAGAAAAATTCAGTATCCCTACTGACACATCACCCTTAAAAACAAATGACGCATCAGGTCAGGCACTTGGCCGGAGTCTCCTGGCCAATCTCTCCTCAAAGACCAAAGGGATAACAAAATTCACCTCCAGGTGTGAACAATTTAGGAGAGGAAACGCATTCAATAGAGTTCATTGGTTGTACTGTAGTGGATCCTATAGGGCATGCACCTGGCGAGACGAGTTAAACTTAAGGTTTCTAGTGTTTATCTAGGCTGATCATTGGGTCTGCCAGATGCAAAACCAAATTTGTAAAAAAAAAAACGTATAATGTTTCCTTAATTCTCATTTTACTTGCCAAGAAACTGGCTGAAGAATCAGAAACAAATGTCACAATGAAACTTCTGTGTAGCGTTTCCGATTCGATTTAAAAACTGTTGTTGATTAATGTTAGACGCTATCATGAATTACAGGATTTCTGCAGGTGATCAATTATTTTTTCCATTTTTGTCATTTATGACCACACACCCTTAAATGGAATCCAACGCAGAGATCCTGGCTTCATTTTAAATTGTACACACAACAGATTTCCATCGCAAATCGTGCATTTAAAAATGTAATTTTAGATATGAAGGACACCAAAAAAATCTGTTCTTTCTCCAACAACAAAGGTGGCCACAGAAAATGCAAGCTTCAACTGTACTTAATGCTACTGGAGGAAAGATGTGTAGAAGAAGAAAATATTGCAAAAGGAAAACAATAAAAGCAAATACGAATACCAAACAGTCACCTCCTTACCTGTATTACATAAACTCAGGTTTCCAGAATATTCATTTTGTTCACAGTTACATTTCGATCTTTTGATCATGGTTCTTACTTATAAAAAAAATGTAGCTTACACATCGACAAAAAATAATATGGCTGAAAGATCTTTAGTAAAGCTTGAGAAATAATCAAACAAAAACTAAAGTATTAACTTCACATTTTAATACTTTTCAACAAAATGTATTCAGATTCTCTAAGTAAAAGGCAAGGATGTAATCTGAAAACATAAATTAGCCATTTTTAATAAAATTAAATATTTTATGTAGGCATCCCATTGGTAAAGCTCACCTAAAAGGTGACTATTTTTTAAATCTAAGGAATTAGTAGAAAACAGAGAAACTTTGAATTCATTGGGTTAGTAAGATGCAATAAGATTGAGAGGGCTCTCTTACAAAACCAGCAAATTCTTCTGAACTTCCTAAAATGCTATCTCTTCTCAAATATTTTGGTTTCTATGGGAAGGTTAGAAAAGGAGATAATTATTCCATCGTGTTTTCATAGATCAACAGAATACAGTAGAACGTAGTTAACTTGGAACTGTCCGAGACACAGGTGGTCAATATAGAGAAATTCTTGCCAAGATGTAGTATGATTCTTTCGATCAGTGAGCCTCAAATATAAATGAATCCATAAGACATTAAAAACAGCATGTGGTTCTCACTGTGTTATCCTCTGGCTGTCGGTGTCTCCCTTCCAATTATAACAAAGTTTCAGGATGACTTCTAAAATATTGCACGTCTTTAAAACCGGCAGTTTGTGTTTTCTTTTCTTTCCACACAGGAAATCCAAAGTAAATGCAGGACATGTCCATTAGGAAAGCCGTTTTAGGAAGCTCAGAAGCATACTTCTCAGACCTTGCTACCCTCATACCAAGATTTAGAAAAGCAATTTAGAGACAGTTAAGATTTTAGTGAAGAAAAAGACTTTGTACACATTTCCTCACACTGTACCTTGGTCTCTACTTTAATTCCCAGAACCTGCATAACATAAAAGCAACATTTAAAATTCACATTCACATTCTTTTGACCGAAACATATGTTACTGAAAAGATTTTTGTTGAAAAAGTTTCTTTTACTTTCATTCATTAGCAAAGTAGCCCCTTTATATCTACATTATTGATCGGCAAATAGATATTAAACTCACTCAACAAAAGCAAGTAAAGCTGAGCTTACAAAGCAGACACATGAACTATTCATTTATTTTAGTTAGGAAAATACTTCCTCAGTAAGAGGAAATGACTGATGTACGTAGCCACTAAACCACAAAAAAAATTGAAAAGCTTCCTTTAGTTACATTTAATGGGTTCCTACTTTTTGGACAGAGCGGTTCTTTACAGTAATTTAGTAGGTGCTTGTTACTAATGTATTATGAATTGTAAGTTAGTATCTGTTTAGTATCACATGCACATAACATTCACAACCCATTTAATAAAGCTGGTCTGCAAGCTTTGTAAAATGGCTACGTTGAAAATACCTACTGTATTCCTATATTGGTATGTTAATATCACTGAGTATTTGATCTGCATTTAGTAAAACCTCACTTCAGTTATATGAAGTCATCCAGCAGAAAGCCAACTAAATCAAGAGCAGTGTTCCAGCAGCATTAAAAATGGATTTTCAAGCATAATGTTAAACCACAGTCATTTTGACAATTTTCCTTACCATTTAGGAAAATATTACAGCGTTACAGCAAAAGTCATAGGTATCTGCAGGCCTATTTTTAAGCCACCAAAAATGTACTATTATGATATTTTTACATAACCAGAAAACTACAGTCCAAAAGTGCTCAATTGTACAAACCTTTTTTTTTCTTCTAATTTTTTAGCACATGACAATTTACTAAAGAAAAACAGTGTCTATCCATGCATAAAGCTCAAGTGGCAGTTAGTAATGGTGGCTCACAAGAGCCTTTTAGTTTTTCTAAGTCCCAGTGTATGTAACCTACCTTGGTGTTAAAGTGTTTCCCGATGCTGCGTAAAATGTCTGAATCAATCCGGCCTAGAATCTTATCTTCCGGGGCACGAAGAGCTACATAGCCGTAACATAAAATTAAGGTGCTTTTCATCTTCTCAATATCCACATCATTTTTGTCCTATAATAGAAAAACATTTCAGATATTACTGCTTTAAATAGAGTGAGGTTTGTTTCCATACCATTCGTGTAATACCAAACATGTAAACCAGGCAATTCAATAATTTACATGTTCCACTACTAGACAAAATTCTCACACTGTATCATTGTAAGTTCAATACATCAAGCATGAGGAGCTTTATGAGTGTGGCTAACAGTAGGCAACTTTGAACTGACATGCCTTTGTGGACTCTTGTCCAACAGATTCATATTTTCAGAAAGACATTCAAGAACAAGCTGCAAAACTGGCATTTGGTTGGACAACAGACCAATTTCATTAGCCAAATCTATTGCAAATGCAAAGGAAAATCACCATCAAATACTGTAATGGAAATCTGCAATCAGATCATTTGAAGGTTGGATTTAATATGAATTTTAAAAAAGGACAACGGTGAAATGTTACCAGGAGATATTTGATCCGTAAAATTAACAAACTATAAGGACAGAAAAACTATGACACATACTGTATCTAGCACAGTCAAAACTATTAGTTTGATTCAGCCATGTTTCACCTACCTTTAGAAGACCAAATATTCCTGAAGCTTTCTTAAAGACATCAGATTTACCAAAATCTTCAAGCTTTGCCAACACATCATCAAGATGACTACTGGCACAGAGTCCAACTCCCATTGCAACGCCCTGTAAATCGGTTATTCAAAACACAAATTGTTTCATTAAACCTGATAAGTCTGGCCATGGTAATATCCTTGCTGTCTTTCATTGCAGATTTAAAAAAATCAGCATTTTCAGTATTCTCAGAAATTAAATACAAATCCTGAAGCTACAACTAAGGCCAAGAAGACAAGAGAATAAGATTCTCTATTTGAGAGAAGCAGTCACAAGCTTCCATTCATGAAGCAATTAAGCTGAGAGGCCATGGGAGAAGAAGAGGACCATCCTCTTATCTGCAAAAACTATAAACAGGAAATGTATTACTGTAAGTAAAAAAACAATCTGCATTGTTTAATCTATATTTAGCTCTATTTAATGGCAGGTGCAGCTGCATGCTTTGCTCTGTGGTCATTAAAAATCACAATGCGTTTATCGAAAAGAGTAGGGGTGTAACCCCGGTGTCCTCGCCAAATTTATCATTGGCCCTTACCAATCATGGCCTCCTAATAATCCCCCTCTCTGAATTGGCTACATTACTCTGCTCTCCTCCCCACTGATAGCTGATGTGTGGTGAGCGTTCTGGCGCACTATGGCTGCCGTCACATCATCCAGTTGGATGTTGCACATTGGTGATGGTGGAGGGGAGTCCCCATTACCTGTAAAGCACTTTGAGTGGAGTGTCCAGAAAAGCGCTATATAAGTATAAGCAATTATAATTATGAGCAGAACCAAACAAAAATTAACAAAACAAGAACTCAGCCCAGTTTAAACAAGTTTTAAAAAGAGAGAAAATAAAAACTTTTAGAATAAGACACAATCCGTATTTACGTAGTTGTATTCACAGATTATGGCAAGAATGAGAATACCAGTGGCTCGGAAGTCGGCGTGTTTTACCTCTCTTTCAATGGCATCATTGTGTCGTGCATTGACCAGCATTTCCTGCAGCTCTTTTCTGACAACATCGTAATTGTAACACTGCCTGAGGGTCACTCCGATGCACTTGTAGAGAAATCTCTGTGGTGGTGAGGACAGAGAGCAGGTGCACTTGAACATACTTTTTTTTTACATTTAAATTCAACAGAATGAGTGTTCCATCTTTATCTGAGGTGAGCGATAGTCTTTTCCTTTACCACATACAGATACAGTATAGACACAGACAGGAACATAGCTTCAGGTGTGGATATAGGGAGAGTACTTATATAGGTACAGGTATCAACACTGACTTTACATGCATGACCACGACATACTCCGTGTAGAAGGAAAAGGAAGAAAAAGGAGAGAGGAGAAAAAAGAGCACTAGTTACTTCAGAAGCAGGTTCTATCATTCCTCTCTTCCTTTTTAGTGCATATACGTCCATATGAGAGAATAGTCAATTTTAAAGTGTTAATGAATGGAACTAATTATTTTCAAGGTGTACAAATTTTATTCTTGAGAGATGCAATTCATTCTCTCCATTGAAATGTAATCTGTAAGAAGGCTAAGCCATTGAAAATGTTTAGTCTCTAGATATCCAGTTTAAGAGGACACATTTCTGAAAGTAGCTACTGTACATCGTGCATAACTCCAGCAACTCATAACTGGCAACCCACTGAAGCTCAGCAGGTATCAGTACACGGGTGGGAGACCTTCTGGGAAAGCTAAGGCTGCTGCTGGAAGAGGTGTTAAAGGGGCTAGTAGGAGACGCTCACCCTGCGGTCTGTGTGGGCTCTAATGCCCCAGTATAGAGATGGGGCACTATACTGTAAAAAAAGCACTGTCTTTAAGGTGAGACGAAAAAAAGCAGTCCTGACTCTCTGTGGTCATGAAAAACCCCAGGGTGTTTTTTTTTTTAAAAGAATAGGGGTGTGACCCCAGTGTCCTGGCCAAGAGTTCCCCTGGACTTTGTCATAACAATCCTATGAATCCCTTTCTATGAATCAGAAGTTCTATTCTCCTCCCCACGGATAGCTGATCTGTGGAGAGCACACTGGTGAAGTTTGGCTGCCGTCACTTCATCCACTGAGATCACTGATGTCCTCTTGTAAAGAATTTGATGGTCCTTGCAAGTATAACAGCACATCATCTGAAAATGTTTTCATTTCATACACTGACGGACAAAAACACAAATATCTGAAACAATAACCACATTCGGCATTACAGTAGTGCGACTTCTTCTAGACACGTACCTTCTCCTCCAAGAAGTTGTTGTAAGTTGTGTGACATTTGGTCATCTCTGAAGCCAGCTGACAGGTCCATTTCTCATCGGAGATAGTTTGAAGAGTTTTGGAAAGGAACTACAATGAAATAATAAAACTAGCCTGAGCATACTTTGATGGAAAGCACTGCCTTTTTTTAAACGTCCGTTTCAACCACCGTATTGTAACTTAACACATTTCCCTGCCTATCAACACTCATTTTGTGAAACACATTTGGCTTATCTGTGAATTGTACCTGATAAGCTTCATTTTTAATGTTTCACTTGGTAATTAAATTTTCAGGTAAAGACTGAATGTAATATTGCACTGTCAATCTTGAAATCTGGAAAAAAGTGTAAAGCTAAAAGAAAATTACACATTTTCTTTGAGATAAAAAAAATCTTTATTAAATTCTGAAAGTTGTTCCCACTTAATGAAAAGATCATGATTAGATTCACATATCAACTTAAACTGCATCCCTAGGGGACAGTGCATTTAAGAATTCGCAATTTACATATACAAAGGGATGGCTTTAAAACATTCACAATTTAAAAGCAATATAGCTACTGCATTAATGTGAAAAAAAATATATTGCGGAACGAAATAACTGTAATTACTGAATTACTGGGAGCGAGTTTATTTAGGAACAAAAGGAATAATGCCACACCTCAAGCAAGCTTTCCTCCCATCTCTTCATATTTATTGTTTCCTCAGTTGATTCTGAATGCCAAAAAAGAGACAACTTTAAGACGATATCCAGATGCGTAAAGATGGAAAAATGAACAAGAATTTAAAAAAAGTGTAAGGCAGGACTACATTCCCAAGACACCTGACCATCACAGGGCTGTAAACTAAGCACTGCAAATCAAATGTTTATTTTCATGGGGGAAACAATTAATGGCACAAAGCCAGGTGGCTGCTTGTGGAGACGAGCTTCCTTTCACTAGTTTAGCTTTTTGGACATCTTAGGAAGAAAGCCTAAAATCAGAAATGTATAATGGTGTTGGTGATGATGATGATGATGATTATTTTTTACTATCATCATCATCATCATCATGTAAAGCCTTTTCCTGGTTTAGTAAGAAATTAAATATATAATGAGTATCTTAAGAATCACTACTTATCAGTTCCTTTCCGTTCACCAGCTCTGATATTCAACAGCGTCAATGACCTCACCTTCTGTGCCCGATCGACTCTCTCACTAATGAGGTAATTCAGCACCAATGCGACCATCAAAATCACTCGGGTGTTATCAAAAGTTCATCATGCAATGATCAATTAATTAATGATTCCAAAAATGATTCTTATAAAAAAACCCTGCACTTTCTTCTTCCAAAAATATAGAAAGAGAAATTGAGTGAAATGGTTTCTTTTAAAGCTCAGTATATATTATGTAAATGTGGATACACTCTATGCTGGTATATACTGCATTAATAAAGGGGAGATTATCAGCAAGTCTTCCTTTTTTGCATATACAACCTTATTTAGGCATGTCCCAAGTAATAAAGTAATAAACTTTCTGTTGTATTCAGTATGCATTCAGTTAAAAGGCCTTTACCTTCCAGGTAGTGTACCAAGACAGGGATCTCAGCCTCCCACAGTTTCTCTGTGAGAGGGTGGATGTTGGGGCTCATGAGCTGGAGCAAGTTTAGAGAGGGAATACCCCGACCTCTGTTTTGGAATGGGAAAGAGGCAATGACCTAAAAAAAACATTCAAATGCCAGAGTTACTTAACATTACCAAACATTTAGAGATTGTTTTATTTATTTTTTCCTTCACTTACCAACAGCCTGGTCATTAATGCTTGTGGTGAAGGAAGGTGAGCTAAAACACAAAACACAAAACAGTCAATTATAATCTTGCATTGCTTTCCACTTGTTAGTCATTCTGTTTTCATTATGGAAATGGCTTAATCATTTCATTTTTGTTCCATCAGATGTGATTCAACTTTCATCACCTTTTGATGGGCTGCAAAATAAGGTTTTGATTTTTATATGTAATGATTGTTTCTGGGGGTTCAGGCTACTGAACTACTGAAGATGCTTGTTCAAGAGCTCATTGTGCCTTACAAGTTTGAATGTGGGCTGGGTCATTAGACAGCTATGAGCAGGACTTCAAAGCAAAAACAACATTATCCACTTGAAACCAGTTAAGGCAAAATGAAAACAGAATCTTAGGCTTGCTGTCAAATAATGTTGTCAAATACACATTTGTGTCTGGTAGAGCGCCATACTAAGGCTGTATTATGGATTTTTAACGTGTCACTATGGTTCCAAATGCATTGAATTTGTCTACATTGAAGTCTCCCAACTTGGCTTTTGGTATTCTCCCAAAAGTCATATTTTAAAGCATTAAGTGTCTTAACACACTGTTGCTACAGTGAAAAGTCTCCCTATAGAGAAGCTACCATAGCATGGCTATGAAACCATTATAATAAAATACCTTGCTCATTGAAGTCAATAATAAAATTCGACTCTTGGGCGGCTTTCTTCTTGTTCCCCAGCAAGATAAGGCTCTTGCACAGAGGAGTCAGAGCATTCGTACACTGGACAGTGGTCAAGTAACAAAGTAAGCTGGGCCACAGCACCTAAGAAGGAAGACGGAGAAAGCAGCAAGAATAGACAATTCATTCCACCTCAAAAAATATTGTTTGTAATTGCTTTTCCCCCCCAATATTACCTCCACTTAACCTGCAACAGAATATAATATATAAAGATGAAAAATAGATATAATCCATGTATCCATTTTCTAACCACTTCAGCTGGAGTAGCTGGAGCCCTGTTCTGGTTAGCAATGGGTGCAAGGCAGAACACACCCTGCTAACGACTTCATTTCTGGGCAAGACCCCCGAGAGGACCAGTCCAAAATGATAAAAGTGCAAAGCAATAAAACGGAGAGCTGATGAGCCCTGCTTTGTTTTTGCTTCCGATGGGGTTTTTTTTTTTTTTTTGGAGGGGTTTACTTCAAATAATTCAAAGAAATGTAACAACATGGCCTTTTCTTCCTTCTACTGTTTGGTACTTGTGTTGCGGGCAGACAAGAGGACTAGACTACCTACATCCGTCATCCTGCCCACGGTGGTCGTAAAGAGATGCAGAGTGTTTTCACACATGCTCCGGAGGGACTCGTTGGACACGTACTCAGGATCGGGTGGACGCTGGCTGTGCTAAAACACGAATGAGAGGATACAAAACCCAGTTTCAAATCTTAGGACTACAAAAACCTGGAATTGGGTCGAAGCGCCTGTTCTTGGCCTTTGAATAGCCCCCAGCTCTGCACTGTCTCCTTTATTCTGCCTCTGTTTTGTTCTAACCTGTTTCTTGTCTTGTATTGCTTTGGTTCCAGTATATACAGCGTTTATCTACACATTATAATCCCATAAGAAACTTCTACTGCTTCAAATTAGGAAAGACAGTTTTTAGAAACCCTTTTCGTACTTCTCAAATTGAATATTTTTTACTGTACTTAAGAAAGGTATAAATCGAACAAATCTCTTTGTACTTTATATTTTTACACAAGGAGAGCACAAAATACCTCTGTGTCTGGAAGAGCACAGTGAAACACAATAAATTTCACCAGCATTTCTCCACCCTCAAGCTCAAGGAAACCATGGTGAGCCATGGCACTGATCACCTGGACAACCATCTTCTTCACCTGCAGGAGGCAATGAACAACACTCTGAATAAAGAACAACAATAACGCACGGAAGGCTTTAAAATAGGATTACATGTCATTGTTTTCTTGTATTTAGGTACAGAAAAGTCTTTTGGAGAACAAAGTCAGAACAATTGCCATGTGTTATATTAAGTTTAAGTACAAAAAAAGAAAAATATTTGCCAGGTTTATCATCACACAGCCGAGAAGAACTAAGTGCAATACGGCACACTGATGCATGTCTGATTAAAAAGACCTAGCTGTGCAAGAGCATGGTTTTTAGTGCCTTCACCATTCTTGGGGCTTGAGTCTAATTGCAGACCGGATGTGTGGAGTTTGAATGTCTGAACCTTAACTTCACCCAGTTATCATTTCTGCTACTCTCAGGGCTCTGAAACTAATTTCCTTTAGCAGTAAGCTGATCAGCCATCTGTACTGAATAAGCACACAGGCTTAAACTTAATGGTTTGTTCACTGTAATTTCCATATTATCATGCTTAAACCCAAGGGATTCTTATCTTTGGGCACAGCGTAAAGAACTAGTGTAAACTGCAGAACTGAAAATGCCAATTCACTCTACAACTTTGCCAAGCACATAAAAGAAGATAAAAGGGAAATATTTTCTGTTGATCTGGCCAACAGATATCTTCTAGCCGAGCGGAACTCTACCTTATTACTTTGGTCCTGCAATGGCTGCTTAATGCTGGCTAGGATAAGAGGTTTCTTGATCTCCATAATTGATGCTGGAAAACAAATGCAGATCAATCCTTGAGAATTTTTCAAAGCACTTCTAACCACATTGAAGTAAAAAAAACAACAACACTTTAGATAAGAATTTTCTCTGCTCAAAACCAAAGCTGTCTATTTCTTGCTACATCTGCAAGAACACATTTTCAAAATAGCAGCGGTAAAGTAAAACTCTTGGGGAAATCATCTTTTCGCGACGCTGAAAACATTTCACTGCTGTCGTGTGTGATATCTGAGTCTTCCCTTCAGAAATGAGCAGTTTCCTTGTTCTGGAACTTACGAGTGGAATTGATGAGGTGCCTCAGTACTGCGAGGGAACCGATGCGATTTCGCTCGTTGCTGTTTTCCAGCTTCTGGAGGACAAATCCTATTAAGCGGTCAGGAAAAGTGTTGGCTGTCAAAAACAGAAAGTTAAAAAAGGTCAACGGACACATCTTATAGAACACAAATATTTCAATCACCCCTATTCGCAGCTGAAGTTTTCTTTGGAGGTGCTACTCTACAGTTTATTCAGCGCCAAAGAAAAATGAGCTCAACTATTCTTTTTAAAATACTTTGGGTATCTGTGTTTATAGTTTAAAGCTGTTAATGTGCACATGTTTGAAATAAAAATATGTTGGAAATTCAGTACTAAACGTATTAGGTCTTATTTGTACATATATTGTTGTAGGCCTTATATAAAAATCCAGACTTTCCTGGAAGCACACAACTGAATACCAACAGAGGTGTTTATTATAAACAGTTGTAACATACAGACTTTAAATCTCATGACTTTATGGACATTACATAAAAAAACACATCATGAATAATATTGCCTGCTAATTTGTTTTATTTTTAAATGAAGGATCATTAACTAATTTAGAATATGTTCTATATTTGTGACAATAGCTGGAATTTTGAAATGTGTTGCACAATGTGCACAGAACTGCACTCTCTTCAGAAATAAAGTCACAAAGTGGCATGGTGTTTCCTCAGAGATCTATTCCATCCATTTTTAGAAAGCTGTTTATTTGTGCCAAAGGATGTGGCAACCAGGAGCCTATCTGGGTAGTGTAAGGCACAAGGAGGGAGAGAAGAAGGAGGTTCATCACAGGACAGACGCACATGATGTAACCAAAAAAATGGTCAACTGACTATGACTAAGCACAAAAGTCTGCACGTTACTTAATAGTCAACATGTAAAACTAAATTCATGACCTAAACAGTAACATAACCAAGTCTGAATTGTATTGTATGCTATACATTTTTAAAAAATGTCACAACATAAAACACCTACCTAATATGCTGAAGCATCGCAATATCTCATTATGATTTTTCACAGTTGGTGGATTACTGTAATCAACTGGGGTGCATACCTAAAGCAGTAAAACAGTTGCATTGAAAGTTAATTGCTTTGCATTTGTTACTTTTTAAACTTCTTTGCTGAAATAAGCTTACTGCAATACTGTATTAGAATTCTAAAATTATTATAATAATAATACAATTACTGAAAACTCCCTTCCCTCTCAATTCCTGCCCTGTGCCATTTTTAATGCATGCAATGTTTAAATTGCACTACTATAAAGGATTTCATTCTGCTGTTTGAGTGTCACAAGGCACAATCCTTCCTCTTCAGTATTTTCTATAATATAATTTCAATCAGAAAATGTATAGTTCATGTTAAGACTTCAACACCTGGCTAAAATATTTAAGTATGATATCTGACATCTTAGTTAGACTATCTACATTTTAATAGCTCATGAATAATGTGAGTACTATAAAGAGGTAACGTATGGCTCATTAGCAGAACGGTTTGTTTTTTTTAAATGCATTTACCTGCTGATGTAAGGTGAACAGCAGGCTGTCTATTTGAGTCTCCAAAATACGACTGCCCATGTTCACAGAGGCATCAAGAATCTGACACAGACTCTGCAGACAATAACAACAACGAATTATGTTCGTTGGTTAAACAATTTAACCGGTACCGAGATTTATTACCTCAACATTAGTAAACCCATGCAGCAACACACAAAACAGACACACCAGCATAAGCAGTCACTCATTACAGGAAGTTTCGATATACTTCAGGGTTGGGGACCAGAAAGTCACAGTGTATAGCAGAACAACTTATAACGTGGAATTTCTTCCCATTAGAACAATGTAAATATGGAGGGATTTAGGACTATAAGAGAGTAAACTTTACCCATGTGACTTCAACCAGGAGGCTGCTTCCATGAGAACTGAAGGAATATAGTCCCTACACTGATTCTAAGTTAGACTGAATGTTTCACCTGTTGTTAAAATACAGCACACAGGATCCTCATGTTCCTATAGAATTCATCTGCTAGCACAATCATTCTGGGGAATTAATATCCACAAAGAATAATATAATTAGCTTGGGATACTTGAGATTCTTTTATAGATTTAATGTAACTCAAATAAAATAGAATAGAAATAGGTCATCAATGCCTTTCAAACTGGGGTATTGTCAAAACCAACAAAGTTAGTCACCGCTTCAGGATAGATATTTTCCACACACTGTTCATGCATTTAATGTTAGAATAACATCTTGATCCACTGAATGAATCAGCGACGCAGTGTGTGGTGATAAAAACTCAGCTTGGATGCTGGGGCCTCACTCCTAATCGAAGCCATGTGGCAACAGATTGGTTTTTCAAGAAGAAGAATTATTCATGTTAGATTTTGCTCTTCACAATTTTTAATCAATTCCCGAACAAAATGATCCACAAACTGTCTATGTTGCTGGCTTTTGGTGCCTTGAAAAAATACATATGAGGGGAATTTGTAAGACGTCGGTTCTCTCCATTAATCAAACACATAAGTGCAAACAAATGTGTAGCAGGTTGACTGCCTGTGATAACGTTTTACGAAAAAAACTCTCTCAAGACACATCTGCATTCTAAGGCAGAAATATAGCTATGTATTCACTTTATTTCACTACAGAACACTAACTAAACAAGGCTGCAAGACTTGTCTTTGTTCAAACATATTTCAAAACCTCCTAAACCAATCTTGCTTACAAAACCACAGAAACTGACCTTGCTTAAGATGTAATGCTCCGAGTTCTTCTTATACAGAGAGAGCACTGTGGGGATCAGCTTGGGCAGTTGTTCTTCTAGTTTATCATGGGCCATCAGGTGACTCATAGGACCCAGAGCCTCAGCAACAGTCAGCCTCAGCTTGAAGACAGATTACAAAAGACCTTCAAGATCTTATCAACATGCACAACAGTCATGGCATATGTGATATCTTCTTAACGATATGAAAACAGGGAATATTTTGATTATTTTTTGTTTTGAATTTCTAGGGAAACAAAATTGTATCCAGCACCTTCACATAAGTATCAAATTCTTTGTCAACGTGTACGTTATGAAGCAACTAATCAGCAGGATCACCCACATTTTAACAAGGTTCAAAGAAGAAAACTTCCACAAAGTGAAATCTACAAGTTCTTCCCTATACAGGAGCTTCACTTAAGCGAACTAAAACGGAAGATTAGTTCTTGACAGCGTGACCTGCTGTGAAATTACTTCTTCGCATCCAGTAAAGCAAAGAACAGACGGGCTTTCACAACTGGCAATTCGGTAACAGAAGCGCTGTTGAAAAGCGTAATCAAGTCATTGCAAATTGGTCCCACTGCATTTCTAATTTCATGTACCTTAGCCTCCCTGCTCTGCAGCCAGCTGTTGAAGAGGATGTCGTATGCAGCGAAGATCTCACTGGAGAAAGTGTCCTTCCTCACTGTGGGGTCAGGAGCTTTATCCAGGTTTGCCAGGTATTCCAAAATACTCTCACTGAAACGTGACAGCGCTACAGCATAAAAAGGAAGTACAAAAATTCCATTATCAGATACCTTTGCTATGTGCCTTGGTGAGCACCTAAGCCTTTACAACATGCATGCTTTGTACGTATCCACTATATGGCGTCTGAAGACAGGATCCCATGTATATCAAACTAAAACACCCTTAATTCACAAAGATACAAGGTGCTTTTTCCTCTTCTTAAAATGAAATAACTATAACTCTTTGTAAGGAAACAAGAAAGACAAGAGTCTTTTTTATAATCCAGGAGTTTCAAATTTGATTATCACATTTCCCTGAAACTAATTCCTGTGGCATTACACTGTATAATTCACTGGCCTTTAACTTTCTTCAAATTCAGACCCCCTAATTACCCCCTACAGTATATACATTATTGCCTGTTACTGTATGTGTCAATTAGGATCCTTTTATCAAGGTTTCTGCTTAGAACATCAACAATTAAGTTAAATATTTAAGCCCAAAGAATGTCAGAAAAAGATTTTTAAAGATTACTACCTAGGAATAAACAGAGATAGTATGTCAAAAAGCTGAGATCTAGAAGAATAAGTTTAGACCTTTCAAAACCTCATCACAGATCCCTGTAAAACCCAACTTGCATTAATATTAGTATTATCTCCTCAAAAAAGTTAGGATGCTAACTACATATTGTACACCGATTATTCCAAACATTTAATAAATCCTCACTTTCATTCAGTTCTAGTGTTTCTTGGACACTCTGAAAAGCACTCTGAGGGAGAGTGTGCTATAGTTTTAAACGTATATCAGTTTCATATGATTAATTTACAAAGCTATTTTTTATTTTAGTCATTTATAAAGAGTATTCATTATTAATTAGCTGCATCCATCTTTTTATTTTGTATATAGTATGTTTAACAGCATATCTCTGCAGAAAAAAAAACATGTTTCGTGTTTTTGCTCTTACCTGAAGAGAACACCCACTTCATGTTGTCTTGCTTGGCCATACCTAACATGGGCAGCATGGTACCCAAGATAGCATTGAGAAAAGGCACCATGCCATAAACTGTAGGGAAAAAAAAAGATAGTGTTGACTTAAGTAGACTTGCCCAGAAAAAGTTGAATTCATATTTTCTTTACTACTCTGTTGTTCAAACGAAACATAAAAACAAAGCTGAAGTGACTATGTGAAAATTACAATTTCATCAACAAATACATAATCTAATACTTAAAATTCCATCAAATTAAATTGTCTACTCATTGCCCAATGCTCACAAAAGGCCTTATCAAAATCCGTCTTCATGTACTGTTTCACTATGCCCTTTGAGCAGTGTATAATGATTAAAATTAATAACTCAAAAGCGCACTTTAAATTAAGAAATATTTAAATAATTAGAACCTTACTACAATTTAAGAAATCTGATTCTGAATCCTATTTTTTCTTATACTTCACCTGAGGTGGTATAAAAAAAAAGACAGGGTGTCTTTAAAAGTACTTTGTTTACCGTTTGAATCAGACAGATTTGCTAGTGTTTGAACTACAAAGAAATGAGGCAGGACTCCTGGCTGGAATTTACTCAGAATTTCCTCCATAATATCATTGATGTGTTTGTTGCCCACAGCAACCAGAATGTTGCTAGCTGCCTGTTGCCAATCAGGGACAACTTCCTAGGTGTAAGAAAAAGCACAAGTCACAACAGGGTTAATTGGCAGCCGTAGGTATATGTTTTATTGTACTATTGTATATTGCTCTCTATGGACAGAACAAAGGAAAATCCCTCATTACAGATCACAATGCAAAAACCGTTTGTAGAAACAATCCAGAATATGGGGAAGTCATGCCAAACTCAATGTAATCTTGCATATATAAATAATCAGAAGTACAGCTATACTTTGAAAAGAAAATAATTAACTTATAATAATGAAAACTCTCAGTTTCTTTCCTAACCTAGGAGTCTCCCAAAAGAAATTACAGTTCCCCTGAAAGGTTTTGGAACAGTTAAGTATAAACTGGGATTTTCAATAAGAATTCTAATAATTCAACCATTTTTTTCCCCATTTCCCATAAAACAACTTGAATTAAAAAAAACTTGCAAGTATCAAGCCTTACCTTTGACCTTGTCATTTCATCTGAGGCAAAAGAGATGACACTCTTGATTTTTTTATAGCTGATTGCATCTATCTTGCACTTTACCACCAACTCAATGGTTTGCAGTATTATAACCCGATGCCCTATGATGAGCTGAACATATAAAATAAAAGCAGTTAGTGTTCATATGGAGATTAAACTTTCAAGAAAAAACACTTTCAAACATGTATATGCATAGCATACCTAACTGTACAGAAAAAGAGGTAGAAATTACTGTTATGTAGTGTGAGGTTAATGCCAAAATAAAGATTTCAGATTTCTAATCTACTGTATGACTGTGCTATCAATAATCACTCTAAGTCTAAAATTCTGTTTCAAAGCACCTGTACCATTCCCTTGTAGGTATAGCAGATATCATCTGACTCACTTCAAATTTAAACTCAAGACGCACCTTTTTAATAGGGCCTATGTCTGATTGCCCTACCTTCATTCCTGTATGTTTTTGTTTGATTTGTTCTTCTACTTTTTATTTTTTTTGTCTTTTTTCTTTAGAACTATGTACAGCATCCTTGGGCTTGCAAAGACGGTTTATAAATAAGTTATTGTTTTTATTATTTTCACCATCATACTGAAATTATCTTTGTCAAGGTGAAGACATTCATTCTAGGCCAGATCAGCATGCTAAACCTGCTTCATACGAGTTTCTTTTTACCCTGACAGAAGTTGCTGAAATTGAAACAGAAGTGCCAAGTTTCCCCAAATCACCTAGTGAAGGAGGAACTGCAGAGAAAATTAAATATCAATATTTCTGTTTGGCACAGTAGCCCTGGTGTCTCTCTTCATAACACCATGAGTTCCCTTTTCTATAACTATGAATATCACATGAATCCCACGCAAGTGCAGATTTGAATCAATCAGCAGAAGAGACTGATGAGTGACAGTCTTAAACTACACAAGCCAAAGCATGCTCCATAAACAATAAAAATACACCTCTGTAGAATTCATGCCAAGCTAGAACACACAACACTCGGCTGTCACAACATTTGCAATCCATTTTCACACGAAAGGACGAAACAAGAGAAAAAAAACTAAATCATGTCAATCCACTGAGGGTTTGCAAATCTTTACAATTCATGGATGCAAATTCAAAATAAAATTGGGCGGAGTTCTCTCTGAACCTCCGAGTTCATTATTTTATTTTTATTAAAGAGGTTTAAAAAATAGTTTCCATGTTTACAGCAAAATCCCACCTTGCATGTTTGTATGTTTTTTTTTCCCTGCATATTTCCAGACTGGAGTGTCGGAGCGACGGACAATTACCACAGTGCAACTATAACTGAGAATACAGTCGCACTTCACTAGAGAGAGGTAGATATTAGGGAATTTCTAACAACAAAATCGGTGAGCGATAGAGACTTACAGTACCTTGGGGTGTTTGATGAGGTAGCCCTGGCACATGCTCAGGATCTTGTCAGGATGCTGTCTTCCCAGAGTCAGCAGTGACTTCCTGACTTGGTCCTGGACAAGAAGATCCTTGTCAATGGCCGCATCCATCAGAGCAAGACATATGTCTGAAGAAAAAAGGGCAAACATGACTCGGAAATGTAATTTTGTCCTCCAGGAAATTTGTTTGTAGAACCTACTAGCAAGTAAGTCTTTTTTTTTCTCATCCAAATTAAGAGTGCCCAGTTAAAAATGCTGTGGGAAATGTATTCCTGGGATCCATGATTATCCAACAAATAGGAGACCATTAAGTAAAAAAATAATGATTATTCTTCTTAAAACTTATATTGGCACATAAAAACAAATAACAGATCAGAAAGACACACAAAAGTTCAGTGTTGCAAAAATGGCTGTGTTCTTGAACCTTCTGACCAGAAGACAGAGAACATCTCTAACACTGTCAAATAAGGCCTCCTGCAACAACACATTACTTGCCAAAACTGAGCTGGGTGTGGCTTGAAGGGTATATGTCACGTCTTGTAGTCGAGCATTGCAACACTTGCCTTGTTACTTAACATAAGCATGATGGCCCAGTGTATATAAATTGTAGGTTCAGAGATAAAATTAATTACAAGTAGAAACTACAACTTGAAGTACTTGTAGCAGTAAAAAAAATGTTACCTTCTATCAATGAAGGTTATATACTGGAAAAAAGCTCATATATTAAAATGAATAGTAAACTAAAATAAGAATTTGCATGTTCCCTGCCCCTATGTTTGGAGACTTTAGGCCAGAAAACCCTGAAGGTATTTCTACGTTACTGAAAAGTGACTCCAGGACATTTCGTGAACATTTACATACTGCAAGGAAAAATGTCAGGTACAGTACACAACTCTCTGTAAGAGCATTTGCAAGATGAGCAGTGCATCAGTTCTTCTTCCTGACTACTCTGCCACTTTTTTTATACTCCTTCCAGATTTTGAACAGCAACAGAAAAGTGATTCATTGCAAAATAAAATGAAATGGTCACATCCTATCTTTGCTCACAGATGGCCAACTGGAAATGTTTCTTGTAAAGAAAAAAAAGAGGGAAGTTCAATTCATCAGCGTCATCTTTTACATGAAAGCAGCCAGGTTGATATGTACTTACGCTCGACATCTGATTCCTCCATTTTGCCTGTTGAGAGGCTTCTCACAGGAATTCAGGAATGCATCTGTCACCCTCAGAAGAATTAAACCTCCAAAGTGTTTAGCTTTAAATGGGAAAAGGTTAGGCACAACACAAAACGAGTTACTTTTTTATCTGTAACTAAATGATACAATGCCAGTAAACATTACTACCCCCTAAAATATACCTGTACACATCCCAACTGTGTTTGTAACATTGAATACCCTAGTTTCAAGATTGGTTTGCAAGGGCAGTGCACTCAAACCCCTAACTGCTTTATCTAATTTTGTGATTCATTTTAATAAACAAGGCTAATTTCGAGAAATGCATGACCCAGAAGAAACCTAGTGGAAATGTCCATGCCAGCTGTTTTTTTTTTCGTTGTCCCCTATTACTTTAGGATGGAATAATTCCAAGAATTAAAAATCAGCCTAGCAGATAAGCACTGATTTCCTTAGCGTGGGTAAAAGGTTGTACTGCTTCCGTGCCCCATCAAAACACTTGTTTTCGCTTCTATAGATAGGGAAAAAATATATTTCAAAATAACGTATAAAACAAATATGACGTATTGTTTTAATAGAAAGCATAGATACGAATCCTAGACGTACATGAATATACAGAGCGTATTATTTGAAGAACAATTAGCAAATTACACTACAGTTTCTCAAACGACTACAAAGGCGATATGGCTGCAGCACAAAAAAATCCAGACGCTATATTTAAAATCATAAAAAGGATTTGTCTCACTTTCCCCTATTGAGACTGTTATCTTTACACTAGCTATGTCTGGCTCCGCTGTGCACTTCCTCGAGTCAGGAACGGTGTGTACTAAAAGTGGGATAATGCTTTTATCGGTACTGCATTACGTGCTCCTTATTTAAGTTGTAAAACATTCAACTACATGCTTCGTGAAACCAGAAGTGTTTATTCCGTTTATCTTGTTTAATCGATAGGTTGATGCAATGCAGCAGAATCGCTTCCTACCTTAACGAAGTATGCACAAGACCTACCAAACCCTCCTCCCCCTTTTAAAGCTCCACTGGAAAAAAAAAGGCTGATTTCGCAATGGATATAATCGTTCAGATCTCCGGAAATGCAAAACCGTAAATCCTAAACCGAAATTGTTACACGGAGATATTCGGATTCTTTTTTACACACATTTTACTTCTCTCACATTCCCTGCTCGGTACTACACCAGTTATGTTGCAGTTGCAGGATCGCAGGTAAACACGCCTAATCATGTGCTCTGAGTCAGCAGGGACGTACAGAGGAGGCGTGTCGCCATAGCAGTCCGCCAGCCGGCCTCTCGGCAGCGTTTTCTAGGCACCATAGAGCTCGGAATTACGCGTGTACGCACTTCCGCTACTTTAGTTTTTAATACACTACTTAATACAGTCTGAAAGTCGCTAAAGGGAAGGTAGATTAGTCTCTGAGATGTATTTAGAGAAAAAAAAGAAGCCTGCGATATTTATCTTGGAGCGTCCTTGCAACAGGTTCATCATCATTCAAAATGTTTCTTGCAGCTGAAGTCTGAAGTACAGCGACATGTGAACGTGTTCAGTTTTGGCTGAATAATGAAAGCTTTTCGAGTTAACAAAATCGTTTTCAGTACACGCTTTCCTTTTAATTACAGTTCTAAAATAAAACAAACTTGAGTTTTTGCCAAACTTTCCAAATCGTCTACAAGAAGTACGTTTGTAATCTGAATGTGATCGTTGATAAAGCCTTGGGAGCTGAATGCACAATGAACAAAACGTTCACTTTATCCCTCGTTTCCTTAATCCGTTATATTACTCAGATTAACATATTTCAGCGTTACAGTACCCACACCCCCTTTCACAGGATTTTACATTTCACAAATTACAATAATTGGCACACTTAAGGAAATTAAACTGGGTTATATAACTTACACGTGTAACTGAACTCAAATGAGTCAATACATCTGTTCGCTCTCCTGGATTTAAATACTAGTGTAATTTAATCATTTGAGAATTTGTGCTGGCAAGTCAGTTACTAAAGATTGGATATTCTGTAAATGCTAGATGATCAAGCTTGGTCCAGGAGAGACACAGTCTCAGCATATCATCAATTTGTAAAGATGTGAAATAGAACAAGTAATAGGTTTATTCCATATTGAAAAAAAAAGAGAAAAAACACAACGTTTCGGCCGTGGAGCCTTCTTCAGGTGTGAGAGCTGTCAAATGTGAAATATATCAGTTTTGATTAATTTATGAAGTTACATGGTTCCATTAAGGCAGATGTGTCCAACTGTGGTCCTTGAGAGATACAGGGTGTTGTAATTTTCTTTTTTTTTAAAAATAACCCATATTAGGGTGTCATGGCGGCACAGTGGTTAGGACTGCTACCTCAGAGTGCTCAGAGCCCGAGTTCAATTCCAGACCGATAGTGCTATCTGTGTGGAGCTTGTATGCTCTCCCATTCCTCCAGGTGCTCCAGTTTCCCACTGTAGTCCAAAGGCATACTGGTAGGTTAATCGGCTTCAGTAAGTGAGTATCTTGCCTTGTGCCTGTTGCTTACCAAGATAAGATGGCTCCTCCCATATCTCTGTATTGGATGAAGCGGTTAGAAAATGGTTGAATGGACAGATAACCTCTATCAGGGCAGAGCAATGGTGCAGTGGTACTGTAGCTCTGCTGCCTCGCAGCTCTTGGATCCTGGGGTGCCTTTTGTGTGGAGCTTGTGTGTTCTCCTCACAACCCTGTGCATGGTTTTCGTAGGCTTCTGCAGTTTCCTCCCCTCATCCAACACGCTGTTCAGCTCAGTTAGCATCTTTAACTTGCCCCCTACAGGTACGAGTTTAAGCACTCAGCCCAACCACTTTGCCCCGCCGACTGCTTTTTTAAAATTTATTTTTATCAGTGATGACATTACTGTAACAGATTATGTGTGTGCTGGAGTCTGCTCTGGATGTCCCATCTTGTAACCACTGTCTGTGAGGCTAGTCTCTGTTTCGCTGCAACCCTGAATTGGACTGAATCGTAATATTAGAAAGTATTTAGAAACTCAGTGATTTACAAAGACAGCTAGATTAGGGTGATCACCCTATCTTACGAAAAGGTGTAAAACAAGACTAGTGCAAATTAACGTTTGGCAACCTTTTTGCAAATTTCTGATGTTTACATATAAAAGGCCAGTGAGTCTGCTCTTAGTAGGCCATTAATCCCCCGTCAATGTTAAATTAAAACCGATAATTAGATTTGTTGTTATTCAGGAGAGGAGATGGAATGGGAATTTGTTCATCCCAGGTTGAAAGAAAGTGGAGAGGAGAACAGAGGTCTCTAAGGATGTACTTCAACCTGGGAGGTGAGGCCAGACGTACTGTAGTAACCTGGCTGACAGGCATCCAGTTTCAGGTGATTGGGGAATCGCCAGTATCCCAGGAAGAAAGGTTAGTGGTGGCACAGGAGAAGCTCAGAAAGCTCCAGCTTTTGGTGGATAAGCGTGAGACGTAAGGGTGGGGAGTCCTGGTTCCTCACACCGGTTGGTACGGAGGGCTCAGAGGTTTCTCAGAATTTCAGGGACAGCAAGGAAGAGGCTGAGGGAGAAGATGGGTCAAGAGCCAGAGGTGCATTGCAATGTCTATGGAAAAGGAGAAGTGAGGACTGAGCTAGCCACCCAGCTCCTGTCTGCTAATCAACTCTGTCCGTGTACATTTCACAGGGTTATCAGTGTGACTCGTGACATCTAGTGAAGATGAGACCTCACCTGATTCGCGATGGGAAGCTGTTTGCAAGAAAATGCACTGTATCCCAAATTTTATGTTAGAAAAATAATTTAATACTTGCATAATGACATGAAAACAATAATATAACAACTGTGAAATGCAAATACAAATATACTTCTTAGCTGGTTCAAATGAGCCAGAAAGTCCCTTGAGCATGTGTAAAATAATTATTACAGTATCACAACTTGGTACATGCTCACTTTAATGTCTCTTTTATAAGAAGTCTAGTTACTTTTACTTTGTTCGTATTATTTCTTGAGTTGCCATGCGGATGATTTCATTGAAATCAAAGTGAAGGTATTTCCTCCAGAATCGTCTGTCCTTGCCAAATGTCTGAGCTGGGTAACAGGGGCTTCCTGCAGATTGAATTTGAAGAGGGAAGTAAAAAAAAAAAGAATGAACAGGTTGTAAATAAGTACTTGACAAAAGTTTGAGTTTGTAGCCGTGCTGGCATCCGTAGGCTGCAAAGAAACAGGTAAGGCTTCATTCCGTGCAAAAGGTGAGGAAAAGAAAATCGTTTCAGCTGTGAGCTCTCTTCAGGTGACAAAGCAGGAGCCATCTGAAAAAGGCTCCGCAGCCGAAACAATTTGTTTCTTTTCTTTTCAACATGGAATAAACTTTTACCCGTTCCTCTACCTACGATCTTTAAATCTTAATCATATTCCGCCAGAATGGCTGTTTCCTTTAAAGTTTACAACTAAGAACCTCTGTATTTACCCAAAAATATTCCATAAATCTCAACTGCTATGATTAAAAGGTTCCAGAAAAATGACAGAAGTTTCCATCCATGTTTTAAACTCTTCTTCCAATTCGGTGTTGCAGGGAAGCCAGGGTGAGAACCATCTGGTGGACAGCCTAACCAGTCCATCACAGGGCACACACAGACACAAACATGGTCACACTCACACCAGGGCTAATTTTCCCAGAAGCCAATTAACCTTCCAGTATGTTTTTGGACTGAGAGAGGAAACTGGAGCATCCAGTGGGATCCCACATGAATATGGGGAAAACAAACCGACTCCACACAGAGAGCACCCCAGGTCCGGAACTGAACCCAGGGCCCCAGCGCTGCAAGACAGCAATGCTCACCACTGCGCCACCCTATTAAAAAAAATAAATAACGCCTCGATAACGATAAAGTCAAACCAATGTCTTTTGGACCGCTCACCAATTCCATGAAAAACCCGGGCAACAGCTCTTCCAGAGAACTTCTCATCACTGTGGCAGGAAAGGAAGCTTCGGATATCAGCTCGAATCTGATCTTCCCAGTCTTTGAGCTGAAATTATAGACTCCGTTTAAGAATATGTTTTATTCTCTCCTCAACGTTTCTTCAACAATGGAACAGTTAGCAACTATGCATACTTTTAAATGCAAAATGTCCAGAGACTGAAATACACACTAGGAGGTAGTTTTAAGAGGGCTCTCTCAGTCTTTTGGCACATATCATTATATACAGGTCTTTTTAGTAAGACGGTGGTGTACATGCAGTCTATTTAGAAAAGAATATCTTAGAAAATACAATTTATGTGCATTTATCAAAGAGTAGAAAGCTTCAGCCGAGGCCATCTAAGGCCACATCACACAAATCAAACCTTGGATTCACTCAGCTCCTCGTCTTCTTTCTCTTTATCTTCCTCATATTTTTTGCTCAGGTCTAGATCCATCTTCTCATCGAAATAGTCCCTTAGCAGCTTCTTCAACTTGAGGCTCCTTTCCTCGTCCATCTCATCGGTGCAGAAGCTGCAGTTTCGATACGCGACGCTGGGAGAATGGAAGAAATAAAAACAAAAAATCTTGCTCAGGCTGACCAATTTCTAGGGTTTCCTTTAAAGGCTTGTTTGAGTGGACCTATATCCTAAACACATAAATACATGCATGCAAGCACAGGAAATGACTGTGTGTATTAAATTAATAATTAAAATGAAACTGATTAACTAGAAATTTGCAAGCAGCTTTTAAGCCTTCCAAGAGGCCTTCCCTGCTCTCTTACTTTAACAGTCTAAGTGCACTTCAAGTAAATTAATGGCTAATTTACACTGGGAGAGTTTGCCCATGGGGAGTCAATGCTGTAATCCATACTGAAAACCTGTGGGTCTGCATCCTATTGTGTATTTTTAAGCTTCACGTCTATTTTCAGGGAGCACAGTAGTTAGCTTTGCTGCCTTGCAGTGTTGGGGTCCTAGGTTCAATGCCTGATCTGGGGTGCTATGTGTGTGCAGTTAGTATGTGTTTGTGTGGGTTTTCACCGGGTGCTCCGGTTTTATCACTCCGTCCCACACTGGCCCACACTACACACAAAGAGAAAGTCATCTGTCAGTATCGCTATGTAAAGCCCATCGGTCCTGCTTTTCTGTTGCTCTTACCTGCGGAAGGCTTTGAAACAGGCTTTCAGCTGGTACAGTTGCGTTCTCTCCTGAGCCAGCACTCGCCGATGCAGAAACTCACACACCCCATCCAGCTCCTCGGGAGTCAGGTCACCATAGGAACGGAAGTGGAAGGAAAGATTCGAGAACTCCACCAGAACCCCACTCCTTCCTGTGCCACTGGATCCATGAAAGCCTGGACAAAGAAGAAATAAAAGCATAAGGTGAATCTCTTTATATTCAGAGGACATAAGCAGTTGTCACCTGCTGATGCTTTGACCAGGATTTTTAAGCTATTTTGTTACACAGCGATAGGGTATGTAACAAAACAATATGTATTGTCTGTAATGAAATTGAGTTGCATACTGGATTTCACCTCTCGTCCAAGCTGACCTCTGCCGATTTCCTGCTACTTCAAGCAATAGGCTCCAACACAAACCTGGTGGCTTATGGGGCCCAAAGACTCCAAACTCACAATGACGTGAAGAAGTACAGAGAAAGTAGTCTTTATTTCATCCAAACAGTAGCAACACAACTCTCAAATTACCATACTCAAGTTACCCAACTATTCTACAGTGTCCAATAAAGTTGCTTCAAAAAAACAACTAACACTAAAACCCTTTATGTACCCAACCATCCCTAATCACATCCAAGTGAAAACGTGTCTTTCATTCACATTCACAAATTAATCCAGTTCATATTTGCCCGGTGTGTCTATTTACAGTGATTAGAGGTCTTTAATGGCCTCTAGTGCTAGGTCTGCTAAAAATGTCCTAACTTGGCTTTCAACACTCCAGTCCTTCTCTTAACAAATGTTCTCCTTGTTTTCTCCAAGGATCATGAAATTGCTGTTCACAAGGAAATTGTTTTAGGTCTTGAACTGTTTAGGAGATGTAGTGAAAATCTCTCTTTGTTCCGTTTTCAAACGATACTGTCAGCCCACTGTGTATCAAAACCAATATGCTGTCTGAACAATTTTCAATTATTATATTGTTTTCCCTTGTGCACAAGTAACTTGTACTATAAAAGAGTACCCATTTCCTTAAAGGACGACTTGGTCCTGACAGTAACAGTTAACATTTTAACAGTTGTGTCCCAAAAATGAGCTTCCTGTGGTGAAAAGAAAGGCACGAGAGTGGGAGCAGCCCAAATAAAAAGGACAGAAGGAGTCTGTACCGCTCTGCATGCTCCACTGGAGCTGCCTCAGCCCTCTCTTCACGGGGACGAGCTCCCAGCCCATGGTGTCAGCCAGCTCCACGACATCGAACTCCACCGAGCTGCAGTGCTCCACATGGACTCCTGACAGCCGCATCCGCGCCAGGGTCACAGCTACAGGCGGGCAGCTGAGAACACAACACCCAGAGGTGACCCCACCTGGCAGGCGACAGTACTGCGCACTGAATGTTCCTACAGTAGGACAGCTGAACATCCACAGGATTTTGGTGGTGGGGAAAACTCTGAGCTCTTTTTTTAAGAAATAAAAAATCACAACATAAATCAGAGTTTTATTTTTCTTCCCTAGAGATAAAAGAAAAATCATAACTTGAGAAGAACAAAAGGGACAAAAATAAGTAAATAAAAGCACAGTAGATTCAAAGTTCAAATACCAAAAAAATTCTATAAAGCAAACTTGGTTTAAGGAAGAAGGAAAATCTTAATATCGCAATCTTACTGCGCACCTTTCCATATTCTGCATGGTAATTACTGTATTCCACATACACCTTGTTTAATCAAACAAGTCAAGCACTGAATAGTGTCATGGGAAGTCTGCAGAATGCCAGAGTGCACTCTAAAGACTACTCTAAGTGTTCTGTGTAGTAATAAAGCCCAGTGAATTGTCCATTCAGCATTTTCTGCAGGCCCATTGTGTAGATCGTTTATCGTGGCACCATCCTAGGACAACTCAGATGAATAAGATTCTCTCACATTTTGGTGAGCTTCCTGAGCTGCTGGGGCCCACCGTAGCAGACCAGGCGGCAGCTGGAAAGAGTGGGGTGCAGCAGCTCAACCCACTGCTGGGGATGCAGCTCCAGGTAACACAGCATAGTCTCTATACCTGAGGGGAGACACACACACACGAAAATCCTACTGTCTTAGTCTTTAGAAAACCTCACCGGTATCCGTTAAATACCTATATTTCTATATTTAACACAATCTGTACGCCTCTATTTTAAAACCAGGCAAACCGTTCAGGAGAAAACTAGCAAACGCATCTCATGTACTCAGAACTTGTTGGTGACTGTTATAGAGGATTGTGTCTTCCTTGAACTTGCAGAACTACAAAGCCAGGACTGAAGCCTTCAAGAATCCAAAATAAACTTCCGTCCATCCATTTTCTAACCACTTCATTCGATACGGGGATGGAGAGGAGCCAGAGCCAATCCTGGCAAGCAACGAAAGCAAGGTGGGATACACCCTGGAGGGGGCGCCAGTCCATCACAGGGCAAATAGACACAGCAACAAACACACACACGATCACACCAGAGCCAATTTTCTCAATTTATGTACAATGTTATTGCACTGCAGGTGCAAATTCATTCAAACCCAGGGATAATATACAAATCTCATGCAGATAGCACCCCAGGAATTAAGCCCAGGGTCGAAGTGCTGCCCAAAAATAAACTTCACAACATTAACAAGGAATTCCAGGTTAATGAACCATCCATACATGCTCACAATAGACTGGAGTTTCATTCGTTTTTCAGAGCGAACTTCCCACCTTCCTCTGTGATGTCAAGCGTCTCCACCGTTTCTTGGATAGGAATGGCCCGTTCGTGTGTGAGGCACACTCGGGACACGGGCTGGTCGTTCTCGTTCGTCTCTGGCTTCTGCTCCTCTTGCTCGGGACTTGCGTCAACGGGGGGATCTGCCAGTTCCAGCATCTCCTGGTCATCCACCTCTCCAGCCTGAAATCACAACGCACTCTTCCATGAGGCTCCTGAGGACCGGGATTTCTCTCTTGGACCACCCATGACGCTAAGGTGGCAAATGTAAAAACAAGGGTTCAATTTTGCCTGCACAATTCCATCCATCCGTTTGCTAATCCCGTCTTGGGGGGGGGGGAGAGCCAGAGCCTATTCCGGCAAGCAACAGCCCCTCGGTTAGGATACACCTGGACAGGACACGCCAGTCCATCTCAGGACAGACACCGCCCACACACACCAGGGCCACTTCTCCCAGAAGCCACTTAATCTACCCGTATGCAGCTGGACTGTGAAGGAAGCTGGAGCTCTTGGAAGGAAACCCACACAGACAGCACAACAGGAATTGAACCCAGAGCCCCTGCGCTGCGAGGTAGCAATGCTTACCACGGCACCACCGTGCTGACTGTTCTCCACACTTCTTACTAACTAGAAAATTGGTTCTACTTGTTATGCCTATATTTTGTTTTTACCCCTAACCAAACAAGTGAGTCCATTCGATGGGTAAGCAAAAGCGTTATAAGAACTCTGACAGGATGATAAGTCAGAGTATAAAGACTACATAGCAGAAAACTGGAAAAGCTTTTTTTTTTTTAAACAGAGAACCGTATGCAAGAACATCAAGACGATGTTAAATACAGAGGGCAAGGCCTGTCTTGATGTTACCTGCATCATGCTCAGCTGCTTCTGGTGGATCTGTCTGCACTTGCAGGGAGGAAAGGCCTTCTGGACGAGTTTCTTGACTGTAAAGTAGTCAACTGTGTCAGCATAGATGTGTCTGCGAAGCTCATGGAGGTCTCTGCCCTGCAGGGAGAAGGAGTTACAGGATTTACCGTAGGTCCAGCGCTTACTGAAGTATCCTCCTTACTCAAACCTACTAATTTCATACACACTGTAATGTTATGACACTAACCTACATGGCCTTGTTTCATGGTCAAAGAACATGTCAGAAAGAAACGTTTGCTACATGCGTGAACTAACACGCTGAACACCTGACAAAGCAGTGCAAACACTGTTGTGGTCATTTGGGAAAAGCCATAAGGATAAGCCCACTACTGCCATTCAGGTTTTTCCCCAGACTGCTGTGCTAGGCTTTAACTTACCTCTGGATCCAGAAATAAATGGCAGTGGGCTGGCTCTCCATCCCTCCCAGCTCTGCCGATCTCCTGCACATAGCTCTCAAAGCTCTTGGGCATGTTATAATGGATAATTCCCCGGACGTCTGACTTATCCAGGCCCATGCCGAAGGCCACCGTCGCAACAACGATCCGCAGCTCCCCGCACATGAAGTTGTTCTGCACCCTACGGCGCTGAGCGGCTGACAAGCCAGCATGGTAGGACTCCGCTATCCACTTCAAGGGCTTGCGGATCTTTTTCTTGGCTGTGGAATAGAGAAGGTGAGAAAATGGATCGCAAAGGCTAGCGTCCGAAAGCTCTTTTTTTATTCATTTTGAATTTCCCTGCATTCGTAAAATAGCAGCTTCCATAGGCTATTCTGTTGTCCTTGTTCAAGCCAGGCCACAGAAGCAGAAGAGGCCAGAATGAATATGTATTTTCATTCTCCCACAAAAATAAAAAGTTTCCACATCAGAGCCCTAAACCTACAGGGAAACAGCTACAACCCCCGTTGTAGGAACCCTCAAGCAACATGGCTGTCACAGTTGAGGTTTGCATGACACAGCTCCTCACTGATACCAAGTTTTTACACGTTCCTTAACAATGTCATCAGGATAAGTCAGGACCCAGTAATGCCAGCAGAAGGAATACCAGTCTCCCAATGCAGAACCAATAATTTTTCAGATGCAGTCAAATCAGGTACCTAAATTTGTTTCTGCCACCAGAGGCCCAGTTGTTTGGGAAAAAATGGAAACCAGAAATGTCCCCATTTAGAATAACAGACAAACCGGAACAAAAAGTTTCTAGAGTGCTATCTGTAGACACACCTAACATGTAAAAATGTACCGAAAGGATCCTCTAAAGTGTATTCAGGGAGCTAGACAAATCACCAAAAGATAAGTCTATACAGGGGGTGAAATACAGACTTAATTTTCAATGATAGAGAATTTGTATTTCCCCAGGAATTGACATTATCTGCACCACTCAACTCCCTATTTAAAATGGTAAACATTTCCAGGGGTATACAGTATATGAAGCCTGTGATTGAAAGCTATAAACAGAAAAGACAGATTGCTTATTCTGAATCAAACAGATTATCCAAACACCTCACCCCCCAGGGGAATACCAGGACTGTCAGGAGATGAATAGAAGGATGAGACTTGATGCCTTTATTGCAAAGAAAGAAGTATTGTTTATAAGGAGTCCATGATGAAAACCAAAAGAATCTGCATGACATATATCCACCATAAAGTTGGGAAAAACTCACATACAAACTACCCCCAGTGGCATAACCCTTTGCCAAAATGGCATACTGGCAATCCTCTGTGCTAGCAGATTGCAGAAGCCTCAAAAAAGTGGCAAAGAAAAAGTGAAAGAATCACCCAAAATGTGCTAGTATCCACAAACAGAATTAAACTTTGCAAGTCACACGAGTATCTTCAAACCATGCCCGAGCTACTGCTCTTCATTTTAATTTGACCACATCCTTACCACAACTACAACGAAACTTGAAGCCAGAGAGCCAAAAGAGCTACTCCTGGTGATTGCAACAACTGATATTGTGTTATGAAGACAAGGAAACATTTTTTTTTTTAATGGGGCTCAGTACTTCAGAAGAAACCATTCCATTTCAAGCACATTTCATGTTCAGTTAAATTGCATTTAAGAATATAAGAAACATACTGGATGAATGGTTACAAATGAGGCCATCTAGCCCATCTGGTAGTTAGTAGTTCATGGATCCAAGAGTCTCCTCTAGACATTTCTTGAGAAAATGGTAGTTTGTTCCATACTCCCACAGCCCTTTGGGTAAATACATCACCTAATACAAAAGCATACCGAGAGCTTTCTTCCTCTTCCCTGGTGTGTCCTCCTCCGTCTCCCCACTGAGCGGTCTGGACGACTCTCTCAGCATCACCCCCTGCAAGCAGGTGCGCAGCAGAGCAGAGATTCTGGTGGTCTCCTCTCGCCGGGTGCAGTAGACAATAACGGAGTCCAGGGACCCAAACCGCTCCCCTTTCAGCAAGGACACCAGCGACTGGGAGAGTGCAAAAAGGTGAACTTCTACCACACTATTGCACACAATTATGAGAGCATCTTTTTCAAGTACAACAGCCTTTTCCACGTTTTCTCACTTAGGTCTTAAATCAGTAATTAATTCATCTGTTCTTCCAACGTCTAGGTTATTTCTCAATTGACACTGTTCACCTTTCAGAGTCACTCTGAAAATGGGGAACACTTTGTTCTCTTGTGCGTGAAACTTTACAAATCCACGGAGCCAGCTTTCTTAAAGATGACAAGAAAGCATCTTTAGTGTTCCTGTATGCTTCTACCTAAAAACAAAGACATTCCATCCATCCATTTTCTAATTATTTTATCCAATACGGGGTCACCGGGGAGCTGAAGCCTAACTCAGCAAGCAACGGGCACAAGCCGGGGTTACACCCGGGATAGGATGCCAGTATATCACAGGGCAGATACAGACATGAGCCCACTCACACCAGGGGCACGTTTCCCAGAAGTCAATTAAATTACAAGTATGTCTCTAGACTGTGGGAGAAACCCGGAGCACGCAGAGGAAAACCACATGAACACAGGGAGAAAATACAAATTAAACGCAGATAGCACCCTAGGAATTGAACCCAGGGTGCTAGCGCTGCGAGGCAGAAATGGTACCACCATGTCGGCGCACACAGACATCCGTTATTCAGAATTCAGACATTCTTCGTTCTCAATTCAGGGTGTGGAAGTACTCTCGGCTCATGCCCAGGGACCCAGTGAGGGTGACGCACCTGATCCTTGTCCCTGTCCATTGACACGGAGAGCTGCAGATTGGGTGGGACAGCAGCAGACCGGACTGCAATGCCCTCTCTGTCCCTGATGTCTAGGTGTTGGGCTATGTCCAGGGCTGTGGCGAGCGTGGCGGTGGCCGTCAGACCCAGAAGACAACGCACCCCAAGCCGATCTCGGAGGACCTGCAAAAGAACCACAGCCGTGACTCTGCAGCTGAAGGTGAAAGAAGGTTGATGATGGTGGTATGGACACAAGATGAAACCTGGCTTTCATACATTTTTTTTGAAGAGACAACATAAAGATACATCATTTCTTTCATTCTTTCTGTCCATAATTATCTGGGGAACAAACATACCGTTAGGGGCATAACTTACACCAGGAAAAAATACTTTGAAAAAAATCCAATCTGATTGTAAAAGACCAAACCAAATGCTGAAACGTATGATTAATTACAAAGTGACTGCGAAACACTGTAAAAAAGACGCCACCTTTCAAGATAAGATGTAAAACCCAGGTCCTGACTCTTAATGATGTGGTCATTAAAAATCCCAGGGTGTTTCCAGGAAAGAGTAGGGGTGTTAAGCCTGGTGTCTTGGACAGATTTTCCCCTGACCTTTACAAATCATGGTTTCCTAATATAATAATCCCCATCTCTGAACTGGCTTCATCACTCTGTTCTCCTCCCACTGATAGTTGGTGTGGGGTGAGCGTACATGCGCACTTTGGTGTAGGTGGGTGCTACACATCGATGGTGGTGGTGAAGGGGAGTCTCCATTACCTGTAAATCACTTTGAGTGGAGTGCCCAGAAAAATGATTAGTGTAAACTTAATTTACACCAAATGTATTCTTCCATTTTGTTTTCAGCTATACTCTTAATTGACATGGAAGTGGGATATTAAAAAAAATTAGGGATCCCTGGAAGAAAAACAACCAAAGACTCTTGGCTTAACCCAGCCCGAAAGTCCAATTCAACCGAACTTTGTCAGTGATGAGCCCAGCACCAAGCTCACCTTGCACAGCCTCAGGTAACAAGGTCGGAAGTTGTGGGACCACTCGGACACACAGTGGGCTTCGTCGATGCACGCAAAGGCCACTGGGGGAAGCTGGTCAGCCGGGGGCAAGCAGCCCGACCCTCCGTGACCCCCCCCGACCAAGGCCTCAGGAGAGAGCAGCAGGACATGGACCTGGCCGTCTTTCACCTGGAACAGCAACACAAGAACAGGCCGTTCAACACGTCTAGCCTGTTTGGCAGTTTGCAGCTTACAGATCCAAGAATCTCATCCTGCCGTTTCTTGACAGAAGCCAAGGGAAGCAGCTTCAACACCATGGCAGGGTAGCGTGTTCCATGCTCCCACAACCCTGTAGGTAAACAAACTCCTGATCTCGGTTTTAAATGTGACTTTCACATAGTATTCATTTTTGCCCTCAAGATTGTGTTCCACTGTTGATTTTGAAGAAATTCACTTCTTTGATGATTTCGCCTACACAGAGTCCTCCTGTAGTCATTGCTGTTCAAAGCTAAAAAGGTTTCGGTCTGTCATGTAGGATGGTCCTTCAAGTCCCAGAGGGTGATTTCAGTCTCATATCCTTCGACTTAAATTCTAGTTTATATACTAATGTTATTTGCTTTTACTCCTTTCCACATCCAGAAGATCCACATCTAGAAAATATCTAGCAGGTCTAGAACATGTAAATGATGTGTCAACGTTAACAGCTTCTTTTTGCTCACCATTTTCCATTTTGTGTTTATCTACCTTGTCTAAATCTTGTTAACATCTTGTGTCCTTGAGTACAACTGATAAGCTACTAAAAATCCCTGGGGATTGGTTGATCTTGAGTGCTTCTAGAACCCAAAACACTTCTGGATCTTCAATACTAACACTTTCAAAAATTACTTTAAAGACGCAGTCACAAAGTCACATTCTGAGACAGGTTGATGACTTCTTCCTTAGTGAACACCTGATGAAATAGTCATTTAGCATATAAGTTATTCCCCCCATCATCATCTATAAGCTTTTCATTTTTGTCCCAAATATGTTTTACATCATACGTCGGTTTCCTCCGTGCTCTGGGCTGTTGTGCATGGTTTGCAGGCTTCCCAACTCAGCCACCTGTCCATCCAGCAGCTGGGTTCTTAACACTTCTGGACTGTGCTCCCAGACCCACTTCCGAGCATTACATTAACATAACAATGTATGCTTCAAAGCACACCACGTCACGGTTACCATTCCCTATTCGTACTACCACTTCTGTTTGCTTCGCTCTGTCTTGAGCATTAACTAACATTTCAGTTTTTGCTTCTTGCATTCCTGTTGTTTTTTTTTTTTCCTGGTCTATGTGGGGAAAGTTGAAGTCTTCCATAAAGCTGACTTCTTTTGCAAATAAATTCATTATACAGCGTTCAATTATAATTGACATCAGCATTTGGTGATCTATGGCATACTCCTACCACTGTACCTTTAGAACGGTTCAGTCAAGTTTAACCCATATATTCACAGACTCCCGACTCCTCTATTTTTAGTTCCCGAGCCGTAAGACTCTTTTTGATATATAGTGCTACTTCTCCCCCTTTTCGTTCTTATCGCTCTGAAATCTGGATTTCTAGAGTGTGTCCACTAATGTTACATTCATCCCCACTGTTTTGGTTAGAGACGTTTCTGTGTGTGTGATTCCAATAATATCACAACTAAATGCTTACTCCCCTGGGCTCTTGTTCTTCCCTTTGGTTCTCCTTTTGTGTACTCCCGAAATAACTTTGACATTTTCTTTGCCTGCTCTATTCTAGTTGAAATGTTCTTGGATTGCTTTGCGTTTCCTTGTGCCCAACCCATTGAGGTGTAATCCAGCACATCTGTACTGATATTTTTTGCAATGGAAAGAATTCTCCAGTGGTGAGGAAAGCTGAAGCCTTCTGCTGCACACCATGTCATCATTCATGTGATGTGTGGACAGATTAAGTGTAGTTTATTTTGTAGTTGTTCACCTTTGCCTGGTGTTGGTAAGCTTCCTAGGAAAACCCCTAATTCAGTCCCATTCTTCAATTTGTTGCCAGGTTGGATACATTTGTTCAGGAGGGACAGAGCTGCTGGATTATATCAGCCACCTTAACTCCAAGAAGACAGCAAACAGTTGCCGTCTCATGGGCTTCGATGCAAATCTCCATCGCAGTGTTCCCATTAATGAAGTTTCCCCAATAAGCAACACTTCTCTTTTTGGATTCTTAGTAACACCGGCTCTGGTTGCAGTCTAGTGTTTGAGGTTTCCTGGTCTGGGCCTCTCGCATCCGATTCCAAGTCTTGGAATGAGTCACATTTGTTCGGTGTTCCGAATCAGGGTAGTACTGCTTGGATGGACTGGCGGAAGTTCTTCCTTTTCACCCTCTGGAACCAAATTCTCCAAGTTAGTTTCTCTGTATTGTTTCTCTGACAGTCCAGGGTAAACACTTCCCACTGCCCTGCTGGTTTTGTCACTTCTTCAGTCTCCTGGAACCCTTTGATGTCCCTTTCCAGTGTGTTAACTTTTTCAAGCAGGACCTGGATTTTGGGATGTATTACTACAGATGTAGCCTGGCTACTGGAGCTTCTCCAGAATACTCCACATGTCACGCAGACTGCCGACCACAAATTTAAACACCATTGGCAAGCATTAAATGTAGTTTATATCTGATGCAACAAAGTGTTTAAGACTTGTAGTTTTTGGAACACTGTGCTGTCTCTCTAGAGCTGCTTAAATGTTGTCTCCCTTCCTGCATGCAATAAACACCTTTTCATTTCCTCCCACATCACCATGTCGTGCTAGTCCCTAACGGTCAGCAATATATCTGCACATCCTTCTCCTACAGCATTAGACATTTCACAGTGCAATTGAAACGTTTACTCTGTAGAAACAAATCAGAAAATTTACTACAGTAACTGCTATCTGACACGGAAATTCACAAATGAAAAGAGGAACCTTTTCAGGGTTCAAAATACATGCAGTCAGAAGCTATCCTAAGCTGCGGAATAATAAATGTTAGAAAAATAAAACTAACGAATCACCTAGATTAGTTGCTCATGCCTTTTTCAGTGAAATTAACATTGACAAACTTACAAAATCCAATATCAACAATAATTAACTTGAATAGGTAAGTGAATAAGTTAAATGGGATACCCAAGCTGGACGTAAGTTTAGCTTTAATACAAGACTCAGACCACTACAGTGTTTTTCCACTGTCAACGCATTCAAACAAGAAAGAAAAACTTTCCACCTTTTTGATAGCCGCCTCCCTCTGTTTCTGTGTCATGTTAGAATGGATACAGACAGCCTTGAGCTTTGGAGGAAGTCCAGATAACTGGGGAGAAAGAAAAAAAGTTACACGCAAGAAAGAACATGTAATACTTCCCTAGTACTTAAGTAACAATGTTTTTAAATGTGCGTTATATACATTTTAAGGTTTGCCCTCACTTTCAGGATAGACAATACCCATCTTATAACACAAAATGCAACTTAAACCCAGTGGTGTTAATATATAAAAAAACACTTTAACAAATAAATAATGGTATCATATTACATAATGTAATACATAATTTATTATATTATATAATAATTTATTACATAACACTGTTTCATTTCACTAGAAACCAATGTTTTACATTTGGACATTTTTATTGGTGGGTAGTGATTTAACTCTAGATTGACATGTTTGTGTGCATAAACATCTAAATAATCATATAGATACAGAACACAAAATTTACAAAAAGGAAGGCACTGCTACCTGATCATCCATCAGGGACACTAAAGGTGACACAACCAAGGCAATACTCTTTGACCTTTTGGCATAGAGGTAGGCTGGAAGCTGGTAGCACAGAGATTTCCCCATACCAGTGGAGAGCACCACCAAGGTAGACAAACCTGCATGTACAAAGACACTGTCAAACCTTTTTAACATTTTTCCCCAGTTCTCCAAGAGAAACCTTTTTGATTATATCATCGGTAATTCATATTTTCACTTTATGTCTTTTCCTACCTGAGAGGATTCTCATGATAGCCACTTCCTGTCCAGGTCTGAAGGATTTGTAACCAAAGTCTCTGAGAGCTTCATAAACCTCTTCAGGTACATCTAAAAAAACAAGGTAATTAGAGAAGAAGCATGTATTTTAATCATACCAACGCAACCATGGGCGGCCATTACAACCTTATGCACCATGGTATAGACTCAGCCAGCATCAGGAAATTTTCCGTCAGGAATGTGGCACCATTCTTCAGGAGAAAGTCAATCAGCTCAGAATATCCCATGAATTAAAGATTCAGTTCAGATCGGGCCTAAAATACAGCACGGCTAAAGCACTGAAATTCATTTGGGAATTCCTGCATTCCCAATTCATGTTGGCAGCAACACTGGAACCGACTTGCATCTTTAATTCACAGAATCAAGATTAGGAAAGATTAAGAACAGGAATGAGCAACGGACAAAATCTTAAGGACATGCCAAGTGTTCAGCATTAATTCAGAAAAAGACAAACGCAGTTCCAGCACCTCTGACTTTGCCATCTTCCCCGAGACTGTAGAGAGGCTCCATGGACGGAGGGGGACTGGGCTTCTCGTAGTCAGGTCGGACCACATTCAACAGTACGTCATCTTCCTCTTTGACCTGAGACTCTGCCTCCTGACCGTCGCTGGAGGGCACTGGGCGGACAAGATGACAAGAGGCAGGTAAGCTCACTCCAACCTCAAAACCACTGTACCCATCGTGATTACAGCATTGCCAGGTGAAGCAGACTTTTTTGTTGATGTTTACCAAAATACGGGGTCCAACGAACAGTAAAATGACACATTTGTGTCCTGCAAAGACTCCAATGTATCATCCAATAATACTGAGAGCTTACATTCACTGGATATTCTCATTCAAGTTAACCTTTTGGGAAAGAAGCAGTTTTCACTTGCTAACTTTATACACCATTAAATGTAAAAAGCCGAGCCGAGCACAAGGGAAGTTCGCTAGCAGTGCTTATGGATACACACCAATGGGATCAGAGCGCAGTGTGCTTGTGGCCCGAGCTACCTCCTCCAGTGTGGGCAACTCGAAGGGCTCTGCGTCGGCCTCTTCCGCTGACTCATTCTCCACAGCAGGGGCAGGAGCTAGAGGAACACAACATCCCTTCGATCGAGAAAACCCTTGCAATTTGATGCACGAGACCTTCTTTTGGCCATTTCAAAGAGTGTGCAATGCGAGCTCACAGCTGTCGGAATTGGAAAGGCACTCGTCACTCAAGTACAGAAGACTCATGTTTTACGCTGAATGTTTTCACGCGAACCTGTGAATACGTGGTTGGCGAAGAAAAAATCCAAATTAAGAAGCAAATCCTGCGGGACATTTCCCTAATTTAAGTCTTTCACGGCACGCACCTGAGCTACATTTTGGGAACTAGTTACAGAGGCTATAGCACGCCGGTGCTTTCTTTAACATGCAGCATCACTCTCAGTACAGCTCGTAAACCAAAAACTAGTATCAAGGGGAAATTCAAGTCATGAAAAGTGCCTGATTTAGGTAAAAAGTGAGTTAAGGGGTGGGAAGACGGTTACCAGTTTGGTGTTATGGCAAGAATGAATCTTCGATTTGTGCCATTATAGCCATCTGAGACAGATAAAAGGCTATTCGTACACAGTTATCCACCTACTGTGTTCCCTGCATTTTATTTTTACATTTGATCTATTTTGGATACTGCGCAGTACTGTATTTGCTGTACTACTATTTTCACAATACTTTAAACTACATACACATACTAATGCACTTACGATTGATTTTACATGATTTTGGGTATACACACTATGTCAGGAACCTACTGTAACTAAAGCGTAAAACACAAGTCTAATGTACAGGCCAAAACTTACTTAATTTTGATTCAGTAAAAAGGTAGTCAAACTGTTTTATTTCAGTACTGAAATGGATATTTATGAACCAACAGGAATTCTCAGCATGCGCGGCCTAGCGATGTATTCCACAGCCCCGAACGCAGGCCGAGAGGCATGTGGCAGCGCTCCGTTTGTGTTGGCGTTCGTGTTTTCAACAGTGCCCTCTCACCTCGGCCCCTGCAGTCCCGGGCCCAGTGGCCTGTGCCCCCACACTTGAAGCAGCTGTCGCCGCCGTGACCCGCCCTGGCCCACCTTCCTCTGCGCCCCCCTCCCCCGCCAAAGCGCTCGCCCTTCAGCTGGAACTTCTCCATGTACAGCTGGGACAGAAAGAGAGAGAAACGCCATTATAAAAGGAACGTTTTGGTCTAAATGCTCTTGATAACTTGCTCGTCGAGTAAGAGTCAGACGTTCAACACTACTTAACGGCGCTCAACTGCACAGTCTGTTTTTTTCGGGCTTCCATTTTTGTCATTTTCCGACATTTTCACAATAACTGACGATTCCTACAAATGAGAATCAGAGTCACGACTCTTCAGTCAACGGTCAAGCCTACCTGTTTGCGAAGAAAGGCACCTTTCAGTGCATAGCCTTTCACATGAGATTTTTTCTTCAGATTAATTTTCACAAAGTTGCCGTCTTTATTCGATGAAGCTCTGCAGGAGCAATGACACGCAAGTATTACTTTGATTTGCGTAAAACGACTGAGAAGAATGCAAAAGATGAAGGAAAGTTCACTGCCATGGCAGTCTGTAGTCCAAGGTTAAGAAAAATTGTTATGTCTGACCCTACCTTGGTCTAACTTTGTTCTGAACCCGTGTAGAAACAGGAATTTCTTCTTCAGTTTCTCCCAGGAGATTCTCTGTGGGAATTTTTTGTTTCTGTTTCTTTCTTTCTGAGCCAGAAGTTTCCTCCTTTTCTCCATCTTCCCGTTGGGATGGCCTAGCGTGGCTCTTCTTCACACGGGGAGACTTGGGGCTGCCTGAAGTTTCCCTCCTTGTCTTTCTCTTCTTTTTAGCCGTGCCTTCCTCTGGAAGTTCGGCCGGCTTCTCTCCTCCGGCCCCAGGTTCCCTCTGCCTCTTCCTACTCCTTTTCTCTGTCTCTCTCCGGCCTGTGTCACTCTTGACCGGGCTGTACCTATCCTGGGAAGGCAATTCTTTGTATGAAACTTCTTTTTTACTCTCCTTGGCCGCAACACAGGCAGAAGGCAACCCTGATTCATTTCCACAATCTTCTTTCAATGTCAGCCTAGTTTCACCTTCTTTTTCTTTAACATTATCCTTGAATGTGAAAGTGCATTCACTTCGGGCTGAAGTGTCCATTTCCGAGGCAGACAACCCATTACTGAGCTGCACGCTTCCCTCTACTGTTAAAGGTTCCTCCTTGGAAGCAGTCTCTCCCAGGAGCGCAGAGTTCTGCTGGGCTGCTGCAGCAGAAAGACTAGGGTGAGCCACGTTTCTGTTGGCTTCTGTCAACGGCAACATTCCTTCGCCAGCGGGAGACAACAAATTGCCGGTGACCGGCTTTTCCGTTTTCTCGACTTCATCAAAGACCTGACATCGCTCCAGCCAGCCCTTGTCCACTGAAGACAGTCGTTTGGTGATGGATTCACGCAAGAGATGGGCTTTGTTGCAAAATTTCTCTTTTGGAAGAACTGCAGGTGAGCTCATCTTGGATGGTGTAAACCCTGGTATGGGTGCAAATAGTTCTTCGCTTTCCTCGTGAACCGAGGTTTCTGCTGAGGTGCTGAGGTTGGGGCTGGTGTTGGCTGGCTTGAGCTGTGGAGTTGCTGGGCCCATTGAAGCTCTTGGACTAGAGCCCTCTTTCAATGACTTTAAAGGCGTTGTCTTTGGGGTAAAAGACTTCTTTAAAGAAAATGGCCGGTCCTGCAATTATAGGAAAAAATATACTTAGAAAACGATCTATTTAATTGACAAGGTAGCTATATTTATTTAATAACTTCTTAATGCTGGTCATGGACGCAAGCGCCTATGGTCTAAGAAAAACGGGACTCAAAAGGAGCATCTCACTTCATCGTTTTACATTACCAAAACCACAAAATCTTTACAGAAAACCTTTTATCAATCCAAAAAGGTTCACCTAGAGCTTCACAAAACTGTTTCCAGAACCCCCCCCAAAAAAATGTTCATATAATCAAACGTGTCCCATGCGTGGCGTAGTCACAAGCGTCCATGTTGTAATGTAGAATAAATGTTCTACATTTAGTTTAATGGAGACTGTGAGAAAAATAATTCCAGATATCTAGATATTAAAATCCATCAGACAACTCCTTTGGAACACAGAGTTTTTAAAGAAATACAAATGCAGCAGAATTAATATTTCTTGGTTAGAATAGTTTAACTGCACACAACAATAAACCAGAATACATCCAGGGGACTGTTTTAACGTGCAAAAAAAGGCTACATTAAATATAAAATGCAGGAAATTAAGGTACCTTTTAGAAATGTATGAATTTCTTCTAGAAAACATACTGTAGTAGTACACATCCAAATTAAATAAAGCATTTTATAAGTATCCCCAGAGAACCCAGACTACCGACTTTCCAACCACTTTCTTCACTGCTAATGTTACATTTTTTAAAAATTCAAGGACTGAAGCAGCAGTCCAAGTCAAACATGACTTTGCAGGACACCACACTGAATATCTGATCAATGTTATAGAAAGGCAGGGCTCAATGCACTGCTCCACCTTCCAACCTCAAACAGATATGTCCCACAAAATTGGAAAGCTCATAGCACACTGATCTATCGAAATTCACAGCTGATGCTTTGGCTAGTTATGAGCTTAGTAATTTATCATTAAATATAGGATTAAGAATTAATACCTCCACAGCTTACCTTTATAGAAGCTCCTAGGTTTGACTTCAGCTTCATCCCAAAGTACTGGGCTGAAGCCTTGAGCGCATCACTGTCCTTAGGTGTCAGTCTCTGGGTGGACACTGGCATGTTTTTGCGATTCAAGTGAGATCCCCAGCAATCCATCTCCTTTTCAAATAGAAGAGGTTTGAGATTGGAAAAAGCTCCGTCACAAAATAAGGCTCAAACATAACTTCATGGTTTGGGACGTTTCATAATTCTCACACTTTACCACTTAGGCAAGAAAGAGTCCATAAGAGCATTAATTAAAAAGAAGAAAAAACACGTCTAGATGATACCAAATATCTATTTTTTATTATATAAGAGACTGTTATAATACAGTACTTGTGCATTAAACAAATCAGTACTTAACAGGAATGCACAAGAGATTCAGTTCCTATCTTGCATTAAGCAATAACATTCACTATGCTTTTCCCTTATTTGGGTGTAAAACAGACTGCATCATTTTCAATTACATGCAAGTTTAAAACATTCCTGTCATTCTGCTCTTTACCACCACTCATTTATACTGCACTTGCTTTTTAAAGCACTTTGAATTTTACAATAAGCCCTCGAATAATAAAACAAGGTAATGCTGGAAAAAAAAAGCGTATAGACAAATTGGAATTTGTATTCATATGGTTAATCAATTCAGCCAAATCACAATTGCTGAAAAATAAAAGAGCTAAGATCTTCTGAGATTATCAGATCAATGTATAGGTCACATATTCCTCAACTGTCAAATACGTCAAAAAACATGCAGTTTCTTGCACGTCTCTTTTCCTCGGCAGCCTGTGTGCTTTGCCCACCTTTTCACCTGACTGGCCCGTCGTGGTGGGATTCTGGCCGACATTCCCAGAATTCTCTTTACAGCTCTTTCCCACACTCCCCTCTTCTCTCGCTTGCTTGAGCTCCCTGTATTCTCTGTACAGATCTACAGGTAAAAGAAAGCAAAATGATATTACAGCCCAACCTGAAAAAAACATATAGAAAGACTACGGGGAGGAGGCCATCCAACCCTTCTAGACTGTCTGGTGGTTAGCGGTTGATCCAAGACTCTCATCCCGACATTTCTGAAAAGAAACCACGATAGCAGCTTCACCAACAAGGCTGGCCAGCTTGCTCTAGTTTCCCACAATCCACCGGGTGAAGCGGAGGCTCATTCTTTAAGAGCTAAAAACTGCATTCTTAGAGGCACTTTCCGACAAATACTAGACATTGGCAACCTCAATTTAACACCTAAATAAAGAGAGATCCAAATGTAATTCAAAAACACATTGAAAATCGGAAGGGTATGAAGACATACGAAAAAGAATCCTTTGCTCAGTCACATGTACGCAAGACACTGCACAGCGTCAAATATTGTTTACAGCATACTTACTTTTAGTCTCTTCTGATGCTCTGTCTATGTCATCCTGAAACAAAGAAGCAAGCACTCAGAACCACATTCAAAGCTGAAACATTTCAGAATCGCACACAACCCACAAATACTCCAGATCTCCATGAGCCTAAGGTATGGCCCTTCAAAACCACATTGTCAACATAAGGCTGTCTGCTAATCAAATAAATCCCTCCAGATTGATCAGAAGGCTGCTTACTTTCAGTAATGGGCGGGACAACTTGGAAGTCAAACTTGGAAACAAAAATGGGATACAAGGCAGGAAATACTGCTGGATGGGACACCAATCCATCACAGGGTCCACAGTCCAAAACATGCACAAGCACTTAAAAACAGCAGTGAATCTAGTCAGCATGTCTTCGGAGGGTGAAAGGAAATTACAGCACTCAGAGAAAACCCAGGAGAACACAGAAAACTCCACAAAGAAAGGTCTGCTGAATCCCACCCAGGACCCAAGACAGGTGAAGCAGTAGCCCTAATCACCACGCCAACTGCAAACCCATAATTTAATAACGAAACGGAAAACGTATATCTTTCTCGTTAAACGCTGGCTTGATCTTGACAAAAATGCATGAGGCACACCTCACGGTGAACAACACTTGGCACAGTTTCATTCACCGTGTTATAACAAGAAGATACATAACCTCAAATGTGTTCAAAGATCGTTCGCTAAATTGGTCTAACAGCTTTATCACAGAAAGCTTAAAAGCACTCTTTAATCACAAGAAGGGGAGATTAAGAGGGGTTTTGATAAAAGCATTTCAAGTTCTGAGTGGTCCGAATGTGAATCCAACTGATTTCAAGTTGAGCAATGAAACTGAGGCCCAGGTACACAAATAGAAAATAAGGGATTGTGTATACAGTATAGGAAGTGGCACAGTGGCATACTAGCACTGCATAGCATTGCTGCCTCACAGTGTTGGGGCACTGGGTTCAATCCCAGACCTGAGGTGCTATCTGTGTGGAGTCTGTATGTTCTCCCTGTGTTTGTGTGGGTTTCCTCTGGGGGCTCTATTTTCCTCCCACATACTGGTAGGTTAACTGGTTTCTGAGAAATTGACCCTGGTGGGTGGGTGGGTGTGTGTGTGTGCCCTGCAATGGACTGGTGTCCCATCCAGGTTGTACCCCACTTTGTGCCCATTGCTTGCAGGGATAAACTCCGACTTCCCCACGACACTGTAGTGGATAAAGCAGTTAGACGATGAATGAATGGGTATGTTTTTATACTGAGAACAAGAAGTACTTCTTCACACAAAGGCTGGTGGAGCAAGCTGCCCTGCAATGTTGTTGCAGCAGATTTCACCAAAACGTTCAAGAAAAAGCTAGATGCGATCAACTATTAGTAATTAAGCAAGACGGACTGAATGACTGCTTTCTTGAGCAACTTTTGTTACTGTATGATGTTGTGTAGAAATGTTTATATAATCTGTGAAATTATACCAAGTCAGATAAAGTTTTTTTAAAAGCTTCCCAGAGACTTTTTAAAAAAAAAAACTCTTTCCTAGTAAGCCATTTAGAAAGAAAATCTCACAGAGTATACTTCTCCTGAACAAGGTTGACGTTGATCTTTGAGAGTCAAAATTCACCTTTAAATAATCAATTCTAAGAAACGTGGAGCAATTTTGTTTTGAACGTGCGCTCTTGTTCGCTTAAGTAATTCACAAGTATAAATACAAACCCTGTGGCTTTGAAGGACTGCTTTTGTCCCTTCCTGACTTAACTGAACCAATTAACGAATAGTGCTTATTTAAGAGTCACCTATAAAGTTGATTGTTGTTCTCTGGGGCACCGTTGTATAAGAAACATGAAACTAAAGCACAATAAGAAGCATCCATAGTATAATTAGCATGGTGAAGTTTGAACGTTAGCTCATCTTGACGCTGCCATAAACTCAAGGAAAAGATCGCATATTAAATACGAGTTATAATAATCACTTAAGAATAATTTAACAGGAAACAAAAGGATGAGATCATGGATTTTTGATCCAGTAATTCAGGAGCAGTCACTGTACATTAGAAACCACTTCTGTAACCTGGTAAAACAAAATAATTGTCTACGTTGTCCACATTATTATGTAGTTATTATATAATCACTTACCTCATTAATTAATGCAGATCTAACAATGAAATGACGCACAGTTTATAAGGCACGTACCTTAGTCGGCTTTCTTTTGTTTTCCTGAACGAACGTCAGCTCCCAGTTCTTCAGCAACATTTTCAACTCATTGTAACGATCCATTCCTCTTATTTATGCGCTGTGCTCTATTTGCACAACAATAAGTGCCACAATAAAAATAAACTACGACTGCTCATCAAACAATTTAAGGTTAAAGAATTGCACTCTGTCTCAAAGGAAAAGGAAAGTCCGAAAATCGAAAGAAAAATATTCACACGAGAAGTTGTATATATAACTGTCACAGGTTGCTGGGCTTGACTAAACTAAAACGCAACAATATTTCCCCATTTGCAGTTACACTAAGGACAGCATTAAACATCAAATGCTGAAATCTTCATGTCAATTTCCACTGCAGTATTAAAGCCAAATTTTAGCGCGTCCTGCATGTGAATTCTGAATGTCTACCAATCACGTTTCTCGCTACTTGTCAGGAGCAGCCAATCAGATTGTGTATTCCTCATAGTCGTCACTTCATCTGACCAATTACTGCCTGCCTAAGCCCTAAGACTTCCTTTCTCTTTTCCTTCGTCCACCAAGTTTTGCCTAAAACGCGAATGAATGCAAAAATCTGGCCTTACCTCCTTAACATATATACATAATACCGCAAATTATACATCTTAAAGCTTCCCCCAGTAGCGCAGACACGGCTGGCGTGTGTTTAGTTTTTAAAACATTTGCATTCAAGTGAAAACTCCAATTCCCAGAAAGCATTGTGCCAACGAGACACGGGCTGATTAGAACAACCAATCGCGTAATCGCTGTCATCCACGTCGCGTTCTGATTGGGCGTAACTGCGTCACTCCGCAGTCCAGCGGAAGCGCGTGTAGACATGGTAAGTGTGCGACATGTGGACGCTGAATAGAGTAAGGTTAGTACAGTGTATTAATATCAAGGTTTGAAGCCACAGTTTTTAAAATAAAGAGATGTTGTGATTCTTGTTGTTGTTAAACAATGCAACGTGTTCATGATTTTAAGTGTAGTTGTAGTTCAAATGAAGTGTTTCAGTTATTGTCGCTAAACTGTTTTTGAAACGGTTATTAAAAGCGGTTCATTGCTAAATTACAGGATAACTTTTTCACCGAGATCACAACAAAGTAATTCCCAAGTCACTCCAGGAATGTAGTTTGATTTGAGCTCATTATTAGTAATATGTATTAATGCTAATGACCTAATGTTTCTATGTTGTTATTACGTATAATATACAGTAAAGTGCTTAATTGTACCAGTCTATTTATGCGGTCTGTGGGATTGTATAAACAGAAGTAATGCCAGTCATTGGCTTTGCTAAAGCCAGTCCAGTCGTTTTACAGTATTGTATTGAGATGTTATTTAATTATTGGCGCAGAACTATCTTGAATCCTGTTGTCTATTCTTGCCACAAAATAGAAACTACCAAAGTGTACAAACTGCATTCTGATGGAGCAGACACGTGATTTTAATCTCACTTTACGAATAATATCATTCCTTGCTCCAGTCACCTCTCCTATATTCCAAAGACAACCGGGCAAAATCAGTAAACCTGCTTTGCACACATACTGTATTGAGTTAAGTTATGCAGTCACAGCCTCTAATGACATATATCTGTTCAGAGCATATGTAGAACACAGAATAGCTGGAGTATGCCAAGTAAAAGGCTCTTTGGGGGGAAATATGGTGATTTTCCATTACTGTTTGTTCTACATTTTAACACTCCCTTGAACAGTCTACAAAATTGAAAGCTGTGATAATGTATCTTTTATTCTGTGTTTTAGGCCTATATTCTAACGTTTTGGATGCAGTCCGCTGTGTAATCTCCGAGAAGACTTTGTCTGGACTGCTTGAAAAGGACAAAGATGTTAAATGACAAGGAGGCACAGGACCTCCTGGGTTTTCTTACCCCGGAAATGCGGCCGGATGTCAAAGGTCAGGCCACGGCATACATTCTCGGCCTCACTGGCACGAAAGATGGCTGTAGGTACCTGCGTGGCAAACCAGACTTCCTCAAGGCTCTCCTGTCCCTGACGAGCGACGCGTCGGTGGCCGTTGTGAAGGACTGCTACCACGCTCTGATCAACCTCTCTGCGGATGAAACGCTGCATGAACCAATGGTGAAAGAGGCCAACGTATTGCCACGCCTGTTCCATAACCTCTTAGATCCCGAGTATGCCTTTGCGGACCGGATCTGCACCATTCTGACCAACCTCTCACGGCACGAGAAGACCTGCAAGGCTGTTTTCCGGGTGCTACAGGAGGAAGGGATTGGCCTGGCGAAAATAGTGGAAGTGTTCTGCACAGAGGGATACAACGCAAAGGCTTCCCTGCACTACCTGGGACCTCTTCTTTCCAATCTGACTCAGCTACCCGAGACCCGGCAGTTCATACTAGATAAAAACAGGTAGACAAGACAGACCACCTGTGCTCTGTGGAACCACAGCTTTGTATTATTACTTATGGATCAGGAGAAGAGTTTTCATGCATAGCGTGTGCTAAAATGTTTCAGTAGTGTTGGATTAGAGCTGCTTTTTTCAATCTGTTCAGTTGTCTGGTTTTAAGAAGAAATCTTCCATTCATATTCATGTTTCAGCATCTTCTTGCCTCACATACCTTAGCAGGCTGGCATTTTTTTTGCAGTCAAAATTACATCTATGTAGATCAAAAGAGAACAATCCACTACATGCACCACCAAGATGAAACATACCTGCAAAGATGGAAAATAGAATGTTAGCAGTGTGTGTGTGTGGAGTTTGTAATCTGATCATACTGAGAGGATGGTCACCAGATAGTATTGTCTTCTTAACCTGATAATTCTATCATATCATGTTGTAAATATCATCATTGAATAAGCTTGTGTCAAACATTTTAAATATAGAGGAATCTGAAGTGAAGATGTCTGGAATTTTAAATGTCAGAATTCATTAATAAATTATGTTCTCTCTAAGGAAAAGGTTTTGAAATCAAAGTGTACAATATGGTCACATGGTGATCAGATGTATTTGAAGACATGAGTTGGCAGCCTGCTAACCCTTCATGTTCTGATGGTTTCCCCTGCGCCAGATGTGTGGTTCAGCGACTCCTGCCCTTTACCCAGTATGAAGCTTCGACAGTCAGACGTGGTGGCGTCGTGGGCACTCTGAGAAACTGCTGCTTTGATTATGGTAATCAATTAATTCAACAAGACCCTCTTGACCCTTTAAGTCATTTGACCTCAAAGTAGTATAATTACGTTTTCCTTGCTGTACTACGGAAGCCTATTAGTGCCACAGAGAAAAAAAACTTTTTACATTTAACCACGTTTGCATTTGTGGTCCTGTTGCTGGTGATGCGTTTACAACACTACCTTGTTTATTGTATCACATTTAAATGCAAAAATTATCTTGTTTAAACACAAAATACAGTTTTTCCCATGTGGTGTTAATGACCTTCCTTATTGTACACTGCAAGGCATATGAACATTTCTTTCTTGCTTTTATAAATTAGACTTTGGTATTTTATATATATATATAAAGTATAGCTAGGGTAATCGGTGACCAGTATAACCTTGTGAATCTCAATACCCATAATCAAAGAAACAAATTGCGACTGGGTTAAGAAGAGACTGGATTCTGCTGGGGACATAAAAGTCTAACCCCAAATTGTGACTATGAAAAGACAGAATAATATTCATTCACTGACTCTATGTTCGGTTTCATTCTCCTCACCACAGCACCAACAGCAAAACTGGGCTATGACCTTCTAGAATCAGTAACTAATAGTAAAAAAAGTCACATCTGCTACATTTTCTCTTTTGTTTCACTTGCCCATCATCTCCGCCCCCTGCCAGTAACTGGCCCTTCCAATCCAGGTGAATTCCTGAAAGATTTCTGTATTTCCAGCTTACCATGAGTGGTTGCTAAGCGATGCAGTGGATATCCTCCCGTTTCTGCTGCTGCCTCTGGCCGGCCCTGAAGAGCTCTCAGAGGAGGAGAATGAAGGTAAAATAAACTGCTGGCTTGCAGTAACCCGCAGGTCCCCATTTTTATTGATAGCATGGGGAGTTTTCTTAAACCATTTTAGAGATGTTTCATTTTGAGTTTTTTGGTAGCCTCATTCAAACAGGCTGTGGGAAATCCGAAAAGTGAAGTCTGTATATTGTAAGATCTCCACATTTGCCCAGCAGAGGGCAGTATGTGAGTATGGGGGTGGGGCGGGGTAGGGGAGGCGTGTATGCTGTGAGATTTTTCCTTTGGCACTGTACATGTTGTGTTGGAGCGCACTCCAACTTCACAGCTGAATGGAAACTTAAGGAGAAAGAATGCCATGCAAAGATTTATTGAAGTGTGACCACAAAATACTGTGTGTGTATAGATAGATGCAGACATATAATGTTGCCTTCTTGAGGTTCTTGTTTTCCATTCAGTGAGATGTGATGGCAGAAACAATTAGTTTTCCTTCTCCTGACCTCAGAAGGGATTGAACAAGGAATTTTTAGCTTTGTCCAACGTTTAAAACTTATAGGTAGTAGTTATCTTCAGGGACTCTCCATTTATCCTGTTATGTTTATTATTTTATTTGGCCGAAGCTTTTATCCAAAGCAACTTTTGAGAGGTTATTATAACCTATTTTTTTATAACCTATTTGTCGCAGAAGTTCCTGTGAATTTTGCCATCCATTTAAACAGCTAGAGCTGGAGCAGTGTGAATAAAGTGTCTTGCTCCCAGGTACAGGAGCACTGTCTCCACATGGGGTTTGAACCCACAACCTTCCAGTTAGGGGTCTAAAGCCCAGATCACTTGACAGCTGCTTATTGTACTGTCCGTTATTAAAAAGCATGACAAGTTAATCCAAAGATGCAGCGACCTCTTGCTCTTCAGCATTTTACAGTAGCTTCAAATATGAATTCAGTCTTGGAAAAACTATGGAGCTTAAGAGTCTATAAACCTGTGCAATAATTAAAGCAGTCTGTGTAGATGATCGTATCCCACACAAAACACCCTTGTCATTAACAAACAGAGCCTTTATAATCTATGGTTATGTGCAGTAATACCCAACAGACCCATTCACATCTTGCATATGTTTCCATTAATAACATGTACCTAATATGACAGTGGACTGAGTTGAGCAGCAGGTCTTCCTTAAGGAGCATTTGTTTTTCATACCTTTATACTAGTCTCTCAAGATCCTTGACTGAAACCCTTGATAAACCATGAGAAAGAATAAAGATGCTGCTTGACTGTCTGCTACAGGACTGCCTGTGGACCTCCAGTACCTGCCTGAAGATAAGAAAAGAGAGGAAGACCCAGATATCCGACAAATGCTGATAGAGACAGTGCTCCTGGTGTGTGTATTTATCAATTATACGTTAAAACGTACCAAGGAGATGTAGAAATCACATCTGTTAAATAGTGTGTGATCATTCCCAAACTCATGTTTATACCTTTGCTGTACAATAAAGACTGCGGTTCTAACTATAGCCTTTAAACAAATTGAAATCTGTCTTTATATAAACATTTATCTTACAAGGGAATTGTAAAATGGCTGGTTAGTTTTGATTACTTGATTGCAGCTCAAGGCTCAGATTACTGTAATTACTACTGTTAGGAATTATTCTGATTAATCTCAGTGCAATTACTGAAAGCCCCCGGAACATGTACAGTACGTTCTGGATGGAAAAAGTATGCTCTTTTTGTTACAGATGTCTCAAATCTTTTTGTTTCTTTTCTCCAGCTTACTGCAACAAAGACCGGTCGACAGATTTTAAAAGATAAGAACGTTTACCCCATCATGAGGGAGTTTCACAAGTGGGAGAAGGATCCACATGTTGTTTCTTCTTGCGAGAAGTTGGTTCAGGTAAGCATTTGGACCTTAAACTTAAAACTTTGAACCTGGTTGTTTCAAGCCATTTGTACTCCATTACATGAATGTTAATTACATTCTGTTTTCATAGAAAGGTTGTCATTTGACCAAGCACTTGCATAAAGCAAATACTGAGATTTCCCCTTGACTTTGAGCCTGTGCTGTATGTTACACATGTACTGTGCTTTCTCAAACATTCTTAAGTGTCCATTGTTATGCTTGGTAAGGCACCAGATACTGAAATTAAAAACAGTATTCTCTACAGACATTTACGAGTTTGGCTGCAAACGAGATACTCCAATTTTCTGGAAAAAACGTAGTACCCCCCTTCTCCAACTGTGGTGGTGTGGCTGTCCCTTAAGTGGGAACTTCTGAATGGAAAAGATGTCACATTGTCTTGCATTAAATCTTGATAGACCTAATAACATCTGGGGTCCTTTTGAACTGTGGTCCCAGAAGCCAAGCGGAGTTGTTCCATAGTTACATTTTACCCAGCCCCTTTCATCAGTTCAATAAAACATAAAATAAGAAAGCCTTAGCCTGATATTTCCTTTCATCCTTAAAAATTAATGGACAAAAAGTCCCCCATTTTTAATACGAGGCTTTCAAGCAGCTTTTGTTTCACTTCTGAAGAAGCCTGTGAAAAACAAAGCTATAACTTCAATCATTTATTTTAATGAAATGTTTGGCTAAATGACACTTAATTCGTTTCCTGCTCATTTTGTTTGAGATTGACTTAGTATTTGTTTGTATTGGCCTGTGACATTATTCTTTTTATTTCGGTTCCCTGACATCCACCAACTTATTAAGGAGAACAACCTGAATTCTGCCATCAGCTGTCATAATTAACATTTTGGTTCATGTTTTCTTTAGAACAATTAGTTTCTAAGTCTGTTTGCATGATGCTTAAATAACCTCTGGAGGTTAAAACTCACAGTATAGTTTCACTGTGGCTTTAAAGTGGGATCACATAAACAAAGTTATTTGAATGAGTTCTGACATCAAGCTCCTGTCCACAAAACATATGGTTTGTATTTATGAAAGCCACCATGACTTTAGACCATTATTTTTCCTGTTTCTTCTCTCATTTTTTTAAATTGTGTTTGTTAATATCCCTAGGTCTTGATTGGGGATGAACCTGAGCCGGGAATGGATAATCTGTTGGAAGTTAACATTCCGGAAGATGTTGAAGAAAAGCTCCGTCTTTGGGATGCAAAGGAACAGGAGCAGCTTGAGAAAGAGAAGGAGGAGTTTTTAAAAACCGGGTGTGAGGGACGAGCAGAAATCGGAGAGCAGCGAACATAAAGAACTTCAGCCGTGAAGGCTCTATTCACTCGCATAGGGGAGTATCACACTGTACTTCGAAAGCAACCTGCCAACTGGAAATACAGTATATAGAAAAGTCCGTTTGCTCTGTATGTACAGTCTGAAATGAAGAAAACTGCGTTATGCATAAATAATAAAATTAACGAGCGCCATCTTTAAATCAGGCTTTTCAATGTAAGTGATAGCTCCCGAGGCAATAGATTAATTCTAATTAGAAATCTGCTATTTTAAAACAGTGTTCTAGTTTTTAAGAGCAGCCTCCTGTCCCTTAATGTCATGTAATGTCACTGTAATGTTATATACAGTGCACATGTAATATTATGTATATACAGCATTAGGAAGAAGTAAGATAAGATAAAATGACTTTATTGGCCATATACAATTTTTGTTGTATTAGGAATTTCTTTTTTTCACATACCCCAACTTGCTCTCCATGAGACACACAGACTGGGAGAGAAGCTTGGGGTCAGAGCGCAGGGTCAGCCATTTATACGGCACCCCTGGAGCAGTTGGTGTTAAGGGCGTTGCTCAGGGGCCCACCGGGATACGAACCGGCAACCTTCCAGCCACAGGCGCAGATCCTTAGCCACAGAGCCACCGCTCCGCCCCAAGTATGGGCATTGTGGAGAACATGAGTGTAAATGCTAATAGTAACCTAGCTGTAATCTGATACAAAATTCAGTGCATTATCAACTGTCATTGAGGCAATCATAAATTGTTTAAGGATGATGAAATTAAAGAGGTACATGTTGATATCTTTGTATTGAAGTAAAGGCTTCTTTCTGCATCAGATTGCATGAGACACTGAAGAATGTTGGTGTTGGAAGAAGAAGGAGCTGAGGCAGAGAACCTAAACTCTACAAATGATGATAAGCACCTCAGGTTGTGTTCTGCATAAAACCCAGACTGTTTTATCAATACTATATTTTCTAAAACATTCAGTTGCAAATATCAATGTTAATGTCACTGCTAGAACAGTGACACATATGTGCGAGTACAGGCATAGTCATTAGTATATGTATACATACCTATACCAGAGATGAATCACTAAAGAGGAATTCACTTTTTAAACAAATATTGAATTTTGAAGGGGTGTAAAACTAGCATCGAACATAAGGTATCCCAAACTTCATTTCAGAAGATCAGTAGTTAGCTCATTGTTTAATAATTTCATGCTGCAAAACTATTCTAAAACTGAAAGATGGCTTTCTGTTGTTTCATGAAGAGAGGCAACTTGGACTGGGCAAGTGTCCAAAAAACTTCAGTACGTCGGCAATAGACACACTGAATGCTTTGGGTTGGGAATGACATGGGGCAAAAGTAGTCGCAAGAAAGTCTCTGGCATCCTGGTCATATATAACCATGTTCTTGTGCTCACTTGACTCCTTCGGATGAAGAGATCAGTGACTTAGATTGTTAGATGCATCCTGCGTCTGCAGAAGACAGTAAATCGGGACATTTTTGTCAATGTGGCCACCATCAGATTCATTCTACTTTATTCCTTTCAAATAGTAAAGAGCAATTAGGTTATTTTTAATGGGCATTGTACAGGCACATAGGATCATAGGAATATACAATGATTATACAGTGGTCTAATACAATACGAATTCCAGCTTAGTATGATTTATTATTTATTTATTTTTTGTTTCACAGCAGATTTCCTATTTGAGTCACCTATTGTAAATCATGTCATGTATCTGCGCATCATTAAACCACAAGTGTAACCGGTAATTAGTCAGTCCATTAGGCATTTAGTTAAAGATTATCCTAGAATCGTGAATCGCCACGGCTTTTGGGCTCTCAATTTAAGTTATTAAGAAAAAATGTTGACAGCCGAACACAATTGGGCGACTGCGTTTCACTGTCTAGAAGTGCACGGCGATTTTTCGAGACTGTCTGAGGCTAACTGGAGGCTCAGGTGACCCGTGGGAGAGGCTGTGCTGTTGTCTTTGAGTATGGGGGCCTGCAGAGCCAGGTTTGTGGAAGTTGGGCAGGTTGCAAAAGGGTTTGGGGCTAGAGGGCAGCCTTGGTCTACTGATGAAGAGCCTGTTGGGATTCGGAGACTGGTGTGCAGATCGGAGGGAGAGATGGCTTTGAGGGACTCCTGCTTTCCGAGGGGTGTCCCATACTTCCTTCTTCTTGTCTTGCTCCTGGGGCCTCTTTCCTCCCTGCTCACTGCATGCTGTGTACCTGTGGCCTCCCTGTTTCAGGTGCCTATCAGGGATGACTGGGGCGGACTGCTGGTAGGGGGAACTCCTAGCAGTTGACGTGACAACACCTAAAAGATATATACAGGGCAAAGCAGAGTTGTCTTCTCAAAGTGTGTGACCTCTGATTACTTTTTATAGCTCCTAATTTGGAATCATCCAACCGCAGGAGGGACGAGGACCGGCAGCTACTTTGTCAGCACTGTACAATGTTTTTATGTTTCACACTGCAAGTTGCAATACTGTCAACTATAAGAGTCATGTGATTGTCACTGATGTCACAAGCTCAGAAGTGCTCGACAAATCACTTCTTGCACAGCACGTTGAGGAGACTTACCAATAAAAATCAATTTATGAAGTGGGATAATAATTCAGGTGGGTATTACAGTGGTGCAGTGGTTAGCAGTGCTGCCTTGCAGCTCAGCGATCCTGGGTTCAATTTCTGGGGTGCTGTCTGCATGTAGTTTGTATGTTCTTCCTCTGTTGACAAGGGTTTCCTCTGAGTGCTCCAGTTTCCTCCCACAGTCCAAAGACATACTGGTAGGTTAATTGGCTTCTGGGAGAACTGGCTTTGGTGTGAGGGTGTACAGTACATGTCTGTTTGTGTGCCCTGCAATGGACTGGCATCCCATCCAGAGTGTACCCTGCCTTGCACCCGTTGCTTGCCAGGATAGGCTCCAGCTCCCTTGAGACCCTGTATTGGATAAAGGGGTTTGTCAATGGATGGATGGATACCATTGAAGTGTTAGGAAAAGGCAAACAACAAACACCTCCATACGGACGATCATATCGTATTTGTTCATTTTGGAGCACCAGGTGTCTGGAAAATGCAGGGATACCTTTCTTCTCTTGGACTCTGTTCTTGTCAGTGATGTCGCTCCTGGATGTCCTCAGTGTGTGAAAAACGCTGGACCTCGCTGGCGCCATCCAGTGGTGGATGCATATCTGGCTCAAACCCAGTCGAGCAGAGGGCTTCCACTGCAAGAGCTTCCTGATCAAATCCTGGCAGCCTGGATAGAAGGGAAAGAGTGATTGAAAAGCAGCACTACTGGGGCCAGTCTTTCCATGACCCCAGGCAAAGAGAAAACTCTCCCAGTACATTCCAGGCATGACTATCTCTACTCACAATCACTCTTTCCAATATTCAAGAAAGTGACCTTCAGATTCGAACGCGCCAAGGCAGGAAGCCAGCATTTAACAGCAATAGCTGTGAGCCCGTACGTGACTAATAATCATATACTGTTGATTTCTATTTCGTTTCCCTGCCAGTTAGTGCAAAATGTGTGCTGTCTGAGTAGATTATCATTTGCTGTATCTTGAGCTGAGTGAATTGGCTCAGGGTAGAAATTTCCACTCCAGCTCTGAGGGGCTGAGTCCCTGTTGTGAGAATTTAAAAATTTCAAACCTAATTGTTACTGGCAAAAAAATGTTTTCCTTAATTTTACATGATGAAGAGTGTGTGACTTTTACTGATGCAACTATCAGCGTATTGTACCAAGTAGTGGAAATCAACCGTTTGCATAGCAGACCTTCCTCAACATCGGTGCCAACTTGAAATATGGGCCAGTGCTTCAGCTTGAAGAGATTTCAGTTCTTTTCTTTTTTTTTTTTGGAGTCTGCTTGGGGAAGGAATCGGTCTAAAATTTCAGTGATGAGGGAACTTGATGGATTCAATACTAACCCTTAATCTGTGGCAGCCTCCAGAAAATTCAGACGTTTAAGGCATAAAATTCCCTTAGCATGGGAGGCAACACATAAGGAGAGAGTCCTCAAGGTTTTTAAGGGCCATATTAGCAATTCTAATTAGCCGGCTGTGCAAATGTGATTCATTAGCGTTTCTTTTTATTTGAATAAATTGAAGGGGTGGATGGTACCGGGTGAGACTGGTTGATTGAATGGCAGATCTTTCCTCATGAGTTGGACCAGCTTGCGGGGGTGTCTTTCATGATAGGGAAGCTTCCCAGTTACCATGGCATACAGAATCACTCCTCTGCGAAGACAGACAGAGAGGTCAGAAGGCCTCAGCATAAAAATAGCACCTGGGCAGAAGATTAGAATTTTTACTCACATTTGTATTGAAATAAAAGCATCAATGCCTATTTTAAAGCAAAGGACCACAATGGTCCACACCTACTGTACACGACATGTTTTAAGAAGGGGATAGAAGATGCTAAACCAGATACAGACTCTGTAGGAATAGAATGGAAGTGTGAGGCTTGCACCTACTTACAAACTCCACAGGTCTGCCTGCTCGCCGTTGTACGTCTGAGCCAACAGAATTTCAGGTGCCGTGTAAGCCACGGAGCCACAGAAGGTGTTCATCAGCACACTCTTATCCGTGTAATTGTTTGCAAAGCCAAAATCTGTTTAACAACAAAACGAGTTATTGAATTGCCGACATGTTTTGTACTGTTAGATCAAAATCATTACCTCGTGTTACCTGGTAACACATTCCATACTGTTGCTTGGAGAAAAGGAGAAGAACCTCCCTTTGTAACAAACTGTCACCGGCCAAGTGACCAGGCTTGGCTCAAAAGAAAAGAAACTCCCACAAAGCAGTCTTCAAATGCAAACAAAACCGGACTTATTGCCCAAAAAAAAACCCTCACAGGAGTACTCTCCACACCTTTCCTCCATACTGAGCTCTCCCAGTCCCTTTTATAGCCCCTCCTATCCCAGGGCCCTTCTCTCTTAAAGGGACTTGCTCATATCTGGTGGACAGTTTTTAAACAAATAAAGTACTTAATACAAATCCAGAGTAAGCTGTAAAGTTGAACAAAGTCATGCAACAGCTTTTATACCTTCAAACCAAACAAATAATCATACATTAGTTATTTATAGATGGCCTACTAGAAACCTTTCCCTTTAAGATCAGCAGTGTTTTTAGTACTGCTGATTTGGCAGTGTGGGGAACTACAAACTACAAACAGAAAGTGACTGGTGGCCATGTTGTCCAACACAACACAATACTCCAACGGGGAACAACAAAAAGGGTAAGTATCATTCACACTTTCTTCGTGTCACATACACACTCTCAAACGTACCAGAAGGGTAGAGGGAAATATTGGAGTATTTCACATTGTAAAAGAAAGAAAAATAACAAGCACTCTGTCACACAAACTCACAGCGTAGTATGAATGTAACCACATTTTATTTCGGCTTGTGTGCTATAGGTATCTGAAGATGTAAATACAAGCACATTTACAGTGGGTATCTCTCACGATCAAGGGATATCATGTTCATGATGATTGATCTCCATGAACTCAAAGGCCAATAAGGACTCTGCATAGTCTCTGGTAAGGTTGAGTAGGTGTTGTCTCGGGAGATATCTGCACAAACTGCTCATAGTGAGCTCCCTTCATCAGTCTTCCTTTGACTTCCAGTTCTGACATCCTTGGTTCTTATAGTGCTGGGCTTCATCCCAGTTGTTACTCCTCCATTTGCTTTAGTTAAGCACCATTATCTCCGAGAAATTGAGGATGTTCATGTTCGCTTTTACTATATATCGTTCTGGCCTTCTCTAGTGCAATTGTGTTTAGCAAATGACATACATGTAACCAATTCAGTCACTAATGGCAAATGATCCCAGTTTCAATGTTTGTGGTGTCAGAGAGAGTACTCAAGAGAAACGGATTAAGTTTCATTGTGTTTTTAAAAGGCTCTGAAAACCTAATGAACTTGAATTCAATGAGAAAAGAATCAGAACAATGAAAACATAAACATCATTCACTTACCTGTTAATTTTACATATCCCTGTGCATCCAATAGTATGTTTTCACATTTTAAGTCTCTATCGGGGAAAAAAAGCACCAATAGGGAAACCAGTCAGGATTTTCTTGTTGTGGGTTGGAAGAAGTTAATTACTCTGCATTTATGCCCAGTTGAGGTCTTAAGCACTCTTCATGCAGCCTTTAATCCAATTGTGCTGCTAAACTTTAACTTTAATCAATTTTTAACACAACTTTAATCCAGTCTTTCAAATTTAAAGCATTCTGCATATTTCAATTAATTCTTAAATTACAGAAAATTATTATTTTTTTACATTAAAGGCTGTAAAAAGAGCTGTACAAGCTAATGAGTGCGAAGTTTTAATACGAAGAATTTAAAATCAAATTCAAGCCCTGCATATGTTTGCGGTTCGTTTTACAACAAAGCATGTGGGAAAAAATGAAAGCATGAAAAAGCTCTTGGTGCTTTCCTTACCTACTCTTAACACTTTATATTCACACTGTTTCCATCCTGCGACGCCACAGTTGCAGACAGACGTGTGACCTACCCCGTACCTGTGTACAATATGATTCCTATGGCAGTGCGTCACGGCACTAACGATCTGCTTAAAAAGACCGCGGGCCTCCTCCTCGCTCAGGCCAGGGCTGCCCTTGGCCCGGGACACAGCATTGACGTGTTCCAGTAAGTCCCCTTGCGAGGCCAGCTCCAGGACCAGATACACCCGCTTCGGAGAGCGGAACATATCGTACAGCTGGATCTGTGCAACCGAAAGATAACCGCGTCATGCACACGAACTTGAATCTCTCCGTTTGCGTTCAAAGATTTTGAAAGCTGAGCTGCCGCTCAACCTTAAAATAAACCAGACTGATTTCCCCCTATTAGTCGTTTTGGTAGATGACCCCAAACCTGTCTCCATTTAAACCCCAAGACGCATTCAGGTGATCCTTTCAATGCCATTGTACTGCCCAAGCTGTCGTTCAGATGTTGTCAAGTGGATGCTGAACTGAGTAAACGCATGACAATAATCTCCTTCCACCGATTATCCTGGATATCAGAAGTGAATAATGACATTTATATTTCCTGACTCAATGCTGATGTAAAATACTTAATTTTCGGACTTTTGTAGGTAACAGGTGGCCTATCGCAGTGTCTCTAGATACGGTTAGTAAGGACATTTTCATGAGAGACGTTTTCTTTAAGTACGTATTCTAGGATATAGGATGCATTTCGCATGAACAATGACATTTCTATGAAAGCGCATATATATTTAAATCTGTGAATGCAAATTTTAAGTCTAAACCTTACCACACTGGGATGTTTGTAGGTTGCATTTAAAGCATAGATTTCTCTTGGCAGAAACTTTCTTGAATATTCAGGGGGAGCTTCATGTATAGATATTATTTTGATTGCAACCTAAAAATATGAAAAATATTAAAGCAAGTGGCAAATTCAACAGAGTAGTATAAATTGTAAATAGTTAAGCTTCATTACAAAATACAGAATAATAGCCCGAACAGTTATGTTAAAGACATATTAGGCAGGACACCTCTAGCCAGCAAACAAATGAAAACGTAATCTTTTTAAAAAGCATTTATTTCGGCCACACAGACTACAAAAGCAGGCAGTAAGGCTCAGAGAATGTAGAGCAGAGTAAAATAATCCTTAGTACATCTTTCTAATTCAGAGATTTTGTGAAAATTCGAGATTGAGCAAAGACGAGCAAATGCACATTTTCTTCCAATCAAAATTATTGTAAATTATACTTTTCAGAAAGTTTGATGGGATTAAACATTTAAGCAAATTGGTGATTTTGTGTCATTACAATATGTAATGTCAACTCTACCTTCCTGTTGCTGTGCTGCATTCTGTAAATGAACCGTCGGTGTCAATATTGCAGGCCAGCATAGATAGCCAAGCAAATACTCTCCTGACCAAATCCTTTCATAATCCATAATTGTCCCGGAGACCAAAAGAGAAGGATTTCTATAGTCACACTACAAGGCATCTTCTCTGCTGACTTTACATCCATATAATTATATTTGCATTGGTTTTATCTAAATCCAAATCCAACCCCAACTACATACAACAAGTACTGCACATAACTAATGCAGATCACCTCATTGAGGTGTCTTTTAGGCCTATTCCTTGTTGCTCTTAAAACGTGCAGGACTGTTTAGAAAAGAATCCAGCAACTGATCCTGGTGGAAAATAAAGGCATCAACGAATGATGTGTTTGGGTTTTCATGATAAGGAAATATGTTCCATATTTCTTTAAATGTCTTTCATAGCCTGTGATGACAAAAATCTGTATTTGAGTGCATCAGCAGTACTGTACCATACTGTGGTTTTTGCTCCTGAGGTCCTTGGCCAGCCTGTAGTTCTGGCAGATCTTATCTGGTGTTGCATATCCAAGGTAGACTTTGGAAAAAGCTCCAGTGCCGATTTTCTTGGCTGTGAGAAGATATCCATTCTCCTGGCACTCAACGGCCTTTTCTTGCAGAGACTTCCGAACTTCCTTTGTTTTAGAGCCACTCATGTTGAAACACTTAAATCCCAACTTATTTTTTTATATGACCACATTTCTTTATATTATATTTTTTACAGTGCTTTCATATGAATGAATTAAAGATGCTTCCTTCTAGTGCAGATATTCTGCTCCCGATTTAATTATTTCGATTCCTCGTGTCTTTTCACATTCTTGAACCAACTGGCAGTTATTAATTTCCTGAGCTACAGTAAGTGATATAAACTCGCTCTTAAAACCAAAACAAACCCAGAACAATGTTTGGAAATGTTACCATGGTGATTGCCATTAAATAGTGTAGAACATTCTAGAACATAAGAAAAATTCTTTCATTGTTAAAATAATAAAATAAAACATTGGTATTGTTATTGGTATTTTTGCTACAAGAAGGATAATGAAAGTATTAGCCGTATCATTGTATTTAGTTGCAATGTGGCTTTTTCTGTAGATTATGATGTAATATTCTCTGTTACCGTTTGGATTTAAAAAACTGATGATCAAATTAACTGGTGTCTAATATTTTCTAACTGTTGTAAAAGTAAAAAGTTGCACATTACACAATGCTCTTCTGAGTTGAGTTTTATTCTTGTGGTGTCTGTGTGAGAGTTGTAAAAGCCAGTCTTTTCCCATTTAATGTAACACAAGTTGATTTGTGAGGCCTGCTGTTTATGAAATGCTATAGTTTCACTGCTCCAGCTATGCACTCGGAACAGAACTTTAACAGGCTAACTTTCCTGCCCATTGAATCCTCTGGAGTTCATACAGCATGTATAATGAAAGGTTTAAGGAGGCAAGTGAGACAAAGAGACGGTTTAAAGTTTTATTAATCAAAATTAAACAAATTACAAGCCAACGGACATCATTCCGAGAGACCATTTTTAATTAGGAATGCATAACACTGAATAGATTTGGCCTTGATTTGCCTTATAAGGGGGACTTGGTGCGATTTAAGTCCATCCACTCATTTCCCAAAAGCAAGAATATTTTTTCAGGGGAAATGCTTAGGTTGCAAACTCCTCAGTAATATATGTACGTCTCTGCAGGGAAGTTATTCATCAGCTTGTCTCCTTGTTCTGTGTCTTTTATTATTTAGAATCTAGTTGAAGAACAAATTTTCCTTCTGGGGAAACTAAATGATGGAAGCCCATTAGAGAGCCAGCTCAGAATAGGTGTTACCACATTGCCTTAGAGAAGCTGAAACTGTACCAAGTTTTGTGGATTGAATTATTAATTGATTGAGTGTTACTGTTATTTTTATTTCTGTTCTGCCATTGAAGTCACCCTGCTCTGCTTAATTACTTTGGATTGCTGTAGAGGGGAATAAATTATATTTAAAAGTGTGATGCTGTGAGGATATTTGTTTTGCTTTTTTTTGTTTTCCCCGGCATCACAGGTACAGGAGCCTTGTTTTATTTCAAACTAGTTATAAACTGTAGGAAGCACTGTTACAGAAGTCTCGATGCCTCTACTGCTCTAAGCTGACACATCTACAAAAGAGTTGTCTTAGAAAACCAGCAACAATAAGGTTAAGCTTAATGGTAGAGGTGTGCAGGTCAGTACAAGGACACACTCTTGTCTCTGAGTGGAGTGCGTGGGGTGTTTTCTCAGCTGAATACACTGAGCTGAACAAACCATTAAAAAAACCTCATCTCATGCAGATAGCCAGGGAATTATTACCTTTGGCAAATCCAACAGGTTCTTAACTTTTTAAAAGTTTATTTTTTCCTGCAAAATTTGTATTAGTGAGGAAAGTTTTTTTTTTACCTTTCCCCATATAACTCAATGCACTTGCTCATGTTCAAAGGTTGCAACGTCCTTGGTGCTGTGGAAAGCTGGATTAATGCTGGCCAGCTGGGGTTGTTACACTCTCTGCAGGAGGTTAGTCTCCTCTTAAAGGCCTAGTCACATCATCTTTTTGTGGGTTTTGGTTTTGGTTTAGGAGACCTGGGTTGTGAGTCATCTATCTCTCACTCCATTTCCGCATTGCCTTCTGTGTGGGACGTTAGACGATGCCTGTGTCCTCCTGGTAAGCTCCTTCTGATTTTAGCTGCTCTTAATCTATTTTGCTTAGCTTACTTTTTTGTATACACTTCTTTTTTGCAGTCTTAACAATAACAAAACAGCTTTACAAATAATAGCCTCCACACCCTCCCCCCAAAAATTAACCTTTCCCTTTATCCTTAACACCTTGACCCTCCCCCCTCCTTTCCTCAAGACTCAAGACCTCAAGACCTTTCCCTAACTCCTGCCTTCCCCTTGAGCTCACCCCTTTTCAGATACCCAGTCCCTTGTGTTCTGTGAAACCAACCAGAGAATTGTGGCAGGACTCGCCATGCTTTTAGATTTTCTATAGAAACTTTGGGGCAAGCTCCTGAACGGGGGAGACTCATGGGCTGGGGCCTCACTGTTTTTGAAACAACCTTTCTTAGCAAGGATTGCTTTGACGCTCCACATTAATCATCCCATTGTACCGCCGGTCTACACTTGAGATGTATGGCACTGCATTCGTTATGCTAAATGTGGACACAGATTAAAAGACACATGGATTATTATGTAGACGTGTTAGGGTCCTATTGGACTGAGTTGGCTCTCTACATTCAGTGGGATGCCAAGATTCTATCATGTGTGCTCAGAAAGAAACTAAAGAATGTTATCTTACAAAAAGTGGTAGCAAAAGTAACTGGCTCAATGTAAGCAAAAAGAACAAATGGAATTGTCACATAATGTATATAATTGTCAGAAATCTTTGAATCACTTTATAGCTGAAAAAAAAACAAAACATGAGGGGTTGTTTCCCAAGGGTTCAATGACCTGTTGAATACTGTTATATATCAAAGGGTAAACTATTTGCAATAAAGTATTTCTGTGTATGGACCGGACCACTGAAAAATACAGCCAAACTGTCTATATTGTTGAATAATTATACATTATTTCTCTTCTTGTGAAATGTACCAGGTCAAATATTTATTATGGAATTCACATGGATACAACTTACTGTATAAAAGCTTACTTTTCCAAAACACATTTTAGTTTCCATACAACAGAAATTCTTTGTGAAAACAAAGAACATAACCCCACCGTGTGAAGGTTCTCTCTATAGAAATCATAATCCTAATCATTTTCTAGACATTCAACAAACATTTTGAACACAAGGCATTAGGTTACAAACGAAGAGATAAAACGTTAGGAGCCTGAGCAGAACTCAGAGCTCAGTACTCTATGGAAACTTTAAAATAAAAATTAAGCAAATATGGAGAAAATTATTCTCTATTTTTTGGGGGGAAAAAAGACACAGAATTGAATTTGACAATGAAGTGCAGAAGGTTGTGTTGTGAGTATCTTGTCTCCCCCCAGTGGACATATATGTGTCATATGTCAACTATCACATTTCTGCTACAGATAAAATACATCAAAAAAGGGGTCAAAGACAGAATTATTAGTTATATCACTCTGGTACCAGTAAGGAATTTTTATCAGATTTGAATCCTCTCTAAAAACTGGAACTTGCTTAATGAATTTGTGCCCTAAGGCAGGGATTTTCAATCTTTTCTGGCAAGTAGACAACTTTTCTAGAAAACTCTCTTAATAAAGGCATTCATATAAGCACAAAATCAAATTCAAACCTGGATAAGTCTCAAAAATATTAGAAATGCTTATTATAATGTGATTACTTACAGTATTCAATATTTAAAGTATTGGATTAGAGTGGAAGAGAAAACTTTGCCTTGTTCGGGGTTCCCTGAGCTACTGCCTTAAAATTGCTGACGTAAAGTATACATGTAACAAAGTTTAAGATATTTTGAAAGTTTGATTTATTTAGGCTGAGGAGTTGTACAATAAACTGAACTATGTCTTGGATCCTTTAGGACACTGTAAGATAATTTTGTAGATTCTCAATGAATATAAATGTGAAAGATTTTATCCAATGCTGGAAAAAAAACATCTTTATAACTCAAAAAGTGAAGGGTGGGTGGGAATCAGTGGGTTCGTGTTATGGAGGATACACTCTCAGTTAATTCAATATTGCATATCTTCTTCTTAAGAAATACATGAGTGGCTGAGTCCCTTTGATGGAGGTGCTCCATTGAACCTGCTTTTTTTAAACTATTTCTCAGTTAAATAGGGAGCTGATTATAGTGCTGGAGTAAAACATCTGTAAGGTGAAAGAACTGGAGTAAGAGCGTCCCTTCCCAGCTGTGATAGATCTGACGAAGAAGCAACATGGTAAGTGTGGATTTTGAAGGAGGGGGAATAGATCTGGTCTATACAATAGAAGAAACAAAAAAATATATTCTCACTTCGCCAATGGGTCTGATGCTACTATGAAGGGTTAACTGGTTCATGTACAAAGCTGGGGACCACACTTTGAATACTAGTGCTGCTGGCTTCTTTTCTGGATGGAAAATCTGCACAGAACATGGCTCAGACAAGCACATCTAAAATATCGTTTCTGGACCAGTAACACAACTCTAATCAGCAAGATTTTGTTTTTGCAGAATTATCAAGATATTTTCAAAAAGTCCTTTGTGCCATCCGCTGTTTGTTAGCTGAATGCAGTGAGCCATTTGATTTTAACCTGACAATGGGTCTACAAAGACCAGTGACCTTAAATGCAAATAGTTAAATGCAAAAACAAGCTGTAAAGTATGTGTTTACACCCTATTCTCCTTCGAGATCTCATGTTTTTCTTGGCAGTGTTTTTGACTTAAAATTACACTTAGCTAGAAGTTTATTTCGGTGCTTTTCATAGGAAGAAGGTCCTATTAAATCTTGAGATTACTTTGGCCACTTCTTTTGATGCTTTCTGTCTGATTTACTAGCATTGCAATTTTAGAGATCCTAAATTCTTTTCCTTTTGTGAAGAAAACACAGAGTGGGAGCTTGGATTTTATCTCATAGATATTTTCTCTAATCTTACCTTTATGGAGTCAAAATGTATAAGAATTGGATCTGACCACATTAAGCATTTTTGAAGGTTTGATATAAAGTTGAAATCTTCTAAGATAATTGGAATAAATTAGTCATTGGGCAGTTTTATGATTTTAAAGTCACAAAGTATAGGTGAACCAAACACTAAAATTGCAATAAGGAACTACAGTATCTCTGTACTGTACTGTTAGTTGCTAAATTCTTTGCCTTGTCTCACAACAAACATCATATACAGTATATTGTTGCAAACCAGAGGTGTGATAACATTACAAAATAGGGAAGTTATTGAATCAAATAAAAATCAGACTGC